TATTTCTTGACTTGGAAACAATGCAAAGAAAAGATGAAGATGAATGGTAAATGTTGATGTTCTTTTTAAGGAATTAACCTGAAAAGCTTTCATTTAGCAGAAACTGTTACATTAGTATTACATTTTTGCCCCTTTTCTTTAAAGAAAAGTCCAAGAAGAAGAACTGCGTGAAAATCATCCATATTTCGATAAACCTCTGTTCATAGTTGGACGAGAACATCGATTTAGAAACTTCTGCAGGGTAATAGTCCGAGCCCGTTTTAATGCGTAAGTATATGTTTTTTTGTATGTGTTATTTGCTTCAATAGACAAATTTTAATATGAAAATGACCAACATGAAAATCATTATATTTTTTGTCTTTAGTTTACCTTTAAATATATTGTTAGAAGCAGGCCTCCAGCAGCCTTTGATCAAACCAACTATTGATTTGTGTTACATGTACAGTATATGACCAAAATTGTTTTTGAAACACTATTGTTAAGTGTTAAACACTTACATTCCAATTCTCAGGATTGGAATCATTGATAATATTTCAGTATTTTGGTTTTCCTTCCTTATATTGTCACCCCTGTATGACTTTCTGTCAACTATATGAGTTTCTTACTACGTTTTTTTACTATGGTTTTGTGTGCAGCTCAAAAACAGATCCCATTACAGGGGCAGTGAAAAACACCAAGTACCACCAGCTCTAGTAAGTTCTACAAGTCATTTCCAATGTATTATTTCTGAAGTGTGTTGTTTTCTTATATTATTTTTGACACTTACATTTTATACTTCAATAGAGCAGTAGAAGCAGAACTTGCATCCACTATTATTACATGGACACATACTGTAGTCTCTTGTTTGATGTAACTTATGGACTTTGTACCTCAGGTATACGTCCTTTGAGTCACATCTTCCTCTTCCTGTTCGTTACTTACTGATACAAGCTGAAATTGTTTAATGAACTGCTGAGAAAACGTTTTCAGCTTTGAGAACCAAAGTGCAAAACGTGCTCTAAATTACAGAAAATACAGTATATGTTTTTATTCAAAAGTGAGGGGGGACATTTCTGCAGCCACAGTTAGAAATGGCTTGGGTGTTCCTTTGAAAGAACTATTACTAGTACTTGAGACTAAACTAAAAAAGATACTAATATCTGAAAGGTTTTTTAGGAGGAACAAGGTTTCTTAGGAGGTGACTCACCTCTGGAGTAAAGTGTTTGGAAAAGAACAGCAACGGAGGGTGACTTAGAAGAGAGTTGTGGGCTGTAGCAGAATCCTACAAAGCTTTGTTTCACATGAGGTCGTTATACAGTGTATAAAAAGCTAATTAAGTCAATATCAGTTAATACATGTCTGTACAATAGTGAAACAAATATTATTTTATTAATTCTGTTGGGGTTTTTTCTGGTCACTGACCATGTATGATTTGTTGTAGTGATCTCTTTGGCTTGGTCACTTACCTAGACTGGGTGATGATAGTTGTGACAATCTGCTCCTGCATTTCCATGATGTTTGAGTCTCCCTTCACAAGAGTAATGCATGTCCCCACTTTACAGGTAAGTGAGTGCTCTTTGTTCACTACCTCATATGTGATGAACATGTCATGGAAATGTATAATGCCAGTTGGCTTATTTGCATGTGTTCTTCAAAATATACGGAGCGTGATGCTGACCACGTCACCTCCACCTCCAGTGTCGGATGCTCAGAGTAAAATGGTGGCCCTTGCCTTCCCTTTGCCATGGGCCTTTATGGCCTGAAAAGGGACCCACTTACCTTCAAAATACAGTAGTTTTAATTGTGTGTTTACGGAGGTCATGTCTTACAGATTTTTTAAAACACTTTTAAGACACAGTTGGTCAAATTCACAAACAGTTATTATGCTATAAAATCAGCTGAGCCAAAATGTAACTGCCTGCCGCCTAACAACACTGTATTAACAAACCACATCTAGCAGCAAAGGATACATGGCGGCAAAAACTTCTTAAAGCTCAGATGATGGGTTCTTTAGCATGTAATGGATATGCAAATAGGGGCTGCATGGTCGTACATTGGTCAGCTGTTGCCTGCCAGTGCTGAGGCTCCAGGTTCAATTCCTTTGGTGCTACTGTGCCTGTGTGGAGTTTGTATGTTCTCCCTGTGTTTGCATGCGTTGCTTCAGGTTCTCCAGTTTCCTCCCGCACTCCTGAGATATACTGGTAGTTTAATTGGCTTCTGGAAAACACTGGCGCTGGTGTGAGTGTGTGCATGTGTGTGTTTGTGCGCCCTGTGATGGACTGGCATCCCATCCAGGGTGTATCCTGCCTTGCACCATCTGCTTACTGGAATAGACTTCAGCTCCTCGTGACCATGAGCTGCATAAAGTGGTTAGAGAATGGATGGGTATGGAAATGCGATGGCAATGGAACACTAATGAGAGGAATGATATGCATAAGCTATTCACTGAAACTTCTTAACCCTAAAGCATGCCCAAACTGATTAGTAGCTAGTAGCACTGATCTAAGATTGTAGCTAGTAACACTCCATCAGTTCTACTAGCTACTGTACTAATCAGTTTAGCAGCTGTTACAAGTTGAGCTCATGAAAGCTGTCATTCAGCATGAGTATTTTGTCTCATTAAGAAGACATGCCCTGTCAAGTGCGAAAGAGACCATTATCAAAGAAAAGAGGACCCAGAAAGATCCTGAGCCTGAAAGGCAACATTATCCAGACATTTTAGGGACAAATGAAACTACTAGGTTTATCAGAGGAAACAATCCTCTTCAGATATAGATTGAGCATAAAGCCCCAACATGCACTGTCTCATGATTCTTTCTCTTTCAAACTATTCCGCCTGCTTCTAGTCTATGACGACTCACCATATTTTGAGTTCTGTAAACAATGTTTTGATTTTTTTGAGTCAAGGCGCATTCAATCTGCAGCAGACATCTTTACTTTTTTCTTTGAATGCATTTTTGAATAATACATTTAATGGGAAGTTAGTGGATTTTGTACACTATGTTTAATCCCCAAGAAACAGTAGTTTACAACCCTAGAGGGTGATCAGAGTGTCTGTAGGGAAGGCAGATAGCATAAACTATATCTGGCAGTACACGTCAAAACAAATAAGTGTCAAACACTGCCATACAAATATTACTAGTATTCTTATTTTTACAGTATGTTGTTAATATACAATAGCATGTTTTTCGATGATATATGAATAATTTTGCCCAAAACAATAAAAACGATCCTCGCCTCTCCAGGCATAGAACAACTAGAGTCAGTAGATGAGGCACAGAGTATGTAAGCTGTATCTGACTGTACATATGTAAAAGGAAATATATTTCAAACACTATAGGACAAATATTCCTGACAATAAGATTAATACAGCATTAACACTGATTACTAAAAACCTGAATTTTGTTTTTGATTATATTACTGTATGTGAATAGTTTTGCCAAAAGCAGTACAGGCCTTCCTGCAACTGGCATAGATAAACCATTACCTTGTTTGGGGCGTGTTAGAGTAATGGCAAAAATAGCTTTTTGTGATGGACACTACTGTCCTGCTTTTCTCCATACTCTCTTAACCTCTACTTGACTTTTTAACATATGGGCAATTGAACAAAAATACTGTTCTTGTTACCAGATGTAAATTTGAAACTCCATTAAACTTAATTGCAACAGTTGTGTTTTAGAGGGTGGAATGACAGATTACTCAATACCTCTGCATATTCATATTGACATGCACAGTATTATACAATAAAGCTGCAATTAAAAGGGAACAGTTCTTCACTGCTATTATAAAGTAGTTAATATGTAGATTTATGTCTCTGTATAACTATTGTCTTCTCTGCAGATTGCGGAATATGTGTTTGTCATTTTTATGAGTATTGAGCTCAATTTGAAGATCATGGCAGATGGGCTATTCTTTACACCTACAGCTGTCATTAGAGACTTTGGTGGAGTTATGGATATATTCATTTATTTGGTAAGAATTACTTTCTTCTTATGAAGCGATCATTAACCAAGCTTCACAATTTAATGTGACCTTTAGTATAATACAGTTTAATGACACCTTTTCATATAAAGCTAGTGCTGTATTACAACAATGAGGATGTTTGTGAAAGACCGGCATGTATCTGGGTAGAGCAAAATGAAGGACCGTGCCTTGATTTTCAGTTGTTTTCTGCGGTGCCTTTCCTCCAGGTCAGTCTGATCTTCCTATGCTGGATGCCTGCCAATGTGCCTCCTGAGTCTGGTGCCCAGCTGCTAATGATGCTGAGGTGTCTGAGACCGCTGCGCATCTTCAAACTCGTCCCCCAGATGAGGAAGGTGGTGAGGGAGCTCTTCAGTGGATTTAAGGAAATATTCCTGGTGCGTACAAATGGATGATCAAGAATACATGCAGTGATCTGTCATACTGATGTTTTACTCATGGGCATCTTTTACACGCACTTTTATTCCATAAACTCTGTCAGATATAGGGATTTGATTCATGCTAGTGGAAATCGTTTTTTTTTACTAACTTTGGAGCTCGCATGAGGCTTATCCTGTTAAACTGTTAAAGTTCAGGATGCACCCTAAAGCTTGAAGGTTGCTGGCTGAGCCACTGATCACCAGGGTTCTAGAGCCTCAGGAGACTATGCACATGCTTTGCCGCACACCATCAGAGTTGAGCAGAATGATGTTGCTTGGGGAATCCTGGGTTAGCTGCAAACAAGCCGCTCCTGTCACTATTCCGGAGTCTGCATGGCTGTGGTGTTAGCAGTGTGAGCTGTTTCCATCCCCCGTCTGACACGTCGCTGTGCTGCTAAAAATGGCTTGTTGACTTCATCTCTCTTGGGCCGATGCTAGCATTCTAGTGGTGTAGCAATTGGCAAGTTCAGACTCAAAAGAAAGATGATTGGAAATTCGAAAAATAAAAAAAAACTTTACTACATTCTCAGTTGGCTTTCTCGTTGTTTTTCTTTGTCTTGTGTTAACAATTAGCATGAAGTCAAATGCACTGGAATGTTTTCAAAAGAGTTTTTGAAATCCAATTCTCCCATTAGCTTTTGCTTCCTACAGTGCTTCTCGCTGTGATGGAACCACTTGGGGTTCCTACTGGTTGGAAAAAAAAATTGAACATTTGCATTCCTGTTCATTCCTGTGAAATGAAAGCTTTCACATACCTTTGTACCTTCTTTAGGTCTCCATCCTGCTCCTGACATTAATGCTCGTCTTTGCAAGCTTCGGTGTTCAGCTTTTTGCAGGAAAACTTGCCAAGTGCAATGATCCACGTATCACAAGACGGGTAAGTGCAAGTCCTTTTTCATGTCTGTTCTGAATACATATACAGTACCCTTGCACCTAACACATTGTGTAGTTAGACAATAATGAGTTGTGTTTTTGGCGGTCAGGTGGTGATAACATGTTCTTCTTTATAAACTTACTGCAGGAGGACTGCTATGGTATATTCAGAATAAATGTAAGCGTCTCAAAAAACTTAAATTTAAAATTGCGACCTGGAGAAAGGAAACCTGGATTTTGGGTTCCACGTGTCTGGTAAGTCACTGCCCTTTCTTGGACCTTGTGGTGTTAAAACTTTCTCTCTGTCTTACTGTAATTTGAATTTTTAACCTTATTTGAATTGGTGTGTAACCAATACATTATTTGGGTGATGTGGGGAGATTGCGAAACTGGTATAAACCACTGCATGTGGTTGCTAATGGAAGTTCCTCTAGAGAGAAATAATAATAATAGTAATAATTGCTTACACTTATAAAGCGCTTTTCTGGACACTCCACTCAAAGCACTTTACAGGTAATGGGGACTCCCCTCCACCACCACCAATGTGCAGCCCCACCTGGATGATGCAACAGCAGCCATAGTGCGCCAGAACGCTCACCACACATCAGCTATCAGTGGGGAGGAAAACAGAGTGATGAAGCCAATTCATAGATGGGAATTATAAGGAGGCCATGATTTGTAAGGGCCAATGGGAAATTTGGCCAGGACACTGGGTTAACACCCCTACTCATTTCGAGAAACTCCCTGGGATTTTTTAAAGACCACAGAGAGTCAGGACCTTGGTTTTACATCTATCCGAAGGATGGCGCCTTTTTACAGTATAGTGTCCCTGGGGCATTAGGACCCACACAGACAACAGGGTGAGCGCCCCCTGCTGGCCCCAATAATACCTCTTCCAGCAGCAACCTTAGATTTTCCCAGGTACTGGTACTGACCAGGCTCATACCTACTTAGCTTCAGTGAGTTGCCAGTTGCAGGGTGATATGGCTGCTGGCAAAAAAATGCTTTTATACAGTATCAACGAAGAATGACACTTCACTAACTGAGCCATGGGATTCTTCACAGATTTTATGCAGACAGTAAAACCCTTTTCTGCAAATCCCATAAATTACATCTCATTTATGACAGCTTGTGACAGTCTGATGGATATGTTGTTCAACTAAAAGGCTGTTTAATGTCTTTTTTTAATCTTTAGAAAAGCTTAGCTGTTAATTTGTTCATAATCTAATGAATATGTCCCTATGCACTGAAGGATTCCTGGGGAGAATAATAAAAACATCAAAATATGTCAGAATAGCAAAATGAGACATTTTCTCATACTTATAAATTTCTTATGAAAAGAAGAAAAAAGAAGACTTTTGGCAATGAATGTAATACAATGGGCAATTTTCTGTTTTCCTATTGTATTACAGTGACACAGAAATATTGACATTGGAAAATAAATCTGTGCTAAGTACTTGTTGTTTTGTTGCTATTTAAAGACTGTGAATGCATTCCCTAACAAATTGTTTTTGATAGCCTCAAGCAATGGTTTTGTTCTTATAAACACAAAAGGAATGCAGCTGCCCCAATTCAGTAATTTCACATCACAACTTTTTTTTTCCTTGTGTATTTATCAATCCTTCATCTATAACCACATTATATTCTGACAACTCCTAAAGTCCTCATAAAAGAATACTGTAGTGTTTGATCAGTTCTTGTCCGACAAGTAAAATCTTCCTCTTTTTTAAAGCTCGGCATTATAGGTGAGAATACAGCAGAGAATATACAATAGGGAGATAGCAGTGAAATTGCAGTGCATACATTAATAAACTCTACATTTCAGAGAGGTTTGGTAGAAAACATTATTACTATATTACCTTACTCAAAAATTAAATTTCCATCCATTCTATATAGGTAAGGTTACATTTTGGGGGATTTTATCCGATCCAACATTTTCAAAGCTACTTAATTTGATTTGGGGTGCTTCTTGAATAAAAGCATGACCAAAAAATTATCCTTTTCTCCTCAGGGCAAATCCACGTAATTTCAACTTTGACAATGTGGGCAATGCCATGCTGGCACTCTTCGAAGTGCTGTCCCTAAAAGGCTGGGTGGAGGTCAGGGATGTAATCATCCACCGTGTGGGCCCGGTAAAAAAGAAACTTCCTACCTCTAAACCATCGGATGTTGTATCTTACAACCTGTCTACCACAGAAAGTAACATTTGTTTGTTTCCTACACAGATCCATGGTATTTATATCCATGTATTTGTGTTTCTCGGCTGCATGATTGGACTGACGCTCTTCGTTGGTGTGGTGATTGCTAATTTTAATGAAAACAAGGCAAGTGCTAAACCCGGTGTACTCATCTCTCCATATACAACTGGGTTTCATGGAAGGCTGGATGGTACTGTAGGCATTATATTGCACTGTTAGTAGAAAAGAGCTAGGAATAAGGTTTACAGTATATATGTATGCATTTTGCTGTCTATTGAAGGAAAGACCCGAATAAGGAATTAGGGCACAAGTGGAACCTAGAGTAGAGTGCATTTAAAATTCATCCTTTTTAACTCCCCCAAAATGTGTGTGGGAGTATGGGACAAGCTACCCAGTAATTTTGTTGAAGTTGATAACTCTGGCTTCTTTCAAGAAAGAAGGAGGAGATTCTTGGATCAACTAACTACTAACTACAAAATGGGCTTGATGAGGTTAATGCCTCCTCTCATTACTTTTTGTAAAGTAAAGAACTCTGTTACTTTCTTGGCTAAATGTCCCTTTTTAAGAATGTCACCCCCCCCCCCCCCCCCCCCCCCAAAAAAAAACTGCTCTATTGCACAAATATAAAGACTTAAGCTTTAAACTAAGTGAACAATCTTAGATATTGAGTCCTATCGTGAGACCTTTTTTGGATCTTTATGTAGGAGTGCAGTGATGTTGTTACCCGAGTTCCTCAATTTCCTCACTATCTCTAGGGTACGGCTTTGCTGACTGTGGATCAGAGAAGATGGGAGGATCTGAAGAGCAGGTTGAAGATCGCTCAGCCTCTCCATCTTCCTCCCCGCCCAGGTGAGTTTGCCAGGCTAATTCTGCTTGACCGAAGCTTTTCTGGGTGCAGTGTGTGTGCCATGAATTACTTTGACTTTATACACTTGTGTTCTTTGCTGTGCGGTGTTAGGAGGTTTCCAGTGTTGAGACCAAGTTTCCCTCCTAATGGAAAAACAACCCAATTAAGCTCCAACTCATGTACTGTATGTGGATGCCAATTTAAGATTCCCTGTAGGCAGTTTGTATGTTTCATGTTGTTTTTACTTATCACAAAGATATTTTTTTCAATAATGTGCTCCAGGTTTGGTTAGAATGTTCTACACTGTGCATATTTTATCTTTCAAATCTTGTACTCAATGCAATACATCTCTTAGATTTTCACGACTGACCTCATACACAAGTAAAGAGAAGATAAATTTCCTTTGGGTTCTTATGTTACATTATTTATTACTTGCAGTGTAAGAGCCTTAAATCGGTAGTTCTCTCTCCTGATCCTGAGTGCCCCTGTGTCTGATAGTTGTTGTTCTAGCAAGGCCCTTAATTACCAGTGCTTATTGGTGTCAGTAATTGATCTGCTTGCTTTTTTAGGCTTTTTTGTTCTGCACAGGCCTATGTGTTGGTGTGGCTTCCTGCAATGAGCTCGCAACCAGTCTCACCTTGTGCTTAACCTCTTTCTGTTAATGGATGGATGAATAACTGCATGTTTTCATTCAAATGAAATGAAACACTCTATATAAACGTACTGTAAGCTGGCCTTGTTAAAGTGTTGAATATAAATTTAGTTCCCAAGGCTGAAAGCAGACTGAGATATGGCTCAGAATTTGGTGTCATAAAGCAGACCCAGCCCCGAGGGATACAGTGAAGGTGAAATCTCGTAGTTATAAACATAGATTTATGTACTTTTATTTTCTTTACAGAGCACTATAGGGTTATCATAAAGGTTTAAAGAGCTCTTTTTTAAAAGATGCTTACAGATTTATTCAAACCAGAATTGATAAGTAAATTCTTTTAAAGATTAATTTTCCAAAAATGAAATGCCCTACAGACAACATACAGCACGGTATCACAGTTGGAATTTAGACGAACAGCTTCTATCTACTGTATGTGTAATGTCTAAGCTACCAGCTTAGGGTATGATAAGATAAGATAAGATCAGTGTATTAGCCATATACAATTTATTGAATTAGGAATTTGTCTTTTCACATGAAAGATTTTCAATGAAAGTTTGAAGTGCTATAATATATCTTGAATCCTTAATATCTACAACAATTTCCTCCTTAGGAACGCCTTCCACATTTTGGCTCTCCTGAAACTTTTGTAAGGATCTGTAATTCAAAATGAAAGAAATATAAACAATAAAAACAAAAGAAAGTGAGGAAAACAGATCATTTAACATTACCTTGAGTAAGAGTATAGTCACACCTCTTTTGGGTAATGCAGGGGTAATGCAGAAATACCAGGTATTGTTTGAAGGGTTTCTGGGGATGTTAGCTTTAACAGTCATTCAGCCATTAAATGCAGTCAGATATTCTATGACAGCTCAAGACAAGCCCCAAGCTTCTGCCCGTCAATTTCAGGGTCATTCAGGAGCAGTTCTGAGGACTCCTCGCCAGCACACGTCAGATTTTTTTACATTCTTCCTCTAACCTCCTGGGTAGCAGAGGTCATTGTCTGGTCAAGACGGGACAGGCTGGGGTCCCATAATTCACTTCTGCATGATTGGATGGCCATGGCTCACTCTCCTGTCAAAGCATTATTGACACACACTTTATTGACATATACAATATACTGTAAGTGTCGTCTCTCTCCCTTTAGTCTGCACACATACGCAGTAGTAATTTAGAGGGGCCGCTGGAACTTTAAATTAGTTTTTAGACTATTGAGAATTTCTGCAAGTTAGACTACAGGGTTTATTTAGTGAGACACAAGTGAGACATTTCATTATCTTAAATCATTGTGTTCATTTTTTTGCATGTTAATCCAGAAGGTTATAGCTGCACATGTGCTTTGTCTCTGATGCTATCCACATGCTTTTAATGTATTCAATGCTTTATTTGATAATTTAAGTCAAGTGAGAACGTTCTTATTTACACTTAGTTCATGAAATATAATACCATGTATTTATACTCCTTACTGGAGTAATTTGAAAGAAGTGCTTTGTTCAAGTGTACAACAGCGGTATCCCATCTGGGATTTGAACCCAAAACTGTCTAGTTTAGAGTCCTAACTGCTGCTTAATGCTGATGTCTTATTTTACTAATAACTATAGCCTACTTTTTCACATCAAAGTATTGTTAATGTATCCTTTTTCACCTGTACTCCATTGACCACATTAGACCATTTAGAAATTTGTCAGACCACACTAGAAATTTGTTCTTGCTTTTTTTCTTGCTGGTACTAACAATTAAAATATAGTGGGACAGACCCCACCCGTAGATAAGGGATTACAGATATGGATTTAAAGCCATAAAAAATAACAATTTACGTATTTAAAATATGAAATATCTTGCATATAAACACAACAAGAATTGAACATAATTTTGGAATTATGCATAAGGTAGCATTTCTTTAATGAGCCACTTTAAAAGGCTAGAAAGCTATCTCAAAAGTTGATAAACCTCACACAATCTTTGCCTACAATTTGACTTTCTTTTTTAAAAGAAAAGAATGTTTACTTTTTCATTATTTACTTATTTCTAAAGCAACACTTGCATTTCCAATGGTCTCAATAGCGTAAAGCATTAAAATTGATTTTTTCTTTAGTGCTGCTGGTGCTTTCTGCAACATGGCTGTCTGTGCACATGAGAAAAACCGAGCAAGGCATAGAGGGAGGTGTAAATCCCAAAGCTCAACACAGAAGATCCCTGTTGTGCTGAAATACCATGAAGCAGGCATCGAGGCAGAGGAACTAGTACTGTGCATGATTTTTACAATGAATTCCCTGTCTCTGGCAGTTCATTCCCCCTCAGTGCAGCTGTCTGGCTAGTTCCCGACTGTATGAAAACACATTAAAAATGCCAGCACAAGGGGCAAAAAGAAAAATTAAAAGTGAGAAAAGTATAGAAAAAGTGCACAAATGCCCCAGGTAATACTCATACTTTTGTTCTAATTAAAAAGTAATGAGGTATGAAAAAATTAAATTCACTGCTAGCAGCCAAAATCAAAGCATTTAATCTACATTTGTTTCATGAAATTACTTGAATAAGAGGAGGACGTTTTTACAGTTAGATTTTTTTTCATATACAGTACAGTACATTTTCCACAGTCTTTGGTACATTAACGTTTAATGAAGATGCTAATATTTTTTCTCCCAGATTGCATTGTCCAATCCTGTTTTGCCACATTTGTTGGTGAACCAATGTTTAAGCATTTTTATTTTCCAAAACCAGAACAAATAAGAACAAAATATTATGCCTTTTCAACCCCCGCCATTCGTGGTATCCCCTCCCAGGTATTTTCACCAGGGATCTGAGCAGTAAAGATGTCTGTATTAACAATTTCAAGACAGCCCAGGATCTAGTGGTGCTGGAGAAGAGAATCAACATAAAGTGGGTGCCAACATATTTTCTGTCCAGCCAACCAGATCCATTTCTGCTACAGTGAGATCCCAATTATAGAGTGCCTATCTAGTAAGAGTATTATATGAGAGCAAGGAATATCCTTGTTTGGAGCAATGGACAAAGACAAAAAAAGCCAGTTTCCAAAGTTTAACCACATCAGGGTACTCCCAAAGACATGTGGATAATGGCATCTTTAATGCCCCACGTGTAGTGTATACACAAAAAAGGGATTTCTTCCTGAGAAAAGATCATTTAATTATTTAGTGAACAGATTCGTTTGGAATTTGTTTCCAGGCGGTGTTTCCAGAAATGTCATCAGCTTTGCTTCTGCACAGTACATTTTGAAAATTCAATCCGATCAACATCAGTATTTTAAGTCAAACAAAGCACTGCCTCATATTTACCCTGATCCCTCACTGCCCTAAGGCTTTTCGCTGTTTTTGTTTACAGATAATGATGGATTCCGGGCTAAGATGTACGACATCACTCAGCACCCCTTCTTTAAAAGGACAATTGCAGTCCTGGTCCTTGCCCAATCTGTTCTCCTCTCTGTGAAGGTATGGTGTAGTGGAATACTGTAAACAGGAGCTACTTCAATCTAAAAATCATTGTGAATAGAAATCTGTTAAAAGTAAGGTTTTTAATGCAAAACAGACTATCATTCATCATTGTCCTCTCTGCCTTTCCAGAGACTAGGGTTTACGTATTAAACCTGCCCAACGTCTGTTATACTACGCAGTAAAGGCTGTTACTGCTTAATTGTGCTTTTTTGCCAATTCATAAATAGAGAAGGTGCATTACGTACTGTATACAGAAGGATACTTCTTCCTTCATTTACATGTGCTGAAAAGTGATACATGGAAAACTTCGATGATGGTAAATGACCTTTATGAAATTCTAAATACCATGTGTTCAACTTATGGCAGCAACAGTCTAGTAGTGTCAATGGAAAAAGGTTCAGTGCTGTCTGATTCAGCTCGCAGTTGATATACAATACATACTGTCTGTTGTTCCACCAGCACATCAGACCTTTACAAACAGTACACTACAGCATGGTGCTGTGCTTTCATGAATTTCATGTCAATTTCATGAGGGTATGTTTATACTGTATTTCAGTGGGACGTGGACGACCCAGTGACTGTTCCCCTGGCAACAATGTCGGTGGTGTTCACCTTCATTTTTGTTCTAGAGGTAGGACCCTTGGATTGTAATAAAGTTCAAGATTGTTATTAGGCAGCTGTTATATTAAGGCAAGCAACCTCCCAAAACAGTGCTGGTGATCGGTTTTATCACAGAACATCCGCAACCTGTGTACAAAGCCAATAAACCTGGGAAAGACGTGCTTGAGATGTGCCTATTCCATTTTCTGTATTGGTTTTATGCCGCTCTTCGCTTACTGTATATCATCTGTACGTCAAGCCGCTTTATCATTCGGCTTGGGAATATTGTTTTGTCAAAGATGTTTCTTGGTTGATGAACACTTCAAAACCTTATTTCAGTCGACTCCCATAGTTAAGTGATGAAAGATCGCTCGACCTACAGTACAGTATCTGTCTGTACAGACATATTTTTTTAAATAAATAGCAGCTTTTAAAACAGAAAATGAATATTGTTGCAGTATCCATTGGCCCATGACTGAAACTCACGTCAGACCCTGAAGAACCATAACTTGTTCTATTAGCTAATCCAATCAGTAAAATGTGCCTTGCAGTGTTTTGGCCAGTGATAATAGCAATAAAAATGCCATCTAAGAGTATCATAACATTTTTCATTTTTACTGTTTTCGATTCTAGGTGACAATGAAATTGATTGCAATGTCACCAGCTGGTTTTTGGCAGAGTAGACGAAACCGTTATGACTTGCTGGTGACCTCCCTTGGAGTTATATGGGTCATTCTTCACTTTGCTTTACTGGTGGGTACTTTCGTACATAGCTAACGGAAAGGGTGTTGTACATTGGTTTCCAGCACTTAAAAAATTACATTCATTAATTTATTGAATTATCGGTGACACAAAAGAAAGGGCAGATACTATACTGCGTCTGTGTGTATCTTTGCAACAGTTTTCCTGCAGTACACATGAAAATGGGATAGTCCAGATGTATTCTGTATTTATCAGTTTCTGAAAGGAAAAGGTTTCAGTACATTCAGTACATACTGTACCTGGATGTGTGCTGAAATGAAAATGATTTTTTTTGTGTGTTTTTCAGAATGAGTATACCTATATGATGGGAGCTTGCATTATAGTGTTCAGGTTCTTTTCCATCTGTGGGAAACATGTGAGTAAACCATTTTGAAAAGAAAACACAAGTAACTCTTTTTTCCCATGGGTTCACCTGCTGTGGATCATCCCCATGACTTTTATTCTCTTTTAGATCTTTAAAGTCATTCACTCTTCAGTAATGGTAGCATTACAAGCCTGCTCAAAGGTAATAAAGAACCAAGTGCAGGAAGCTTTTCTTTACAAAGTACTGTATGGCCTTTTGGTTTACCAATACACACATTTGGAATGCGTAAGAGGTTTGTCAGATCTGTATAATATAAGCCAGTACCCATTGTACTGGGAACCAGTCCCAAAAGTATTAATTTTCCTTGAACCTCCTGAATTGGATAATGTCCTTGGGCGGTGGAAGAGCCATAGCCTAGGGTTAAGGTTTGTTCCCAGTATGACCAGGGGTTTGTTCCCAGTCTGACTAAGGGGTTTATTCCTTTTATGGCCAGTACATGTTAAGTGACGAAAATAGTACAAAATGAGTCTGAGGGGGCAGAGTTTTTCTTTTGATTTCTTTTGACTTCAGATTGTTATGCCTTTATGACATTTTTCATGTTAGGACTTTACTTGTCCCAGGGTAATTCAGGTTCCTCATTTGCATATGGTGTTGTAGGGCACCCTGACTACACAGGCAAGTACAGTAGTATGATCATCTTGAGAACAACATTAAATGTCTGAAATATTTTCTGAACACTGATAAGCATTCTTTTGCTATATACTCCTCTTGCACTGTTTGAATCAGCTGTACAAAAGACAATGAAAAGTGAATTGAAGGTTATATACAAATATAGGTTGAAATTTGTACTGATAAATTAGGAACATCTTAATTGGTTGCACATATCCGTAAATCATTCTTTGGGAGTATTACAAATATGAAAAGTCATTTTTTCTGTTCTACTGGTGCCATTCGAGGACAGACATAGAAAGGACACGTAAAAAAAGCCTTGCTAGAACGTCATTACTCAGCTCTGAGAAACAAACTGTTCCCAAAAGTTGTCATTGAATGTTTATGTTTCCCTCCACAGGTAACACTTAAAATGCTGCTGCTGACAGTGGTTGTCAGCATGTATAAGAGCTTCTTCATCATAGTGGGAATGTTCCTGTTGCTGCTGTGCTACGCCTTTGCGGGAGTAGTTTTGTTTGGCACGGTGAAATACGGAGAGAATATTAACAGGTTGGCATTCTCTTCTTTAAGCTGTCTTGACAGCTGACGGCAGTGTTGCTTTGCAGAACGTGCGACATGTAGCACTGTCACAGCTATCCTTGATGCCTGCCGAACAGTAGGAGTTTGTTAACTTCACCCAGAAAAGTGTCATTGATGAGGGTAGGGAGTGTTACTGTAAAGACTTAGTTCTTCTCTGTAGCAGATTAATTTTGTCAGCTATTTATTCAGGTTATTTCTCCCAGTTAATTGGACTAGAGAGATGCACTTCATCCTCATTAAGCTTAATGTATGTGTCTTGTTTCCCAATGGCAGACATGCAAATTTCTCGACTGCTGGCAAAGCCATCACTGTTCTCTTCCGAATTGTCACAGGCGAAGACTGGAACAAGATTATGCATGACTGTATGGTAAGGGGAGATTTGCACAAGACATTAATCAGTAAAACTGTGTTACTTACAGCAGTTGACATTTTTTTAATAAAGTCTCTAAATGTTTTTAATGTACCAGCAGATACTTCCAATCCAAAGTAAAGTCGTTTATAGAGTTAAAATGTGCCTGAGTAAATGCATTCACTTTGCATACTGTATATCTTTAAGATGTATACAGTAGTATATTCATTGAGTTTCTATAGATGACATTCTACACAGAATAGATGACTCCTGCCTTGGCTTCTCTAAACTCTAAATTAGTAAATGATAAGTTCATTAAACAAAGAAAAAGTGAATTAATTCCAAAACATCCTGTATGGAATTCTTAATAACAAAAGAAATACTGATGATGATGGAGGTGAAAAGGTCCTAGCAACAGTTCCTTGTGTATAATTTATTGCTAAATCAGTTGTTTTATGTACTAAAGCATAGCTGAAGTTAAAATGAAGGACTTCAGCCAACCATTTGTAAAAATCAACCAGTCAAAAAAAAAAATCAACCTCTTTTTGTAAAAATCTGCCAGTATACTGTAGATACACACTTTACCTTTTAGTGCAAGTTAAATATTTATGTACATGTTTTGTGTTGTTTTTTTTGCACAGGTACAGCCACCTTTCTGCACTCCAGATAAACATCGTTATTGGGAGACAGACTGTGGAAACTATGCAGGAGCTCTCATATACTTCTGCTCCTTCTATGTCATTATTGCATACATAATGCTGAACTTGCTCGTGGGTAAGCAAGCTGTGTAGTAAAAGCCAGGAACATAACAGAAATTACTAATTAATTTATCTTCCTTTCTGCTATAAATATTAGGGCAATTCCGTAATGAAATGCTACATTTTGTTTTACTAATCATCAGTTATCTTTGAATATATTAGATGTTGACCTGGATAAGTGCATCTGTTAAGCAAATACATAATAATTATTATTTTTTCCAATTCATAGAAAGATTAAGTTTACTGAATTTAACTTATCCCCATTCTTTCAGGACACGGGGAATTAATAAAGTTCTAGAAATGAGACATCCACACTTTCAATAATAATAATAATAATAATAATATATAGAAACAATTTAAACATGTTAATAAATTTGCACTCCTTTTTTGGCTTATGGCTTGTCTTCTGGACAAATTGTGTCATTCATGACTGTGAGAGAAAATTGAGATTGATAAAAAGATTGAATGATGAAGGAAATCAATTTAAAAAATAAAGTAAGCTCACTGGAGGGATAATGACACTCAAGGCCACCTTTCCCACCAGACAAGATAAATTGCAAGACACAGGCAGGAGTATCTAGATACTGAACAGAGAAACATCAAGGGATCGAAGAATGGGGGAGGATCTTTGTGGGAAGATGTAATTTCTTGTCTTATTAATTGGTTGAATCTCCATTTAGTTGATCAGTTTTAGTCCAAATATATGAATTCCATCACAGGAACAAATTGCTTCAAATAGTTGAATTATTCCAATTTATGTTTTCCTCCCTGGTGAGAATGGGGCATGGTCTTACTCGTGCCCAGCGCTCCATCCAGCTCAGCAAGTCATGGAACTCCAGTCCAGTTCAGAAGCTGAATTTAGAACTCGACACCCCCTTGAACGGCTAGTCCAATCTACTGTCACTCCTATTCAACTTCCTGCAAGTCCCCCAGACTGCTCAGCGCAGTCGCCATGCCACCCGTCTTCTCCCTCAGATAGTCTTGATGGTGTCACGCCTCCACAGAGCTTTTCTTGTACTCCTCACCTGCTCTGCCACTGAATCTTGCTCTGTCCCCTGTGCAGGTCCAAACATGTACAGTAGCTCACGTTGGGTCCAGGTTCATGTTAAGTCACAACTCTCACCACCCCTGGTACTGCTTCTTTGAATGTTTCAGCTGCGGTCCTGGCAGGGGGTACCCCTCCCTTCCTTCCTGGCATACAGAATCATGTGGTGTTGGGCCCCTGACCCCCAAATTTCTTGGGAAGTCATGGCTTGCAACCCCATGGGTTTTCGTGAAATCTCGCCATCACTCCACATTCCTCAGCTGCATTTTGTGATCTGTTTTGCTGCATGTGGGGAGGCTTCATGGAGTCTAGCTCTGGATCAATACACTGAATCCTCCTCCTTCAGACGTTATTGCAGTCCCTTTCATTACCCTTATTAAATCAACATTGTTTGGAGCATTAAACCCCTAACTCCACATTATCTGTGGTTGAGTTGAACATGGCACTAAGGCTACTATTAGACTTATCCCTTTTATTCTTTCAATTTTCTAACCTTTTCCTCCATCATGGTCTGTATTTAGTTCTCTTAATTTAAGAATTATGATCAGCATAATGGGGTCTCTCTTTGTTTCTTAAATCATTTCAATCCAGTCTCTGCTCGGCCTTAAATAAGGGTTTGGCTGAATTACTGAAGTTTTAAACTACAGTGTTGGAGGAGATCAAATCATAATTTTATTCACTTCTGCCTACCTACGTACTGTATAAATCACATTTCTGTATAACTCACTTGCATGTTTCATTTTGCTTATCTCCTTCCACCCCAACTTCAGCCTTGCAGCGGTTCTCTGGCCCATTCCTCGTAAAGGTGGAGGGTTTTTGACATGCTTATCCTCATGATCAGTTTGTCATTTTCTTCAGGCAAGGGGATAAGCCAATCAATCATATTGATTCAAATCATTCCTCTATCCCACCTGAAGTTAGGGTTGGACTGATAGCACTGATAGCACTCTGCAGTCCGTTTTCAATCAATCTCTAAAATTGGAGATTAGTTGTAACCAGGCACCCCTCCCCAGTTCATCTCACTTGGACCTCCACATTAACCATGGTCTCCAGAATCATGACCTGCTATCAGTGGACTGTATTTGTCTGTATGTTCTTGCCAGAATAGAAATTGTGAGTACCCTAAACAGCAGTGTACCAAGGCATGAAGGCATGTTTACCTTGTTAAATGGGACAAATTGGTACCTTTCTGGATTTTCACCTATCTTGATATTCCACAGATTAAATCACTTTATCTCTCACTGACAAGGTGACTTAGTGCTTAAGGAACAGTCAAAATCAGTAGAGTGTATTGCAGCCACACATGAATGATCAGTTAATCAAAAGGACACCAAAAACATTTAATCAGTGTTCATGACATGTATACTTTATTTTGTTTTAAAACAGACATCATAAACAGTTATTTCTTTTGATACTCAGTATATCACTATAGATTTATTATACCTATAAATATTATGTATCTGTATACTGTAGACATACTTTTGGATACATTTTCATATTCAGCCTTGTCAAATAAACATTGAACAGTCCTATTTTCAATTAGACTGTCCTCCATTTCATCAGTGTATTGTTAATGCTGTAATAAACTGTAATACATCATTTTATTACGCTGCTTTTAACCCAGTAATGGAAAAAAGAACACTTAGTCCAAGTAGTTTTTTTAGGTTCTTATCACTAGGAGTTTTGCTATATTTAGTCATTTATCCATATTTGAAATCATAATTTCACTATGCTTCAAGCCTCTTTTTCTCCTGAGATAGGCTCAGATGGTACACTTGTCTTTCAGCTATAATTGTGGAGAATTTCTCCCTGTTTTACTCCACTGAAGAGGACCAGCTGCTGAGCTATAATGATCTGCGACATTTTCAGATCATTTGGAATATGGTTGATGACAAAAGAGAGGTAGGATAACTTCTAATGACTTTTTTTCTCTTAGACCAGATATATTCACTCTGAAAGTTAAATAATGTTAATTTGAAACTGCACTGTTGTAAATCCATTAATCCTGAAACCCCCCAAAGGACTGTGAAATATATTTTGAATTAGCTTCTTCGTTTTTCATTCATTCAGATGTTATTGTCTGCTGCTAAGTTTGTTGATATTGGAGAATCAAGCTTCCATTGTTGTAATAGTAACAATAAAGTTCTATCTGTTTTTTTCCTGTATGGTCACTAGGGTGTAATTCCTACCTCACGAGTTAAATTTCTGCTCCGGCTGCTGAGAGGGAGACTGGAGGTGGACCTGGATAAGGACAAGCTCCTGTTTAAACATATGTGCTATGAGATGGAGAGGTTACACAATGGCGGAGATGTCACTTTTCACGATGTCCTGAGGTACAGTATATGCTTAAAAATGAAACACATATAGGACCTTGAAAAAAACATTTGTCCCCTTGCACAGTTTTTACATTTTGTTGATTTAAATATTTATATAATATTTGGAATTTGTGGAAAGACTTGAAAACTGCTGTCCACAAGTGATCCCCAAGCAACTTGAGTGAGCTTGAGCAAATCTGTCACAAAAATGGCTGTAATTCCCAAGCAAACATACTTCTACCAAACATTGAGTTCACAGGTCTGAAAACGTACAGTATTCCACTAACATATTTTAGGTTTTTCTTAGCTTTTTTTGTTTTTGTTTTTGCTGACATTTATAGTTACTTATCTTACCTGTTGTTCTTGTCGGAACCATATTCACTAGAAAGCAGTGGGGAACAATTCTCTCACCTGACCTTGAATTTTTCTTGAGGAGTATGGTTTAGACACATCCACCACCTTTATCAATTATATTCACATTGTGTGAATAGTTTAAAACCTAATTTTATGAACGTGATACCATTACCCATTTTTTCAAAACCAGAGCCACAGTGCTTACTGTATTGTATATCAGTGAATTCAGGTTGTTTTTTTTACATGCTGCATTTTATATTTTTTCAATGTTTTCAATTGAACTTTCAACTGAATTCAATCAAACTTTTCAATTTCTTGGCAGATAATGTCACTTTCTTCCTAAACTATCCTCTAACGTAGATGGATTGGCATATTATAGTACAGTATGTAACTTTACCTATGCAGCTAATTATTTCAATTATATTAGCAATGAAGTTCAAGAATTCACAATAGGGTATCTATATTTCTGAAGATAGAGACATTCTGAAGATTCTGAAGAAAATGTCCTGAAGTTAGACACTTGTATTTTGAACTCATGGTTCATTTGTCACCAGATGTTATGCTCCTGCCTTCATGTCAGTGACCCTCTCAACCTCTTGCAGCATGCTCTCCTACAGGTCAGTGGACATCAGGAAGAGCCTTCAGCTGGAAGAACTCCTGGCACGGGAGCAGCTCGAGTACACAATAGAGGAAGAGGTTGCCAAGCAGACTATACGCATGTGGTTAAAAAAGTGCCTGAAGCGCATCAGGGCTGTAAGTGGGAGTTGTGCTGATAGCCAAATGATGCACTGCACCAAAACACAGAAAATACAATCACATTTTTTTTCCAAATCACAATATGTAGACATTTTCCATTTTTTTCTCTGTTAGAGGTATGGTTTTGAACTTGTCCAGCCTCTGTCAGAAAATTGGAATTAAAGTTGCATTCTAAAGTTCTGCATACGCACACAAAAGAACAGTGCCACATTACTTGCTCCTGTGAATTTATATTATAGATGACTTGTATAGTTTATGTGATGCACACAGATAACCACATTGTTTCTTAGGTTTGGTCTTAAACGGTCTGTATTGTGTAGCCTGTTTTTATTTTCTTATTGTACCGGCTGGTCACTGAGGCTACTCTTTGTCAAGAGTCAAGAAGGTCAATTAGCCCCATAATTCTAAAAAGATAATTTTCTTATGAAAAGACAGCTTTTTTGACCATTTGGATTTTACATATATCATGTCAAAATATCTCAATTGTTTTGGATAGTTCCCTGTCTGCATTTGATCATATTGGAGCAAGCACATACTTTGTGTTTAACCTACTTCTTCCAAATAAAGTATAAGGACTCGGGTACATAATTCATTTTATAGTGTAAAAGTTAGTAATTGGTTGCAAAACTTTGAGGCAATAACTGCATGATGTCTATGACTTACTGAGCTCATCAAAGTCTTCGTGTAATCATGCTTTGCCAAGCTTTTGCTGCAGTGCCTTTGAATGAATTCAGTTCTTTCTTCAGTACAATATGTAAAATGCAATTGCATTTCAATCTGGAGATTGACTTGGCCAATATACTGCACAGTAGGATTTGCCACCTTTATTCTCCTGACAAACTCGTTGGTGTCATCGTCATGTTGCATGGTGAAGCACTGACCAATAAAATGTCTAAAGTCACTTTTGACTTTGCTATCCCAATTCTTTTGGAGTGCACTGTAGTAACTAATAATCATAGTTTCTCATAAACGTACTGTTTTATAAGCTGTTAAAGTTACATAAAGCATGTTCATTAGTTTAACAAATTTCCTATTTACTATTTTATTACAAACACTGCTATTCCATGAACGCTTTTAATTTCAAGTTGATATTGATTGTTTTTTTTCAGAAACAACAACAGTCATGCAGTATTATTCACAGTTTGAGAGAGAGCCAGCAGCAGGAACTGAGTCGATTCCTCAACCCCCCCAGCATTGAAACAACACTGCCTAGTGAGGACGCCAATGCCAACAACCAGGACAACCCTTCACAGCCAGAGGTATCGAACCTGACAGTTTTATAGAGGACTTCAGTGGCTGAAGGGACTCCCATCTGGCCAGTAGCAAAAGACTACTGACATTACTTGACAGGTTTTGCAACTTCTAAGAGTAGAAAAAACAGTCACTTCAGTGACAAAGGGAATGCAAAATCACTAAGAAATAACCTAGAGACTGAGTTAATTGAGAATGAACAGTATAGTAGTTGTTTGAAAAGGTCTGTGCTACTGCAGATGCATTGAGCCAGTTTAGCCAAGTCACACTGTTCCCCATAACTTTGTCTTATTATTTTTTCTTAGATTTGTATGGGCAGACAACAGTGGATGCTAAAAAAAAAAATTATGTTCCAAAATAATCTGCCATTATATCTCTGCTGTGTCAATATGGAAACTGGACTATGATCATACTACTGTATATACAGTACCTGTGTTTCAACAACTCTTGGTGTTTCCTTCCCTGGAACTAGGCTTATACAACTCCTAAAATACTGACAATTCAAAACTCTTCACAGGAAAATCAAGGATGTGACCAAGCTACATTTTTTTCATTTAGTGTGCAAAAAAAAATATTGCAATGCCTTTCAGAATATAAAAGTACACCTTTGAAAAAGTCAAATATCATTGATATACAGTACCTGCAGATAGAGTGCCTGTGATGTGCCCAGTCAAACTAAGGCCACTAGCTGTGGCTTCGAGAGTGCAGCTCATTACTGTGCAAGGCCAGCTTTCAATCAAAGCAAGAACTGCACTGTGTAAAGGATACGGACACAGCTTTGTCTAAGGACCTAAAGAAAGCATGAAGTGGGTCTTTTTCTTTTCTCGGATTGGCATCAAAAAAACAGAAGAAATTGATGTTTAAATCCATTGTTTTGGAACACGAGTCAACTAGAAGTGTAATCCAGAAAGCACACAAAGAAAAACTGGAAATATGGATTTATAATGTACAACAAAAGATAATCTTTTTTACACAGTAATGAAGTATAGTTCTACTACACTTAGTATAGTATACTGTACTTACTGTTCATGTCTTCCTATTGGCTTCATAATGGGGTCAGGTAGCATTTGAATTTGATGTTACAGTTGAAACTGGAAGAAGTAGCACTGTTACTATTTGCTTTTATATGATATTATGGGACATCAAGGGAGTTTAACAGAAAGAACCTGCAGTTTAAGTGTCTCTTAACTGCGTGCTTATTCCTCCGGCCTGATGGGGAGACATCTCCCTGAGGTTCATCCCTTCACTAGGAGGATGCTAGGCCTGTTTACACAATTGATTTGTTCTTAAAGGTGCCAAATATTCTATTTTGTAAGTCACAGCAAAAGATAAATGTTGATCGTACTGCACTTAGCCCCAATAGTGGTCTTCTGTTCTCTTAAAGATCTCTTAAATGGCGTATATGGAGAAGTTATTCCAAGCTATATTGAGATATGTTAGGTTTATTCCATGCTGAAAAAAAGAAGAAAGAGAACACAACGTTTCGGCCGTGGAGCCTTCTTCAGGTGTGAAGAAGGCTCCACGGCCGAAACGTTGTGTTCTCTTTCTTCTTTTTTTCAGCATGGAATAAACCTATTACTTGCTCCTTTGCAGCCTATGCATGCTGACGCAGCTACCCACCTGAACTATATTGAGATATGCCCTATAGTGAAAATGTCAGTAAAGAAATCCATACTGTATACTGTATTGAGAATGCGGGTTGGGCATTTAAACAAGAAAGAAATACATAATGGGGGAAATGCTGGACCTTTGGACTCCAGTCTCTGTTTTGAAAAAGTACCACAGAATAACATATTTTGTGTGCAGACAAGCAGTCAGCAGCAGCTGCTCAGCCCCACACTTTCAGACAGAGGAGGTTATCGGCAGGACTCAACAGAGTTGGGCAAACCGCAGAGGAAGTTTGGTCAGTGGCGCTTACCAGCAGGTAAGTAAAACTCTGACTTCATTGCAAAGCTAAGCTGAATGATGCTTACTTGTTCTTTTGCATTCAGACGCACAATTCTAAGGGCTTCACAAAAGTACAAGTGAACCCAGTATTTCTCAAAATGTCTCAGCGGAAGAGTGAATTTGGCTCACACGACATCACCTCAAGGGTACAGTACATTGCCTAGGTTACTAGCAGTTCACAAGGCATGATCCAAGTGTTGATCAGCTGAATCAATAGACAAAAATGAGAAATTACTTCAAATTGTGTTTCAAGAATGCAAAAGGTAAAGAGCAAATGAAATAATATAAAAAGGTCAGCTTTGATTGTACTGTATATTCTTTTAAAAAGATGGGGCTGTAAATTCAGTGCCTTCAAATACACATGGACTATGCTAAACCAAGTGTTCAGCTACAGTATCCAGAATAATTTTAAAATATAATATATAAGCAAAGGTGAAAACAATCAATTAATTTCATTATTGTTGTTGTGAAATGTGGTTTCTCCAAACTTCAATATGCTTTAGAGTATTGAACATTTTTTTAATTATATTAAAAAAGAAGTGGTTTGTGGAGATGCAGTTATATTTGGCTTTTGTTAAAAGAGAGGTTTATAATATTTTGATTGTACAGAGAAGTATACAATCTTCTGTTTGAACTGATAGTTTAAGTCACTTCTTATAGGGTTTTTACTTTAGTATGTCTTCATAAAAACTGCAAATAAACTGCAAGTATTCTGGAAGGTTTAGTAGATAATTAACTTAAAGGGGTAATTATTTGCAGTTTGACAATGTTTTAATTCAGTTAGTAAACATAATTAAAAAAAACTTTGAACTGTATCAGTATAAGGAATCCAGAAGTTATTGGAATACTATTATTCTGTATTGTACAGTAGATGATTATAAATAATAGTTTTCTTACAATGTACAGTTACTTTGCCATTTTAACTCTTTTCCCAGTCATGTTAATGTACACATTACATTACATTTAAACATCCTTATTCATTATTTAAACCAAATAATTAAAGGTATGCAGCTAGATCTTCCCTTAGGGATCTCTCGTACTGTATGTATGAAATGGCAAAGGTTGACTGTCCATTAATGTATTAATGTGCAATGTTTGGTAACTTGGCTGTAATGTTGAAGCTCCCAGGCTGTTTTAATTAAAGCTGTTTTATCAATGACTTTTCAGCACCTAAACCTATAAGTCATTCTGTTTCCTCTGTCAACTTGCGGTTTGGAGGTCGGACTAGCATGAAGTCCATCGTGTGCAAGGCGAACCCCATGAATGAAGAGACCTCTTCAGGCTCAGAGGTGAAGAAGTGGTGGACGAGGCAGCTGACTGTGGAAAGTGACGAGAGTGGTGACGATCTCATTGACATTTAAATGACAACAGAAAATGCTTTCATTTCAGGGGGGAAGACAGGACGTACTGTAAGACCAAAGCCTTCCTAGTCTGAGTAAAGCTTTGTTGTATTCGAATCTGTCAGAGGCTTGGGTTTTCCAAGCGCAATATGTACTGTATAACGAAAGAAAAAACTCTAGAAGGAGAAAAAAAGTCAGCTAGTATTTATTTTCCCTGCAGCAGTGTTTCTTGTAATACTCATTCCAGGGAAAGAGTTTCACCACTCTTTTACAAATACCTTAAATCACTTAATCCACTATTCTTTTGGATACCCTGTTTACTGTAGATCTCTCAATATTATCCAGCTTTTGTGATGCTATTCCTATGCCAGCACCATTTGTCCACTGTTGCAATGGGATCATCTTTTATATGGATGTCATTATAAAGCATGAAGTAAAAGCCAGACATGGACTGGAGGTTTAAAAAGTTCTATGCTGAACTGCAAAAGCAATGTGTTTTGTAGTATGAGAAGCTAAAACTGAAAGCCATACAAAGTTCTTCATATTGTATATTTTGCTGTTTTCTTGATTAAAGTATGCCATTGAGTTGCTATGTACACCCATATACTGTATTGTATTGTATGTTGTTGTGTATTAGAGTTTGTGTTACATTTTATCTCAAACCAATGTCTCTGTTGATCAAAAGAAAGTCACTGAAGCCAAATGGCAGGTGGAAAATAGAACCTAATAAAGGATATGCTACCTGTTCTAAAAGACTGTAAACAAATGAGGAAAAAAATACTTTATTGTGAATGTAAACATTAATTATGATTTTCAAATGTGAGTATATAAAAAACAGAAACTTATATTCCAGATATAGGCCTATATTTTATTAATTAGAGGTTCTATGATTACATTTGTAAATGTATTATGTGTTTTTGATAATAAAACAAGATAAAAGCCATCTTTGCATAATCTAAATATTAGAGTAGAATTGTATTTTGTTGCTGTCAACGTATTGATGCAAAACTCCATCATGAGTTATTCTTCAGTTAAAACTGTAAAGTACTGTAGCAGTGTTATGTACTATACGTAATAATTGTGTGTGTAGTCTTTCATTTTAAAGAGACAGAAATAATTGCTGATGAAAATGATTCGTAACAAATATTTATTCATTTGAAATAAATTGAACCCACAGTTGGGAATTTCCGCTATCACCATTTGATTGAATGATAAAACAGCAATAAACTAACTTGTCTCCACAACTCATTGTGAAGAAAATGTGAACAAGCAACTAACCACATGGAATAATATGGGAGACACTACGGTTTTTCATCTCTTATCACACCCTCATAAACTGAGTGCAAGGAGAGAAAGAAGTAGGATCAGTTCTGCTGAAGACATAAATAAAACTGAAACAGAGCTTGTCTTCACACTATTTAGCAGGAAGTGCGAGAGATGCTTTTGCGTCCTCTCTAGGGCCATGAGGAGAGTTCCCTTATGTCCAGAGCTCCACGGGCATCATGCCTTCTTTGGAGTTAATTGAGGGGAAGAGGTTCTCCTCCGAGAGGAAATAGAAGGGGAACTGGACGAGGAATCCACGGATCTTCCTCAGCTCCTCGCAAGCCAGCAGGGGGTCTTCAGTGGCCAAGGATGGGCGAGACATGTACTCCCGCAGGATCTTATTGTTGAGCACAGCGTCAGTCGGTACGCACCTGAACACCTGCACAGTTGTATTGTGTAAGGTTAAAGCGGTTTTGGTCTCACAAGCTGGTGACGGCTTCGTCCTTCATCAAAGCACATCTCTTTTGTGTCTTAACTGCGCTTACAGCACTGTATGGTACTGACAAATGTAGCAATAAAAGAAACTTTGAAAGTGATTATAATTGGAATGCATCGGTTGTAACAAAAGCAAAAATTCCCACTTTGTCAATAAGGGGCTTGGCTTTTCTAAAATTGATATTGTTCGCATATAAAACCAATTGGTTACATGGATCAGACCATTATGTTCTATAATGCAGCTATATATGATTAAGTGCCGTAGAACCAAAACATATACAGTAAAGACATCATTTTCATAGTAATGAAGGAAACACAATGGATCAATTATGTTCAATAGAATATTTGGTGCTAGATATACATTACAGCTGTTGGACTGAGAGTGGAAGGCTAATTTGATTTTCTTTCAGTCTGACATTAAAAAAGGCACGATACATTCACAGAAGGAAGACATTATGCAAGACCTCTTTCTCAGCCGAGAGAAAAAAGGGAAACTTCTTTTGAGGGAAACCTTGTCAGTAACCGTCTGCTTACAGTACATCTTAAGTATGTCCCATACGCTGTTTATCAATACAGCAAGATAGGTGACAGGTTATTAACACTCATATCTACACCAAAGAGGGAACTTAAAATGATTCCTTCCAAGGTAGAACTTTTTTTATGTCCTCAATTGTTTATGATAAAATGGTTGTCTAAGATTTCTACATCAAGAATAGACCTCCAGCACAGAGAATCTTGAAAAGTGTCACCTGCCTTGTCATACACACTGGCATTCTTTGCAGCTGTTACCATCCATATCTCCTTGTAGAACCTGTCACTGAGGGGGTCACTGACATCCACACTGAGGTCTCCCAGAAGCCCAAGAACCAGTCTATATGAAAGAAATAAGGCAGGTTAAGATGTCATCAATGAATTATTGCCTTCTGATTTTTAAGAGAAACGTTTTGTGGTTTTAAGCACTATGAACACATAAATAGCTTAAGAAAAGGGCATCTAACAATACTACCGTATACAATTAGCAAACTTCAGATGTTTCTACATGAACCATGATATGGCAGGCAATTTTATAAAAGAAAAAGTTTGATCAAATTACAAAGAATATCTCCTAACAAATTAATTTCCTGACAACTTGGCACAAGTAGGGAAATTGTTTCAAATTAACATTTAAATTGAATCTTGTTTCTGTCATATAGGAAAAGAACGTGTTCTTGCATTGAGAAAGACTTCATCAACTTTGTAGCCTTAATTATTTTACATCAAAGTCCAAACTCATATTGTGGTCGTTAATTAAACACTGCAGGTCTGAAATATAAAGAAGAAAGTTTGTCTAAAAATTGAAAACTTAGTATTAACTCCAGACAATTATAAGGGGCAATACCGATATGGTTCTATAGAACTTAACTGTTGACGTGGTGTAAAATTCTGAAACAGAAATCTGGCTCTTCCATTTTATTGCCCAATAATTAGGAGGAACTGGAATATATTGGGAAAACAATATTTGCCCCAGTTGCTCCACTTAACCACTGATGCTCTGTCAGAACCTGCTGTTACAAGGAACCTATCTACTTATTATCTACTTCTTCACAAGGGTACTGTAATATTCTTAGTTTTATTCTCTTTACAACTACTCCCTTTACTGTAACTTACTGTAGGTGTTTTTTAGGAAGTAAGGTGAGGTTGGAAATTAGATCTAACAGGTTGGGCTTTTAGGTAACACTCCCTTAGCTTACTGTAGCTCGACACTGAATAAAAATCAGTTCAATCTTCTTAGCATTGCAACATAACACATCAAGCAATTAATGCTGAGTACACTGTATCTGTTTCGAATTCAGTGACATTTTACTTCTCTGGTACTAAATATATAACCATAATAAAGGTTTCAGGCTTTGTCCACTTATGAAATACAGTATATTATTTTTATATGAAATAAACTGGTCCATGCACCTGAAGCACTCTACTCTGAGCGACAGTGCAAATCTTCCAGCTTGGTAATTTTCCCCATCCATTACGGAGTGAAGGAACTCTGTGTCTTCCACTACCACAGCCATCTCGCTGTCACGCTTGCCCAGCATGCTTCGGTCATTGATGTTGGCAGAGCCTGCTCGGAAACAAAAGGACAAGGTTCAGAAACAGCACTAGGGTGGCAGAACTAGGGTGGTAATACCAGCCCCACAATGCATTTTATACATGTGTAACAGTTTTGTTGACCGTGAGCACCTCTGCTATCGGTGTTTTCAGTGGTCTGAGTTCCAGCCATCAGTTATCCATAAGTTATAGTTGATTTATTTATTTTTTTAATTTCTGAATGCATTCGGAAAAGCTTTGGAGGTTTGCATCACTGGTTTGCATCACTGCCTGCAGTGCTGGCTCTATGTTCAGTTCCTGTTCAGGTACTAGCTATGTAGAGTTTGTATGTTCTCCCTGTGATCACATGGGTTTCCTCCAGGTGCTCCAGCTTCCTCCCACAGCCCGAAGACCTACTGGTGGGTTAATTGGCCTGGATAAATTGACCCTGGTGTGAGTGTGTGTGTCTGTGTGTCCTGCAATGGACTGGCATCCCATCCAGGGTGTACCCTGCCTTGTGCCAATTGCTTTCCAAGATGGCCTCTGGCTCCCCTGTGACACTGTACTGGATAAAGGGGTCAGAAAATGGGTGGATGGGTGGGATGTATTGGAAAAGTGAATGTAAATTTAAGGGGTTACGTCAAAGGCCATGACCACATACCAAGCAAGAATGTTTAAAAAAAAATAACTGAAAATTGATTTTATTTTGTGAAAATCAACATTTTAAATTTGTCACGGATACATTTTTTCTTAAATTTTTGCTTCCAGTGTGTCACAAGCTGTTTATTCATTCCTCCCATCACTGCATGTTGTACAGTATAATATAGACAGAAGCATCAACTTGGAATGTATATGGTACAAAATTATAATACAGAGCTGCCCACATCCCCCCAAAAAAGTTATTACATTTCACATAGCATTCGCTTTCTTACAAGTGATAATTATTTTGACTATTACTGAGGGTTTTATTTCTAAATTAGATATGACAAAGAATGATTGTGGAAAATTTAGGAGGGAGGCTTAAGAAAGATTTATTGTGTTGTGTGGCTGAATTCTGTAAAGTGCTCCAGACATTGAGCGCCCTCTACTGGAGTATGGTGGTACTTTTTATTTTGTATCAAGAAAAATGATGTATTGTACTGCCAGAAAAAATCCTGTAACCTGTGAGTCCTCCTGGACTGGATACTGTGATGCATTCAATCAACAATATAAAGACTGGCAAATCACCAGATTAAAGTTAATCCTGCCCAAACATAACATCATCTATGGTACATAAAAGGCAGTACAGTGATGCAAATTGTGTTTTGTTCTGTTTGGTACCATTTTCTAGAATCATGATTTATCATGATTGATTTTACTAGGATCAGGATTTCTCAGTAATCTGTTTACTGCAGATTCCTTTTGTGACAAGTTTCTTACCAATAATGACGGTGTTGTCATCGACAATCATTAGTTTGCTGTGCACGTAGATGAGTTCAGTGACCAGTTTGCCATCCAGGTCAGCATGAGTCCTCAGTCCGCAGAAGGAGATGTAGTTGATCCAGCAATCTGCCACTGTGATGACACGTGGGGCAGGAGTCACAGGGAAAACAGACAGGCAGCAAGTTGTGACGCTCAAAGTACAGTAGTAAGCACTAGCTGAAACACACAAGACCCTGGTGCAGCACAATGAGAATCCTCGACAGAGTGAAAGTCAGTAAGCCACATAACACTAAGCACAAAACAGAGCATGCACAAACACAGAGCCATCACAGTCCAGGACTAAATAAAAATGTTTCTCTACACTTTTAAGCGCTTTGAGAAGCCACCTGTAAAGGTGCAATATAAAATAAAGTTTATTATTATTATTATTATTATTATTATTATTATTATTATTATTATTACATGCCAATCGCAAATTTTAAACCCAGTGCTTGATGGGCAAAATCAAAAGGCTGTACAGTGTGTGAGTATTTTTTGTAATCATGTGCTGTATTTGTGTGGTTTTCTCCCATGTTGAAACAAAAAGACAGGACAGCCCATGCAAGTGCAGCACATTGCCTATCATTTAGTCTTTAGTATTTGGTTACCTGTGTTAATTACAAAAGATTTTCACTTTACGGTGATAAAGGGTAGTTGAGAAAATCCTTCATGTACTGTACAAAGGTTTGCAGGTCAAAAAGTGGGCTCAGCCAGCACCCCCCACCCTTACCTTGGATATTAGTCCAGACTAATCAAGACCATGTCTTAGTCATTGTTGCGCAATGGGTTTGATGAATCAAATCAATTAGCATCAGCAACTTGTCTACTTACTCACACGTTTGAGTTTCTCGATGATGGAGTGCTCCCCTCTGCACATTGTCCTAAGGGAACAGCATGTGATCATTTCTCTTAATAGAGAAGGAGATTAAAACTAGTACATCTTAAAGCATTGTCATTTCTTTCCTTACTGGCAGTTTTTCATTGCACAAAGCCAAATTGGTGAAAACTGTCAGTGAGTCTGTCAGTCAGCCTTCCAGTAAAAAGTTAATTGCTACCATGTGACCCAGATATATTTTAACAATTTTTCACAGTCGTTTTTTTTTTCTTTACACCAAATATATTGCATCTTCTTTTGGCACTCCATATCCCTATATTTAAGCATAGATTTCAAAAGATTCTGGGCTGCATTTATAGTATATTATTTATGTTGACACACAATATCCGAATGTCATATACACATTACCGTTAAACGTGAACTGTAATCTGTAGTGACATCAGCAATACTAAGATGACTAGGATAATAGTTATGACTTTACCTGTATAGACAGTTCAATCTCTGATTAGCACGTTATTGAGCAATAACATTCACCATGATGTGGCTACTAACATTCAACTAATTTTTAAATAATGTACCCTGTTCAAATAGATCTATTTTGATTCCATTTTTTCCCAAGAATGCATTCAGTTAATCTGTTCTTTATCATAAACTGCTTTTACCTATCTCCTTTTACCTAAGGGGTATTCCCTAATCTACTGTATCAATACCCTCAAAATAATTAGCATGAGAACATAAGAAGGCTTGTAAGTAAGAGGGGTCTATTTGATAGTTCAGTAGCTAAGTGAATCGAAACATTTGTCCAGTTTCTAGAGTGAGTGGGGCTTCATCCCCATAGAAGAGAAGCCAGGTCAGGACACCCACAATTATTTGTGCAAACATCTTTTTCTTGTTTGCTGACCTAAACAAACTTTCTTTTAGTTTTCAATTCTGATTTCAATTGTCCTTGTTTCCGCTGCTTGATAAGACAAACATTAGCAAACATTAAATTTATAGCTGTATTCAAGATTTAAATAAATGATTGTAGGATACTATAGTACAGTGTTATTATTTAAGCCAGGAATTAGAGGTTTCTACTTTTTACTAGTAAGTTTAAATCCCTCCTAGTGGAAAGTTAGAACCTACTGTATGGAACCACAGAGCTCCTGGACGTAAAGGTACAAATGCTGCCTCCTGGGTATTGTACTGCATAATTAACTGGGAAATGGAATGGTGTTTAGTCAGAATTATCTTCTGTTTAGTTATCTTAGTTAACTTTTATGTAAGCAATGCTTAATCTGCAAAGGAGAGCAAACATTTTGGGTTATTACTGCCTTAACCTGATCATCTTCTTCATCATGCATCGCCAGCAGCCATATCACCTTGCGGCAGCCCACTGAAGCTCAGCAGGTGTGAGCCGAGTCAGTACCTGGATGGGAGACCTTCTGGAAAAGCTAAGGTACCTGGTGGAAAAGGTGTTAGTGGGGTCAGCAGGGGGTGCTTACCCTGCAGTCTGTGTGGGTTCTAATGCCCCTGTATAGTGAAGGGGGGAACCATACTGTAAAAAGGTGTCATCCTTTGGATGAGATGTAAGACTGAGGTCTTGACTCTCTGTGGTCATTAAAAATCATAGGGTGTTTCTTGAAAAGAGTAGTGGTCTTACCCTGACATTCTGGCCAAATTTCCCATTGGCCTTTAACAATCATGGCCTCCTAATAATCCTTGTCTATGAATCGGCTTTATTGCTCTGCTCTCCTTCCCACTTATGTGTGTGGAGAGCGCACAGGTGCACTATGGCTGCTGTTGCATCATCCAGGTGGTGGTATGTACAGTGCTTTGAGTGGAGTGCCCAGAGAAGCACTATATAAGTGTAAGCAATTACTTGAATTAATTAATCATCATGTTGAATGGATGGAATTCTCAGGTGCTTTGCTTCAGCTCATTAGAGCACAACACTGTCATCAGGGTATTTCATAAATACCATTACAGTTTAACAATGCTAAGGTGCTATAAAACCTTCCGTCCATCCATTTTCTAACCGCTTCATCCAATTCAGGCTCTTGGCAAGCAACAGGCACAAGGCAGGATACATCATGGATAGGATGCCAGTCCATTACAAGGCACGCACAAACAGAAACACACACACTCAGACTAGAGCCAATATTCCCAGAAGCCAAGTAGCTTACACGTACCACCATGCCTTTGGACTGTGGGAGGAGACCAGAGTACATGGAGTAAACTCCACACAGATAGCATCCCGAACCTGGAGTTAATCCCAGGGCCCTAGCACTGCAAAGCAGCAATGCTAACCACTATGACACTGTGCTGCCCGGCATCAGTCTTTTGCAGATTAAAACATAATGTCCCAGGGTTCAGAAATTCCTATTAACACGTGTTATTGTGTTGGGTTTGTTTTTACATCTCCAACACTGAGTTCTGCTTTAGGTTTGATCTTGTTCTTATAGTGTAAAATTAAAACAGTTCATAATGAGGAATTAATTTAGAAGTCTGTTGATGAAACAAATTTTATCATTGGAGACTGTTAGTATATTTCCACACTTCTTCAGGGACTTCAATATGCATATCTAATATATTTTTAGCTCCAGTAAGTTATGTTTTACAGATATATGATATATTTTTTAATACTATACTTTAAAAATGTTGGAGCAAAACAGTTCTGTATGTTTGTTATTTTGCCTTTTAATGTCTTCCTATAGAACATGCTAGTAAAGATATAACAGTAGGACTGTTACACAAAAACCCCCACAAAGTTCCAAAAGATAACAATGTTCACAAGCAGATGACATGTTATTAGATTCTTGCTAATTTATTTTTTCAAATTCTGGGACTTATTCACAACCTGTGAAATTAAAATATGTGAAGGTACAGTACACATAATTTATTTTCAGTAATTACGCTAAGATTAACTGTTCTTCTTCGATCATCGACTTTATTTTTGTGGGACCTTCAAGACATTAAACAGTGCTTTGAAATGAAATATAACAGGGATGTACTGTAGTGCATATACAGTACAAATGCGTAGAATTCTTTTATCTAATCAAGGCTGCATTCAACACAACCTGTTCAACCTAAAACCAGGAGGAATGTGATATTTTATGAGATGCTCTTTGGTATCCAGTGTATCGGCTTTTTCTGTCTTCTCCATTTCTGTATTTTTTTTTAAAGACACGATATCACATCATTTCCAAGATCAAGCTTTCATTCTGTGTTTTTGTGATGCTAAATGTCGACCTGCTGGGGCTAAGCTGTTATCTTTAAATGCTCCAGTTGCAGAATGGCCATAATTGTCCCTCATTATTCAGGAGATAGTTTATAATTAGCTGGCATTTGATGTGCTGATTACTTATTTTTCCTTTAAAAACAGTTTCAATGAAGTGCTTAGATCGACGTGAGGCTTTCCAACTGAATTGCAGGTTAGGCAGGTTGTTCTGTTTCACCTGTGAAATTCCCTGGGCCTCCAGTGGGATGAAATGAATGTAGTGCTGGTTTCAAACTGAAAGAAAATGTCTTGTATTTTGCCGAGACTGCAGATAAATAAGCCTCACTGTTGGGTTGCAAGTGTATAAGACAGAAAGTTGCTTGATGCTTGAAATGCACTTCATGAGGGATAAGGTAGTGATCTTTCATGTTTTGCATTTTAACAAATAGTACACTGTGTCTACAATTATATGTTGACATAATAAAAAAAGACAAATGCTTTCCTTTTATAAAATGAACAAAAAAAAGTAAGTCAGGACTGAATACCTGTAATTAAAATGCATGATTGCCTTGATAGCTTGACCTCCTCCAGTAGAGATATCCCCTTCAAATCCAGGCAAGAGAGGCATCACAACATACACTCGGAATTTCTTCTTTTCCCTGTAGAAATTTAAATTTATGAAGCTTAGATATTTAAAAGAATATTCTAACTATTTAAATGAGATTTTAGGATTGGCGTGTCCTTATATAATGTATATATGAAACGGTGATATTAGCAAAAATTTTGTAATACTCAATATGACTATGAACTTGTAACAGGAAGGCTCACAATACAGACAGGGCAGTGTAATTGTTCCTACAGTATGAGCAGGATATCTCAGTCTTTTTTCCTTCTGCCAAAATGACAATATTGGAATGGATACAGATACAAGCTGCTTTGGGTAAGAATGGCAGACACTAATTTTTTAAAGCAAAGTATCGAGACATGGCTTGACATGGAGGAAATTGAAAAAAAAAAGATTTCACCAAGGCAACAAAGATTTCCTCAAGATTCAAAACAACCATACCTGTATGCTCTTAGGATTCTCTCTGTTAGCGCATCTCCAATACCATTGTGAATAGTTTTGTCAGTACAACTGATGAAAAACTGATTCTGCAAGACATGACAAGGATCTTTGAAGTTTTGTGAACACAGAAAAATATATAAAATATGTAAACCTTTGCCATACACAAGCCAACATTTTATGTTCAAGCATAGTACTGTGTATTTCAATTCAAAGGCAGCCAATAGACTTCCAAAAGTTGTAAGTCTTTAATACAGGACATTTTTCAGAAAATATACTCAACAAAACTGAATGAGAACCCAGTAATTGTTATAAGTTAGGTAGTGATGTACTCCTTGACTAGTTCCTTAAAAAGAAGGAAGAACCACTTCTGAATGCATTTCTGCTGCTTGGTGCTTTAGATGACACTTGATCCTAAGCTCCTTGCAATCTAATACAGTACACGCACAGTACTGTAATACAGATATAACTAGCTTGTCTATCAGGGAAGCAGTTACATACTTTTGATAGCAATCATGACAACCTACAGAACGGAAAATGCCAGATCTAGTAGTTGTCTTACCTCAATATAAATGAAATGCTTGCTATTGCTGATTGCAGAAATGTATGCCAAGTGAATGGACTCTTCGTGGATTTTTGTGCCAATGGACCACTGACACACAGATCTCAAGACCTGTATTTAGAAAATAAGAAAGCAAAGCACTAGGGTAAGAAGCACTAGGTTACAGAGGGTAGCAAACTGGCACAGTGGCTGCCGTTTCTGCCTTGCACCTGGCTGTGCTATTTGGTGGAGTTTGTATGCTGTCCCCATGTTTGCGTGGGTCTTCTCTGGGTGTTCCAGTTTCCTCCCACAGTCCCACAGTCCAAAGACATACTGGTAGGTTAACTGACTTCTAGGAAATTGCCCCTGGTGTGAGTGTTTGTCTGTATCTGTATCTGTGTGCCTTGCAATTGACCAGCATCCCATCTAGGGTGTATCCTGCCTTGTGCCCACTGCTTGCTGGGATAGGCTCTTGTTTCCCTGCGACCCTGAATTGAATTAAGTTATTTAGAAAATTTACAAACGAGAGGCAAATTGGCTCATTTTACCTGTTAAATAGTCAGTATCTAATTGTTTCAAGGATCTCATCCAGTTGTTTCTTAAAAGAATCCAGAGTATCAGGCACAACAACATGGCTAGACAGGTTGTTCCATTTTCCCACAATCTTTTTTGTAAATAAGTATCTACAGTTTCATATCCAGTTTAGATGGAAAAGAAGAAAATAACAAGCCTAAAACAAAGTATAAGATCAAAGACATTCCTTATTCCCTTAATTTTCTAAAGTGAATTAATAAAGTGAATTTATTCAATAATTCCTATTGTATAGGACTGTACTGACCTGTACATTGGCGTGTGTGCATTTGCCCATGTCCAGAGGGAACTCCACAGGTGCAGAGAGCGATTTGGGTAGTAAGCAAGGGTAACATGTTGCACCGGAACGTTTCTTTACCAACTGTAAGGAAAAAAAAATCCTGGCTAAGATTGAAATCACGAACTTTTGCTCAGTCCGAAACATAAACATAAACACATTTACGGAATTGTTTTGTCTCCGGGGCCTTGTCTGTGTGGAGCTTGCATGTTGATCCAAAGTCCACATAGGATTTAGCCAGGGGGCTCCAGTTTACTACTACTTTCTACCCAATAACATACTATCTAAATTAATTGCTGTCTCTGAAATGTTTGTCCCTGTATGTGAGTGTTTACCTTGTGATGGATAAATACCCCATTTAGAGTGTTATCTTTCCTTGCAGCTTTGGAAAGCAATTCTAAGTTGATATGACTCATTCCAGGAATGTGGGATTTCTGATAGTGGATGGATGGTAAGTCTTTTCTGCATCTTTTCTGTGTCTTTTTTGCAAATGTAGGTAGAAAAAAATAGAATTATACATTACACATAAGACTAATACAAGTGGCAGTGGTATCACTCTTATTAGAATCCAGTCTTTATAGAATACACTGTCTAGAGGGATCTAAGGCCAAAGGCATTGTGAATACTTTTTTTTAGTTATTAGGATATTTGACAGAATTCAACCACTTTGACAGTTAAGACCTAATCATTGATCACAGTGGTCTGGTGGAATTCTATTTTTTCTAGGTGTTCTGTGCTGTAGAAGTCCACAAAGAAAAAATATGCATTCCTTCTATCTGTCTAAGTCATTATTACCGTATTCCAAAACAAGATACCTGTAATATGAGTGGTGTTTAAAACTGTGAAAAAGACAAAGATGATGTTTTTTGGGGTCTAGAGGCTCGCGTGATTCAAGTATCAGAGAACATTGTAATGAGATGCAGTTACAGTGAACTAGGTGATGGCTGTAGTTTTCAGTAATTCTGTGAGCTGGCTTAGTTAGATGCCTAGCCGAGAGTGTGCGATCACACAATCTGAGATCTTGGACAGAAGGTGTAAATGAAGAAATACATCAAATTACAGCATATACAGTAGGTACAAGGATAGAAGAAGGTGGTTTTGACACCAAAAAGCTATGATGTAGTAAGAAAGTGCTGATATATATATATATATTTGTGCATACGGAACGATGGATGCATGCATAGAAATGTGTTAAATTTTGTTTATTCAAATCATGGAAAACTTCAGCTGACATAATTCAGAATCATTTTATTCTGATATGAGGAGTGCATGATAGAAAATGACTACTGATGACTTGGATTTCTTTCTTCAGTCAACAGCCTAGCATCTCTGAATAAATTAAATCTTATGGTTGTGAAAATATAATCAAAATAAGAAAATCCCTTTGTGGAGAAAGAAAAAACACTCTGGTATTGAATTCTCATATTGTTATGTGAACAGCTCATGTTGTAGAAAACGACGTACCGGTATTGCTCCGTGAGCATTGTTGTTTTTGAACAAAATCTTTCAATTAACTCACAGAACGATTTCAGAATGAAGACAACTCATAAAATTAACCCATTAAGTACTTTCTGCTATAATGTAATTTTTTAACTAATTGAACTGGCATTTTGTGTTGATTTCATTGTAATGGAGGTGAGTCTTATTTTGTGAGCAGTTGTCACTGTGACTTGTTGTCTTCTAGCTGTTAGTTTTTCTAGCTGTCTAGACCTAGAGGCTGGAAGATCAACACATGTGCTGTAGTTTGGGTGGTTTATTAAATAGTGTGATAAAAATATATATTGTACAAGAGCTTAGCAGTAATTCATCAGTGCTTTTTTTTTTCTTTGTGTCTGAGACTACAGAGTCATATCATGGCTTGCACAATATCGTAAACTGTAACAATAGATATGGAGATCATTATCTCTTCAAGCACTCTGTATATTTGATATTATCTGTGGAATAAGAACAATTTTCAGATTGCTTCATCTCATTTACATCATTACCTTCGACAGAGGAGTAGGAGCATCTTCAAAATCTCAGCAGGGCTACAGCTGCAACCTTTTGCTCCTTAGTAATTTTTTTAATTATCACAACATGTTTCGTGTTCTGTGGCATTTCGACAATATTTATGATACTGAATATACTTGCAGTTCAGATTCTATTAGAAAAGATACAAAGGTGTATAACATCTCCTGGGTACTAGAAATGCAATCACAGTTGGGGTCTATTTTAGTATTTGATTGCACATATTCTGGTGTTTGTACAGTATTCTTCTGATTTTGATAGCCGCACAAGCTAGTAGACATATTCAGTTGATATGGTTTAATAGTAGATTCCAAATGAAAGAGATTACCTGTAGTTTATTCCCTATCGTTTCTTTAACATTGCAAAGTACCTCGCATAAAATGCAAACTTTATGGAATATGTGTAAATATGTAGATCAGTCTTTTATTTCTAAAGACAAAATATTTTGATTTATTTCAATCTTCAAAATACTGTATGATTTTAAAAACATTATTATTATTATTATTATTATTATTATTATTATTATTATTATTATTATTCCTGCTTATTGTTGTACTTTTTATGGCAGAATAATCAAATTGATTATTTTTGCTCTAACAAAAATGGAGCTTGAATAAAATGATGAATGCAGACAATTACTAAATTCAGTTCCCTAATCAGCAGAGTGGGCAATTGCTACACCAGAAATCACTTCAATTGTACTTTTCTTTGGGCCAGGGAATCTCATTTTCTTTAAACACCTAATCAAGCCCATTCATGCAGCTTTTGTTTCCACCTCTTCCCCACCTGGCTTCCCTTTATTTTTAATTATTCCGAAAATGTGCCTGATCCGCAGCCAGAAATGAAATATGACTGACATTTCATTTCGAATAATACAGGCCTGCACCAATTAAATTACTGAACAATCCCAGTAAAAAGGACTCTAATTATTTTAAAAGGGATCTGTGAGAGACAGTGGTATTATTGAGTCACACAAGCATTCAGAACACACTTCAATGCTAAACTGCAGGTGGTGCTAAGCTCAAGCTAATGCTGCTTATTCTAAAGAATTACAAGACAAAAAAAAACCTTTTCAGCAATGGAACATACAAATGTCACTACTAGCAGATTATTTTTAAACTGGATTTTCTATTCTACAAAAAATTAACCTTTCTTTATAGAGGTGTACAAAACCTCTAATTCTAATTTCTAAATTAAAGATAATTTACACTGCATCTATCTCAGACTTTACAATAAGCACAAAATAAATAAAATATAGTATAATTTAGGTATTTTAACTGTGGACATCCTGTGCAAAATAAAGGAAGAAAGGAACACCTTCATAATATGCAATACAACATTGATTATGTTTGCCTGACATTTTTTAAAAGTTAACCAAAAGTGTGATTTATATAATGTCATCAAATAAAAAAAATAAAGGTTAATAAAATGTTTCTTATCATTCATTGGTGATGACAGCTCAATATATATGTTACTATTTCTGCTTTTGTGAATAGTTCAAAACATCTGTTGATAATGACGTTAAGCATCACAACGTTCCTGAATTCAAATAATTAGTAAAAACAAAATGGTTCAGTGTAAATACAAACCTTTGTGAAATTCCATCTCTGAATGAAATGCCTAGCAACATCTCTTGCTGCCTTGCCCTGTACTGCCACTCCTATATCATGCCAAGGCATCCTGGGAGTTTTATATCGGTCAATAAAATCTGTAACAGAAAAAAAAAACAATGTTCCTATCCCTAATCTGTTCAAACAAAAATCATACATATATATATGCACATGCACACATTTTGCCAGTGGTGATTTGTTCAGCAAACAATTCTAAACACAAGTTATTTAGATTCTGTAGATTACTATAGCATTCCCCTGGTTTAAATTGCACAGTGCACTTAATGCAAATTTGATGTTTTCCAGAGGTCTTCCCAAATATGGTGAGTTTTGTGACAAGCCCTTGTTCTATATCCGGGGGTTAAACAAAGCCAACATAATTAATTGCACTGAGCTATGTTTACATTAGATATTTTCCTGTGTGAAGTCATTAATTGCAAAAGTAGAAAATTATGTATATGGGGTAAATAAAACTGATGCTTCTGTGACAACACTCAGCTTGCTATTGTTTTTTTTTTCCAGTATGTTTGGCATGGATCCATTGTGTTAGTGCGTTTATCTAGAACCCAGTGTTAAAATGTGTTTTCTCAGTGTTTTGTTACAAGACAGCTCCTCAATTATTTTGGGAGTTGTATTAAGGTTAAGGGAGTCTGCCCCATTTTCAGTAATCCACTTTCGGTCAGCAGAAAATAATTTTTAGGTTGGCTCCATGTTTGGTAGAAATCTATAACTGCTGTTATCGTATCCAATTCTTCTCCTGACAGGGTTTCACACTGGCATTGTAACCAGTACAGGGCAGGGGATAGAGATTTCCAAGGGGGTTCTGACACGACACATGCATAGAGAGATCTACAGTAACCAGTCACTCTTCCCTCGCAGATGTAAGACCTCTTATAATGACCTATTTACTGCAGTGGAGTCTGATGTAAATTTCAAGATGGGAAGCTTTAACCTGACCTGTGCCATTTCAAAATACTTAGTAAATTTTCAGTAGACCACAAATTCCGCATCACAGCGCATACTGTGTAGATGACCCATCAACCGGCCATATCCTGAAAGTGAAAGTCAATGTGTGTAAAAGACAGTAATGAAGACAGCACAGTTGAATTACCACGTATAATCTGGGCTGGGGTGATTACTCCTCCTGACATGGCATGAGCATATGCTGTATTTGGCGTGTCAAAAATAAGTATTGTACTTGACATCTCAGAAATAACTTGAAAGGTTGGGATAACTTTATAAGGAATTGCCACGATTCCACGATGTGGAAGTATTTTCTATATTCCAATATGTTGATAGTGGTCACTCATAAGCACCCTTTCATGGTAATAAATTAAGGTGAACATGGCTGGACTGTAAAACCCTGTGTAACATGCATGGAATTTGGGGAACTGTGGGGAATACACCTTGTGTGTGTCTTCTTCACTGTTCTCCAGAAACAGCCTTTTTCGCCACAGATGAAACCTTTACTGACCTGTGCTGTGACTCCTTGAATCCCTTACACATGGAACAAGGGTTGATTTGAAATGCATGAGGTGAAAGATGCATATAACATAGATACAGGATTTTACCGTCAAAAGGCTTGTTCAGTTTAACCCAGTCCTTGAGGATAAAGTTGCAGTAATCCTTGCCATGCCAAAACCTGGCCTCTCCACATAGCTCATTGCTACTAATGTGACTTCGGAGTGAGCTTGTATCTAGAAAAAATAGAAATATTTTTGTATTTTTTTACAGAACGAATGACTCATAATCAAGCTGAAAGAAAAAAAAAGAAACAAAAACACTTTTCTTCATTTAGCCATCTATTAATGGGAAGCTTGTAATTCAGGATGTACTCTTAGTGGTTATAAAGCAGGGTAATGTGATGTGGAAGAGCTTAAAATACTCATTTTGTAAATGTCATTAAAATCCTATGTATGGTACGGTAGCTCAATTTATTGAGTCATTCTAATATCACAGCGTGCTCTAAATTAAGACGGATCTCTCTTTGTGAGGAAAAAAGCTACAGTGCCAACTTTTAATTTGTATCAGGCATTTCCTTTCTTCCTGTCACATTACATTTTTCAGTAAAACATTTCACATAGTCAGTTTTTGCTCTACATTACAGAGTTAGTCTATAACAAATTACATATTCATTCTGCATGGTCAGAATCAAGTGTTAATTAATGGATTACCTAAGCAAATCATTAATGAAACTTCACTTTGTTTTTCATTTCTTTTGTTGGTGAAATGGAAAATATTAGGAGCAGAAATTTATCAATTCTACAGTATAAATAAGTAATTATTATTAAGTAATGATCTTGTAAATGAGAGGTACACACTAATAGCCAATGTTCTCATGTTCATTAGTCACGTAAGATGTATTGTAGAAATCAGGATGCTTCCTTTCAGAATATTATCACTACAGTATTTCTAAAAATATCTGGCTGCTGGTAAAAAGATCTCTTATTCATAATTTTCAGTATCGTGAAATGCAGTACAACAGAGATGACATTTCTAAATATTTATTTTGCAAATCATATACTACTGTACAATAGGAATGCATGAACAGCTAAAGTAGAAAAATACATAATGGACATTATTTGTAAATTGCATAGTTGTGTTGTTGAACGTTTAGCTCCTGCATAGTGGAAACACAAGCAGAATAAGGTTCAGTTGTTACCTACCATGAGGCAAAGTCAATGAATACTGTGTTCGAAATGTCCCAGACTCACTGGACTGAAGAGACAGACTTTTGTTGGACACCTCCCTGGGATGGATCTTTCTCGAGCTCAGGCTGCTCCTGCTGCAGTACCCTGGGAACAAACATGTGGCGTCACAGCCTGTATTCTCAGTCTTACATTCACAGAGTTTCATTTTATTTTTAAGTTTTGTTGAGTTTTCAATTATTTGTTTCACTATCTTTCGTTTACCTTATCTCATGAAGTGAGCCTGGGGACGGTTTTTAATTAGGAATTGAGATTTTGTTTAAAGGTGATTATAGTACAGTCATAAACAAAACACAAACTCAAAACAAAAAGGTAATGAGCTGGAAATAATAAGAGAACAGTAATGTTTTCATTATATTTCTTCTTAGAATTGAAAACAATTTTTAGAGGCTAATGACATCACGTGATCAAAATTCAAACCGCACAGCTGATCTCTCTTTAATCATTGTTTTCCCGCAGCAAGAAAACACAGCTGCTCTTCCAAAAATTAAGTCATACTTCAAAAGACAAGGGACTCTGATGGAGCAACTATGCAGTTTTCTTCTCACCTGCTTCAGGATCTTCTGAAGTGTGGCTGCAGTCCTCTGTGGTGGGGTCCTCAGAGTGTGCGGTGTGAAGCCTGCTGCTCTGTGAGGCTGGCCTACCGCAGCTCTCTTCCTGCAGGCGCTCATCAGCGTGTTCTTTTTTCAAGCCCCCGCTCCACTCCACACTGCTTGGACTGTCTTTGCCCACCTGGCTGCTCTTGGCTTCACACATCTCTTCTTCAACTATTATGGCCGATTGCTGTGGAAAAGCCGATGAACAGATATGAAAATCCCAGCATGCAATTGCATTTCAGTTCATTGTGCGCTGAGAAACCATCCACTTGTTAATACGGTAAACCTTCAGTTTAACACACTAACAGGGGGCAAAGGATGTCCATTATTGACAAATGTTGGTTAAGTCATAAATGACGTTTTTTCAGCTCGAAACACACCATTATTTAAGAAATATATATATATTTACAGTACTATACAGTACATGTCCTTAAGATCTGACTTAGTTTTGCAATCAACACCCTGTTACCTGGTTAGTCAATGTATGGATGGAGCAATCGTCAATGAAAACTCTTCCTGAGCCTTTTTTATCATAAATATACAGGCTCTATATTTTTTGTGTAATGAATGAACTGTATATAAAAATTGTTAAAGCATACAAAACACAAACAACACCCAATTTAAGTATTTTGCCTACCCCTATCCCCTATAATTGCCCAACCCCTATCCCCTATAATTGCCCTACCTCTATCCCCGAAAGGGCAATATTGCTATTCATTTCTTCTAGACCCACTTAAAGATATATTGTAGAAAATATGTTGCATTTTATTTTATTATGTTTGTATTTTACTGAGAATTATTACATATTTTTCCCATTTTGGCATACATTACTGTACGGTAAGTTTTTTTGTAAATGCATAAAGTATTGTTATCTATCAATTGCAATCACTGTTCAGTACATGTACATTAACAATACTTTACCTTACAATTTACTGTTTCTAGGTCTTAGTTAGCCTACAATTTTATTACTAAGCACCTGAGCTGTGCCAGAAAATAAAGAAATCACTTGCCTGGCATTATTCCTGCTCCAGTATGTCTTTGACATTCAGGTATTATTTGATTTAATTATTTCATTTCCTGCTCTGGATTTTCCCAAACACCCTTATTTTGTAACAGTATAAAACAATACCACAAGAGGAGGTATCATAGCACCTGGACTCACAACTGAGTGGTTGATGGTTCGATTCCCTGCTTCAGGCACTGCTGTTGTACCCTTGAAAGAGGTACTTTACCCCTGGTGCTCCAGTCCATGCAGCTGTATAAGTGGGTACCAGCATTGTTTGGGAGTTAATACCTGTGAAAGATCTGCATCCCATCCTAGGGAAAGCACATGCTCTGTAGGCTGCTTAACCCTAAAGAAACCATGATGAGCTCTGGATGCACTCCTTTCTTTCACAACACAAAGAGTGTAACCACTAATCATACCAAAATACCAAAAATAGTGCTTTCTAGACTTTTATTGCAGACAAATTACAAGACACATTGAATTAAATATTCAGTAGTCTGAAGGTGTAATTGATCCCTGCTAAAGGGATCCTTAATACTAATTTATTTATTAGTGAGTTGCGGTGAGACAGAGCCTAATCTGGCAGGCGCAGAGCACAACGCAGGATTACACCCTGAACAGTAGCCTGTACAGTATATCGCAGGGCACATATGCACTCGTTCACATGGGGGGTATAGTTAAATATTGCATAGAATGGCCTGGGACCGTGGGAGGAAATCAGAGCAAACCCACAAGCACATGAGGATAATGATCAGCATCACAGTCTGATTATCAAGGCCAGGGACATTAAAACTGTGAGGCAGCAGCTCTAACTACTGTGCATCTGTAGCCCCCAGATTACACACTAGATATTGTTCAATAATGTTAGACAAATGCTTATCAGTGTCATTATTTTAGATGTATTGCCCCACAGTCGGAAATGTCAAAAGCCAAGGAGCAGTGTGAGAGATTTAACAGCTCTTCATTCTTTTTTCTTCTTAGTCGGAGACTCTTCTTAGTCGGAGAAATACATTGCGGCAGAAGACAAATCTACAACTTCCAGCTACTACTAAATACCACTGGCACTGCTTGACTTAGATCATGTGATGAAATTTCCCGGGGACTTGTAATCTCAAAGTATTTCACTGAAATAATGTGCAGTAAGTATTCTGAGTCAAATATAAGTAGAATGCTTCTTTTCACAAAGCGTTTGATATGTCTGAGACACACTCCCCACACAACATGACTTTGGATGCAACTAAGGCAGTTTTGCCACAAGCCTTAGATGTGAAATCGTTTTTTTTTCATGTTGAGACAGTTTGAGTATTTGTCAGAAGGGAAGAAGGGAATATCTAAAGTTGAATGAATCTGAATGCCTAGTTCATTGTGCACAGCGACGTTCTATCAGGCCTCAAGATACTAACTGTAATGTAACTATGCCTTGTTTGTTGAAGTACAAGCAAACATGTAGACCGAATAAAAGAAAAGGACATAGAAACAAGCCATTTTATAGAACTATGGATAGGTTGTTCATCTGTGTCCACAAAGTGTTAAGTATCTGTATGTTCATATGTTGCGCATGGGTAATGGTTCATAGAGGATCATAGCTTCCACTTGACAAATGGCAAATGTCACAGCAGTATTCTCCTGGTAGGCATAATTTTATTAAGTGCAAATATCACTGTGCTCCTTAGGAGACATTTTAAAGGTTATTCCAACAGCTGTAACAGTTTCATGTATATTAGCAAAGATTTTACAGTTGAGGAGCCCCAAGTAGGACAGGCACAGCCACTCAAGCATAGAAAAAGAAGCCCTAAGTGAATGCAATAAACTACTTCATAGAAAGAAAAAAATCATGTTTATTTAAACACTTCAGACATATTTAATGACATGATGGCAGGTATGTGCTGTACTACAGTAGATTCACTGCGGCAGGGTATGTACATATGGTAAATCATTCTCATTTAGTGGTTACTAGTAATTTGTTGACTCATTCATCCATGGAGGACCTTTATGTTTAATGCAGTTCTCATGAGGCAAAGAAAACTCCACCGGGGCTAAGCAATGTTTCTCAGCGTGAATGAGTAAGGATTATCTCAGAGCCCTCAAAGGGAGTCCCGGATATTATGGAACTGGTATTTATTTTTCCTTTTAAAAACAACTCTTCTGATGCTGCAAAAACACAAAGAGTGAGCTCATAAAGCTAGAAACACCCTCTCCTACTAAAGATTCAGTTTCACACCTCAAGGCATGATGCATTAACAACCTCTAGAGAAGACAGAAGATTGATGTTGATCTTTTCATACAAAATTATTGTCTGTTTTACAGAGAAAGTTGGGGCTTAGTGTTGGGTAAGCTCACTTTGCCAGTGTTCCTAAAATCACGTCTGACTCTTTTTATATATATATAGTCTTTTTTAGCACCTCACTTCTGATTCATGTCCACAACAACATACAGTAGATTGTCTTTACTAATTCTCTGAAGTATTTAGTAATGCTGAAGTAATAACTGAAGTTTAAAACAGAAGTTTGTGAAGAAGTCAAACCATAATCTCGTCCCCTATGTCTAAATAGCATGCTACTCGCTGACTCACTCCATCCAAGTTCCATTTTCATTTCACCCCATTTTTGCCCTTGCAAAAGACCTGGTCTCTTGTTGACGGGTTGGAGTTCTCTTCAGCCAGGAGAGTTACCCCAGTAAAACTTAATTTACATCCTCTTCAAAGTTTTTGACCAAATTACTGAAACCTAAACAAATACAAGACAGCATTTTTGGGGATCTCCCATTGTTATATTAAAGAGCTTAGTGTTTATCACTAATTTAAAATATTGTTTAAAAAGCTATTTTAAAAGGGTCCACAAAATTTGATTTTTTAGCTGTTTTTAGCTAGGTGAATTCTGATTTGAGACGAAAATGACTACGAAGATAACTTCTGTTTCCTTTTCAGTTTGTAATCTACTAACCTATTGAAAAGCCTGTCTGTATTAAGGCAGCCTGTTGAATCATACTGAAACTCATTTGGAGGAAGTTATAAGGCTTGAAACAAGATCTACGTTGTACAGTGTAGCATCAGAAATCTGAAAATACCATTAATTTAAATAAAGAGACTAAAAAATGTCTTGTATACAATATCCAACTACCCAGTCTAATATGTTAATTATACCTCTGTCATCAAAGGCTTTGGAACCGTTTTGCCCATGACTGAATCTGGTGCACTTCCTTTCTTATGCACAGAAACTGTCACCTGTCTGATATATTTTGACGTATGACACTAACACGCATCAAAAACACACAGCTGTTATCAGCTTGGCAGGGAAAAAGATGAGAGTAGCCATAATATTGACAAACACTGGTGCGGCACTCCTGGCGATTAGTCTCCATGGGTCATATTTGCAAGATGTTTACTGTTGTCATATTTCAACAAAAACAAAACAATACAAGTTTCCACTAATGGACTCAAAGTGGTAAGTAAAGGGTATCTGTATTATTGACTGGAACTTGCTTCATACATTACAGTCAGTAATACATCAGTCGTCTAATTGTATTTTATACATCATTGCCTTTGCAATGAACTCAATTAGTGGGTTCAGTTCTTGATTATCCTGAAGTGCAAATTCGGTGTTAAAGTTAATATCTACACACTTTTTTTGTGGCTTGCAATCTTGTGTATCCTTAAGGCCACTATGCAACACTGCGTACATGCTGTATGTGTGAAGTCCTCTGATTCCATTAGTATCGATATCGATGAAAGATAATTAAAGGTAAAACAGTAACTTATTTGATAGGGAATGGAGGTGAATGGTCCATATAAGTGGAGCATACTTATTACTTTGAGATAACACCAACTTAATACCTCTAAGGCATGTTTCCAAGATTGTTATACTATATGTGACGAAAGGGTTGTGTCTTTAAGGAGCAGAGCCCTCGCTGAGGAACCAACACATTATCTTTGCAACCACATATCTGTAAATAGGTGTTTTAACAAAAGCCTGGGAGGATTGCCAGCAACTCCCCCTTTATCTCTGCTGTTCTAACTTATAATCCTCCACGACATCCCCTCATGAAAAGCTAATAATACCATTATTATTGCCCTTTCCTACTTCCATTCAGCTTTTGCCTCCATTTTCCTATTTCCATCTTGAACCAGGTTAGGCAGGTGAAACCTCTCTCTGCTTTCTTCCTGTGTGTGGGATTCCTCGTAAATTGAACTTGAATTGTTCAGGATGTAGGGATACTAGTTCTTCCCTGAGAGACCAGAGGGAAAGGGGGAAAAGAGCGTGAAGAAAGTACCCTGGTTAGTTTGGGAGAAAGCACAGGGCTAGGTTGAGGGGTCCTCCTCACACTCCCCACATCAGTGAGACGGTGGTGATGGTCATCCCATCTCCCATAAGCCAGGTCAATGCCTCCCAGAAACGCCACAGACTGGTCGATCACCACCGTCTTTTCATGGTGCGCCCAGAGCAGTATCGTCGAGGGGACATGATCAGGGTGACGCATGACCTGCCGACAACCACGGAGACACATTTTCAAAATGAGCTGGTATCATGTGTGTCCAGATGACTGTGTTTGACAGTGCCTTCAACTGGCATTGTGCTGTTTTGTGAACTGAATTTCCATCAGATATGACATTTAAAAGTATTGGGACATGGGGGACCCCAAAACAGCGACTGAAGAGAAACATTAAAGGCGCTGATCTAAAAAAATCAACAGAGGAAGTGCCTAGGCATAAAAACAGAAATAAGCAGCTTCTGTTGCCCACCGCACGCAAAGTGAGAAACAGCTGTGTCTACAGTGAATCTTCTTTATCCTAGCCACACTCCTGCTCTCGGCACACGCTACGTTCAGCAAGACCTAGGGACTCAATCTAGGACACCTACACTGAAGAGCTCGCATGACACAAGTCCTCAGGGTTGGTTTCTCAAGCACTTTAAAGAATATCATTGTTTGGTAGGGTTTAACTGCTGCTGAAAAATAATAGTTATGATAAGAAAATCTGACGGCGTGTCAATCAATAATAAGCCTGAGGATTCGCTGGAATAAAATTAGAAGACATGGCAATTCGTGTATCCACATCTCCAAAGAGACGCCTTGTGCTCCCCACCTGGGGAAAGCAAGCCTGATCCTGGAGACGAACGGCCTGGGGAATTTCCTGTAGCTCACTGTGAAGAAGACAAGAAATGTAGGGCGCCAACCACGGAGATCATTTTCCTGTAATTGTTCTTCAATCAGCTCTCCTGTCACCATACATGGTCTAGTAGCCTAACATTTGCGTGTCCAGAGGCCTGTCACACAGAGAAAGCTAGTGTGCCGTCTGTAATACATTTTGACGTAACCTTCGTTCATTGAATGATGAGAAAAAAACAACACAACAAAACAAAGAATCCCATCAGAAACCTGTGGTGGAGAAGAATGAGCTGATTTGGGGTGACATCACTTACGCTTTCTGTACATCTGTCTGCAGACAATTGTATCCTAATTATCTCCTGTTTCACTGACTGAGTTTGAAAAGGTCATCACCTCCAAGATATCTAGCCGTTTTCCTCTGTCCATTTAGAATAGAAATTGATTTGCAAATAAGATTATTGTAGAACTGCTTTGAAAGAAACTCTTGAAATAGAACAAAGCTCTTCTTTTTCTGCTTGTTAATGATATATTGCATTTGTCTTGGGTGTAAGAAACCTATTCATGAACACTTTTTTCTGTATAATGTTTTGTAATGAATTACATAAAACCTATTATACTGCGCTGCAGACATTGGTGATTTAGGAAGCAGACAGAATTTAATATGGAATCTTTGTATAATGTATTTGGTTCACCAGAAAGCTGTTGGTAATCAAACCTGAGATTTCAATCAACTCTCTTCTACTGAATAATGCTATTTTTTTGGATTCTGTATTATAACAATTTCATGTGAGAAAATGTCCAGGTTTTCCATAACTAACCCAATTTGTTTAAACAAATCATAGCCTACACTGTATCATTCCAGATAGAAAAAGATTCTAGTCCAAAACTTTAAGTCTTGCATTTTTTTTCAACCGAATTGACTGTCAGTTCTAACATGTCAATGTTTCATACATGTACTTATGTTTTCATGTTTTTCTTTAGAACCTTATATTTTCTAAGACTCAATAATTCAACAGAAAAATGACATGAGAGGCTCCTTACCCTGATGTTTGGGTGAAGTCCCATGAGAGTTTTCTTGGTGTATTCACTGTTAAGCCCTAGAACTACTTCAACTTCCTTGTACAGGAGAACACATACTTTCACTCCTTGTTCCTAAGAGACAGGGAAAAGATTTGGGAAACCATATTGCAGCCACCCCAATAAATATTTAATGAATATGAGAATGAATTACTGTACTAGTGGATGTAAAGGAACCTGCAGATTCCTTATGGTTCTCATTTTGTTTCATTTAGAAAAATGTATATTTATATTTTAAAGTTTTTTATTCACCATATAGTAAGTAATGCTTTTTTATGCATGCACCACATTGCATTCACAAATGGTAAATTCCTGTCCGCATTACAATATGTTTTTCATTTAATATTGAGCATCAGAAGAAGCTTATCACCTATAACTGCAACAGTTTCGCAAAGTTATTATTAGGATACAAAAAAACACAATATTTTTTGTAACAGGTGTGGTGACTTTTATAAGAACAGACACGGTGTAGATAAATTCATCATGTCGATTAATGTTTGTCTTCTACAGGGGTTATCAATGTGGGATCTAATGTGAAAGTCAGAGGCTACAGACGTATCATAGCAACCGTTGGAAGTGATGCAAGTTGTACACTGTGACATATGCATTGAACTGGACTGCAGATACTGTCTTGTGGGATTCTGTCTGAAACTTTGACAAGCATGCGCCTTTTCGATCACAGATGCCAGACATCATTCCAGATCATCCCAGTAGTGCTGCTTTCTGGTGATTAGTGCACCGATCATAGGTCTTGATCCCTACGGAGCCTGGTTGCCATTAATGACTACAAGATGAGCTCTGTAACAGCAAGACATTTCTGCCCAGACCATCACACTATCAGACTATCCCAGTGATTGGTCTGTTGTGCACAACAATCAGAATATTGTTCTGGACAGCTGTGCCACACTTGCTGATGTCCATCAGGGCGGTCTTCAGAAACTCATGATTCATCAGCAAACGTAACTCTAATTCCAATGTCCTCCTGAGGTGACCTATCTTAGTTTAGCTGATAGTTCATTTGTGGACTGTGTTTTGTTGTAATGTTCTGTCAGATGAGAAACTGCTGACTATGAACATTCCAAAAGGTGATGTCCTTCTGATTAATGGAGCATATTAGTTCTTATCTATTTATTTCTTACTTAATTTTCACCAGTATTGATATTCAATAGGTAAAATCACTTCATCACCAGTGCCCAATCAAATCTCACACTAATGAGGTGATTGAATGTTTATGCAATAGCCAAAGTCATTCAAGCCTATCATGGTCAGTCATAGGTGATTAATAAAGCAAAATAACAGTGCAGCCTTTAACTCGATTTCCAAAATTGGTCTACTTTATTTTTCTAAAATATACATGCATAAATATATTCATAGGTTTCTTTTGATGCTCAGTTTATAATATTATTCATGCCCTAGGCACTTAATCCTAACATGCTTTCCATTTTTTTAACAAGAATCTAACTACAAGAGATAACTGTAGGAGGTGTGTTTTTAAAACCAACACAGTAATTGAAGGAGGCGATCTGTAATATTTAAAATATAAAAATGTACTGTTACCATGACAATATTTTTCTGGTCATATTAAGAAATCATCAGAAATAAGTTCAATATTACAAATACTTACAGCTTTTCGTTTTAGGACACAGTCCAGTCTCCAGGTGTTTCCATCCATGACTGGCCTTTTCAGGAAGATTTCTGGACTTAACCTGGCACAATTAAAACTTTATCAGGAGCAAGAATGAATGTAACACAACATTTTACCATTAAAGACATAAAACAGAAAGAATGAATGAATGTCCAGTGAGTTTAAAATCTTTGGACCATATCTCAGTGTGATGCATTTATTGCATATTGATTGCTTTGTAGTTGGATTAACCTTGAACAGCAGGTCCTAGTTTTAAGCCTCCCTAATTAAAAAAAAATAGAAAACAAAGTTTCAAAGTTTGGAACTTGAAATTAAGCTGTTAAAATAATTTTAAAAGCACATATTCCATCCTATATTCAATAATAGTTTAATCCAATATAAACTCACTGTGGGCTAACCCTGGCCTGACAGACAAGTGGTTCAAATCATGATACACTCTGGAAGGGATGAAAGGAATGTTTAATCATTACTCGTTTGGTTTCTAAGCTGTTAGTCTCAGATCTGCAACACAATGCCTATAGATTGCTTATAGATTTAGATGTGTTTCTTTTCGGCTATCTTGTGTTCTTAAGTGCAATGTCCACACTATGGTCCATTAAATCTTTACAGCAATACTTCATGACACTTTATCTTTAGTGTTTGGTTATAGAATGCTGTATTTCCCAGTTTTAGTGCTCTTTGGAGAAACGGTGTTCAATAAATATTTCATGCATTTTAAAAATTCAATGCAGGCAGAATGATTTATGCAGTTTTTAATCAGCCAGCTGTTACATTTATCATCATACCACCAGCCTGTGATGAATATCTCTTCCTTGGCTGCTTCTAGTGCATCAGCAATAGTGTCAAAGTAACCAGCTGCATTGACAAACCTGCAGGGGAAGCACAATAACATAATTCATGAAAGGGAAGAAAACAGTTTTGTTCACACAATGCTACAGTAAATTGAAGACATCCAATCCTCAGTGAGATAACTTCCAAAAAAACACAGATAAGTTTATTAAATGTTTTGCTCATCAAACATTGTTATTAATTATCCCTGAACAGCTTTACAAAATGTATATTCTATACATAAACAACAAATCTTTCCCTTGGACAAGTCCATTTCAGTCCCTCTCATTTCATTTGAATGAGTGCTCACTTTTGTCACTTCCAGGACTTGGAGGTATTAAAGCACATTTTGCCATGTCAATCACTGTTTGGCAGGGTGAAACATTCGTCCATCCATTTTCTATCTGCTTCATCCAGTTCAAGATTGTGGGGGAGCTGGAGTCTATCCCCGGAAAGTAAAGGGCATAGCCCCAGCACCGCAAAGCAGCAATGCTAACCATGCCACCGCAAAGTGAAACATCTACAAAAACAAACATCTTTGCATCTTTGGTTGGTGATGTGCTTTACCATTTTGTTAATGTGTTTTCTCTCACAGGAGCAAAGGATCCATGCTGGTTTTCTTTCATGAAGTCCGTCCCATATTTTTGTGAAAACTCATAAATGGACTGTCCCCACCACCTGGCCTGTCTGTAAGTCGAGCATCTAATGGTAAGTGTCCTAAAAACAACATAATAAATAACAATAATAAATAAAATTACTATTTTATGTATAGAGTGGAGGACTTACCTTCACAAGACAAAATGACCCCATTGAGGCAGAACCACCTGTCATGAAGGCTTGTGTTTACCATTACTAACAGGCAGTCCCACCTACTGGCACACCAGAGTTAGTCTTTCATAATATATTATCAACTTATATCAATGTGAGAACAATTTCCCCATAGTGTATTAGGTTGCCTGTACATTGGGGGATTGTTCTTTAATATTGAAAACATTGTGATATTAACCAGTCCAGAGACATGAAAACAGTGGGTGTGCAGTCTAACAAATTGGAAAGACTTGCTGTTCTTTAGTGTTTTGTTCATTTTGTATTTGGGTATCAGCAATGTCTTCTTCCCATAATTATGCACATGTTCTGGGACCCATTCTTTCACACCCTGCCTGTCTCCTGTACTCTAAAAGGAGCCCACATCTTTCTCATCTACTGATGCACTCCCAGTCTCTGAATCAATGCTCTATATCAGGTACGGCTAATCCGGGTCAAGAGAAGCCATTATCCAGCAGGCTTTGTAGATCATCATTAACATGTCAATTTATAAACACTTGGAACAATTTCATTTTCACCATTTCAGAAGGGGATTTTTTTTCAATTATATGTAATTTAGAGATCACTGGAAAGGAAAATGCCAAAGCTTCAAAGCTCTGTAGCTCTTAAGGACCACAGCTTAATTGCATCTATTAACTGACTCAACAGATCAAAATCTTTCCAGATATGATTTAATGGTTACCTCTAAGACCTGCTCAATTGTATCTGTAGGGGACCAGGTCTGGGCCACCTTTACACTATACCTGAAATGTTGCTGCTCTTACTCGACTGAGAACAGCGGTTTAAGGCAGTGAGGTGAGCCCAGGTACAGCTGAGACAGACGAGGAAGCTGGTGTAAGCAGACAGACAAGCTGGTGTGATGAACAGACAGACACAGTTCAAGCCGCAGTCAGAGATGAAAGCAAAGTCCAAAACTGGGAAGACAGAGGGCAAAACCACATAGGAAAATCCACAAGTGCAGTCATAAAAAAACAAGCCAATTTTATAGTCAGGAGTAAGCACTCAAGTGAATCCAAAGCGAAGTCAAAACAAGCAGGGTCAAAACACTGGAGAAAAGGGAGACTAGAAATGCAAAGACTTGAAACTGAATTCTAAGATGAGGTAAGTGATGGTTAATGACGTGCAGGTAGAACTGATTTTAAATTAGAGCACAAAGTCACGGCAACTGGCAGATTGAGTACAGACTCTGCCTGATTCCACAGATCTTCTGGCGTCTTGTCCCCTGTTCTGACAATTCCTTATGTACAGGTATATGTCAGTTTGTATTACGGATGATCCAAAATGCCAAATTACTGTACAAAAACTACAGAAAACTGTTGGCTAAATGGTCCTGGCTTTAAGGACAAGATTTTAATCAGCCAGCTGATTAACAGACACAATTGCTAAAGACAAATTTTGACTTTAAATTCAGAAACACTAGACAATACAATAATGGACAATGATGATAATAATGATGATAATGATACCACAATAATGGGCAAAAACAGATAAAGAGGTACTGTACATAGTCCAGATAACAGCATTAGTTTATTCTTAAAAATAGGGCAAAATTGAAGAAATGAAAGTGTGAGTTGCAAAATACATTTAATTTAAAATATTTTACATGTACCGAACAGCAATTGCATCATGGTTTGACATTGTTTGAATAAAACTGTGTATATAACGTTACAATACTTTATATATTTATGACAAACAATACAGTACAAATACAGTACAGTAATGTACGCTAAAATGAGACAAATATGTAAGAAATCTCACTAAAATGCAAGCATAATGAAACAATCACATCTTTTCTACATCATACATTTAAATGTTCTAAAAGGCATGAATATGAATGGTTTGGGGCTGAAAAAATGTCGTTTTGTGATTTAACAGACATTTGGCAATAACAGACGTCCCTTCCCCACTATTATTCGGATAAAACGAGGGTTTACTGTAGCTACAGGCTAGCGAGTCAACAAGACAGGTCAAATAGTCTCCTCTCATGTGTAATCTGTGTTACAGGGTTCTCACACATAGTTCCTGGAGGGATTTGTAAAATCCTTTACAGACCATCATTTCGTTAAAGGCATCATTATCTATCAATGACCTCTGAGATGGTTTACAAATATTACAATTATGCAGTAAATTCAATAATTAGACCAGTTGTGGCTGAGAAAATATATGTGGTTGGAAAAGGGTCCCTCCAGGAACTGATTTTGAGACCTCTGCTGTTTTATGGTCCTATGTTCTATTATTGTTGTTGTGTACTGTCTCTGTTGTATGATTGTATTAAGACAGATCACATTAAAAAGTACAAGAGCCTGTTGTTTCATGTTTCAGACCAAGTGCAAAATTAAACAAAAATATTTTCAATAGCCCAGAAGATTAACCTACCTGGAAAGGTTTTCAATTGATACTCCATGTTTAATTCCTGTTTCTTTGGTCCCAGTTTTGATGTTAAATCCTTTATCAAAAAGAATTACTGATCCAACTTGTCCATCCTTAGGTCTCATGTATAGAACAAAGGAGTCTTTAACTACTAGCCACCTGCAATGTAAAGGAAAATGTATAGTATTTAAATATTTCAGGTATAAAAAAATCCTCTCTTGACATCATTCAAAACTAGAAAAATAATGTTAAAGATGTTTCCACAATTAATTATTAGGCCCAAATGGAGAAGTTAATAAACGAAGAAGGTGGGCAATTTCAAATATGGATTTCATATATACAACACGATACTGACAAGGCCCTGTGTTCACTGGGACACTTTGAGACAAGATGTAAATTTTAAATTGCACTCAACTTTAAATGTATTACTTTTTAAATTTAGCCTCACACATTTGCTAAGCTGAAAATGACTACACGTATTGCACATGCTTCATAAATGTGTGATACTGATGAGCTGGTGACTGTAAAACCAAACCTGAAATTGGTTTTGAACAAATCAGTAATTTTGTTTAGCTGGTCCACCTTTCAGTTCAGTCAAGGTGTAATACTGTACTTATTTTACTAAACAACATTTTTTAAAAAATTTAAGTGTAGTTTAAAATACTATTGTGTCTCAAAGGTGAACATGGAGTCATACAGTCACCCTACGTACATGTCATCTTAAATCATGTTTTTGCTGTAGACATGATACTGTGTACTTATTTATCAGTAATTGCAGCAAAAAAAAAATCATACTTGGCATGATTTGAAACACTTCTTATTTAAAACCATCCTTATCTTTTAGCAAGAAGAACTGCTGATATAAAAAGTCATCTCCAGTGTTCTAAAAACATTTTCAGCAATCATTATAGCATTATGTGCAGATTTCCTTCATCAGTTCATCAGGCATTTTAGTGAAACTGATTACCTCTTTGACCACCTGTAGCAGACACTGTTGGAGCCACAGCAGTAACACCCAGGAAATGTATTGCCCCCTGACTTCTTCAAAGTAAGCCCCTCACTTTAAAAAAATTCAAAAGAGGCAAACTAGATTAGAAAACCCATTCATAAAGTTACTGTATGTTGCAGCTAACAGAACGATTTCAAGTCCTTCAAGTCAACAATCTGATTTCAGTCTCAAACCTCAAACTGTAGATTCAATGGATACAACGAATCTAAAGATACTGTATTAAGTCATATAATGAAATTGATTAGTGTACTTTATTAAATACCCATAATACCATGGAACAGTTATGCTCACTATGTTTTAATAGCAGGAAGAGATACAAAATGAATTAGCTTTTAGCAACTAAGCAAACTACTCTAGATAAATAGAAGGGATCAGAATCTTTGAAGAGGGTTACAATGAGAATAACTGCACCTGACAGACCTTTAAAAGGAAATACTTGCCATATATAAGGCTGACATTATATAAAGGGGTGGTATGATGTGGAACAGCTCCAGTTACAGTACATTTAGAACTACATTAATACTACAATCCACTTTGTAATTGAAATTGCCAAATTTAAATTATAAGCCTGGTACTTGACAAGAGGCATCCATTGTTGAGACATTAGAAGATGGGGACATACAAAGAGCCATTGAGTATTAGGTCTGGAATCGGTGACTGGCAGAAACTTATTATATATAATGAAAAATTAAACTTACATTAATACTGATTCATACTAGTTTTCTATAAATGTTCGGGTTTTATATTTGCTCAAAAAATATAATTATGATCTACAGTAATTGCATAGACAGATATTAGATAGATACTGTATCTACATATGTACATGGATTAATGTCCACTGTAAGTAATATAGTAGTATTATATTTGTAGTTTGTATTTCTTTCTTTATAAAATGTGGACTAATAGAATATGCCAAAACTTTGTGTCATATGCCAAATCCACATGACTTTTTTCATGTGCTTAATCACAGAATTTATCACTGTGTTATTAATTATTGAAAATTTTAACTTTCTTGACAAAAGTTGCTTTATTTGACTTTGATTAACTATACTGTAGATAAATAATGTACAAGGGAGGGGATAAAATGTCCATTCTCTCACACAATACTTACATTCCCTTCGGTCCAAGATCCCGAATAAAGGACAATTGACTTACTTCCAAGAATTCAAGCTGGAAAGTTGGAAAAAAAACAATATACAATTATTTTAAATCCTTTTTCTCATCCAGTAGTCCTTGACCATTAAAATAGGGATTACAGACATTATAGAGTGCCTTCCAAAAGTATTAAGCAGCAAAGTCAAAACAGATATTTTTGTTTTGGTTGTATGTGCAGTGACGATATGGACAGTTCCACATGCAGCCATGCAGACCCAGAACAGTCCATGCTTCACAGATGATGAGGTGCTCTTTTGTCTCAACACACTTACTGGGAACTGTGCATTACTGAATGCTAGTTCATGTATTCACAAATTGGACATTTAATGTAAGGAAACAATTATACAGTTTTCTGGAGTGATACCTAAACAAAATAGTTTTAAACTTTTGTGCACACATCTTGGATTAAACAAAGAATTGTATTAACTATGCTATACTAACTCGACCTAGGGGAATAATGGCCACCAAGGCTATTGTATAAGAGATCCTTTCTTGTTTCATAGTACAGAAATGGTTTTCAATTAGTGAAAAAATTACTTGTTTAATATGTGGCTGTCAAAGCCTCATCCTGTGTGAAATGTTGTGCAACAGATCTGTTAAAACCTAACTATTACATACAACCCTCTTAATGGTTGGAATCACAGTGGGAATGATATCCTGTAAAACATCATTTTTCAGACTTATAACTTCATAGAGCCTGCTGAGCCGATTGCTATTCAGTACCTTCGGTTTGATTGTACGTTTGTTAGTTTTTTCTTCATTTTATTGCTAATAGTATATAAATCATAGCAGGCCGCATACAGCATTCACACTGCAACAGATTATTTCTGGACGTCTGTATTAGAAATCTAAGCAGACTGTAACCATGGTAAGTATTCAAAGTAATACGGTGAAGGCTTCACATGGTTAAATTGTTTTGATCTTTGCGCATCACTGTGAAATTTACCATGGTAATCAAATTTCTATTTTTACTGTGTATTATGTAGGCTTTGGCATTGGCATGCTACTGGAATGTCTTCACTATCCTTTCCTGAGTTTTATTGCAGGGCTACAGTCTAACAATATTGTTCTCTTTGTAGAGTTGTGAAATCACAAAGAAATATTATTCGAGTCCTTCAAGGTTTTAAACAAATGTTCTCCATACTCCATACTTACAATATTGACATTAGGGAGTGTAACAAAATATTTTTTGCAAATCATATAGAAAACCCTCATGAATAACTGTAAGTATCTCCATAGAGAACTGTAAGTAATCTATAAAGTAAATAAAAAGTTTAAACATGTTAAATCTTTTATGAAAAGAAAATGTTGAAGGAACCAGAAAACTCCAAAAGAGGACATAAACTTAAGGTTAACGAAGAAGTGCAAGACTGTGACTAAAACAGCTACAAACTTTCCCTTCCTTTCAAAATATGTGTGTGGTATTTTAAAAGACTTCATGGAGTGAAGAATAGCTATAGGATCTCTATATACATTTCTATAGGATCCCCAGACCAGTCTGATTCATTTTCTTGGTATTGGCTGAATTTTTAAAACCATTAGTTAAACATGTACATACAGTTGCAGGATGATTCCGGTACATTGTTCTTTTCAATAAATTCTTCAGATAATCTTCTAATTGCATCTGTTAAAAATAAATATAGTACAAGTCTGAAGAGCAGCAAAGTCACAAAGACAGGAAATTTCCAACATTAATATATTGTTACAATCAGAAAATGACAGAGTGGATTGATCAACAAGTCAATTAAATAATCATGACCCCCTAATTTTAAAGATTTTTGGCAAGAATATACCCGAGTGGTTGGTATAATTAGAGCTCTTTGTTCTCTGCCATGACTTTGACAAAAAGAGTAATAGTTCAGACAAACTGGGTTTAAGAAATGTGTATTAACAATAAAAATTTGTACACTAAACAACACTATACATATTTCATTTACTAATATTACCTATGGAAAAATTCAGATACTCAAGACATTCCAGAGCATTTGCTCCTTATTTTGCTTTTCTTATGTACTGTATGCTTCAGTTGTTGTTCTTTATTCTGTTAATAAGCAAGTCATTATGGATATTGCTGAACATTCATTCATCAAAGAAGTGGTATCATGTATATCCCAGCATTGTCACTATTATGCACCAAAAGCAGATGGTACCTAAAAATTTAGACATCTGTTTGAAGATCTTATTTATTTAATTTAATTAATTTAATTTAATTTTCAGTAATATAAGGAATTTAGAACCACAGACAATTCCTTCCCCAGTTTTTTTACTTTTTTATTTTAATTATTATTCAGCATATTCTCCCATACTGAAATATTAATAGGGTGCAATGCTGATTTGTCAAGCAGAGTAGATTTTAATGAAATGCAGCCTCAAAATATGAATACATAATATGATAGTGTAGCCCCGGGTCGCAATCAGTTGCAATTATAATTATTTCTAGTGGCATGTAATTAATTTAACTTAGACTCCTGGTCATTTCAGTTAGGGGCAATTGAAACTGATCCAGCACTGGACGGCAGTAAAACAGATACCGCATATTGCACTTAGAAACTTCTTATGTCAGAGACGTATACAGAGCTTTCCAGTATTTGGTACATGCAATTTACACGATACAGTATATAACAAGAAAAGCAAGGGTAGTAAACATATACAGCTTGTCCCAAAATGAAATTGCTGAAACTGAAGATCTTTGAAATGCAAACATTGACAAGTAAAACAGCAATTTACCTTTCTACTGGTCAGCTGCTCTTCCTTCACCATGGCATCTGGTCTTCGTGGCAGAGTTGGGATATGTCCTCCTTGAAACCGTTTTTGCCCTTTGAAGGACCTCCTCCGAACCGTATGACTTGTAAGGGAATGACAGGCACTCTAAGTACCTACAGTACTGTCCAGTTTTCACACTATTTATCACAGTCAAACACTTAACAATGTAACCTGAAGGAACAGACACACGCTTACAGAACATGGAACGTGGTCCTTCTACAATACATTTTTTCAATTGATGAAAGAATGTCTTGATCTTTGACTACAGGTAACTGCCAACATAAAGAAACACTTGAGTGAATGAGGGACAAAAAGTATATTGAAAGCAGGCACTGCCACACAAATGCTGTTCCTGAGTTATTAAGCAATTAACATCCCATTATGCTTAGGGTCATGGATAAAATTGCTGGACCAGTTGCCTATTATTTTGGCTATGATAGCTAGAACAGGAGATCTCAGTGACTTTGAGAGTGGTGATTTTTGGGGCATGTTTGGCAGGAGGTTCAGTGACAAAGATTTCCTCAACTTGCTGATATTTCATGAGGAACTGTGGCTAAGGTGATGCTGGTATGTAAGTCTGAGGGAAAGACATCATCAGCTAGGGACAACTGTGAATGAAGGAGCATACTCCACAACTGTGATGCCTGTGCATTGGTTTGAAATGCAAAGCAATGGATGAGCAATCACTGCAAATGTCAATATAAGGCATGAGCAGGCATTTTAATCAAGTACAGTCCATTGAGAACTTTAGAGAAAGTTATACTATGGCAGGTTTCAGTGCATAACCCCTTATTACACCTAAAAAATAACCTTAGTAAGTAATGTGGTGCAAAAAACATAGGCAGCAGTCTACTGAGCAGTGAAAAAGTCATATGGTCAGGTGAGTCAAACTTTACCCTGAACACATGTTGAGAACACCAGGGGTTCATATCAACCCTTTAGAGGGCAAGATTAATGCCAATAAATGCAAATTCATTCTGAGTGATCACATTTATCCTCTGGTAAAGCATTTCTATCCTGATGGGCGTGGAATCTTCCAGGATGACAATGACTCCATCTACTGGGCATGAGTGGTCACAGAATGGGCACGACTGATGAGCACGAAAACGATTTTAACCATATGCCATGGTTGTCCCACCCAACCCAGTCACCAGATCTCAACTGATGATCAAGATCAACTCAACGTGATCAACTCAAGATCAACAGATCTGGGTTCGGATGGCCCAACTCAAACTCTCAAGCCTAATTGAGATTCTGGAGCACCACCACCATCAATAAAACACCAGATGATGAAATTTCAGTTGGAAGAATGGTTTTGAATCCCTCCATTAGATTTCCAGACACTTGTAGAATCTATGCCAAGGTACATTGAGGCTGTTTTGATGGCTTATGGTGGCTCAGGGTGGTTAATACCCTATTAAGACCATTCTTTATGTGGGAGGTGAAGAGCCTTCAGATGCAAGTCTTCTTCAGGTTAAGACTCCACAGATGAATTGTCATGTTTCTTTTTTCTCTTTTCAGCATTAAATAAACCTTTACTTGTTCCTTTGCAGCCTATGCATGCTGACACAGCTACCTCCTTGAACCTCTTCAACCCTATTTAGACACTTTATGTTGGTGTTTCCTTTTTATTGGCAGTTACTTGTATGGTTCATATCAAAACACATTTCTTTTTACTTGCCAAAACCCTCTTATTTCTACCAAACAGCATCCCAAGATCATTTATAATTTCATTTTGCAGGTGGGTTGAACTTGTGATAAAATCTAGGCTAGTTCATCATTCTAATCATGCGACAAATCTCATCATGAACAAATTTTGTCATGCTTTTCTTGGTAAACAATTGCAATACCAGTTGGATTTTCAGGTTGTGATATTGACAGATGTCAAGATGCAATAGAACATATTTTAACCAAGTATTCTTAAACAATATGTCTCTTCTGATCTCTTAGAAAGAGAAAGAAATCTCATGTCTTAAAAATGCATCATTTAATAATATAGCCAAGATTCAGAATCATCACACTCAGGCAAGTCTCTATATGGCCATATAAAGACTTCATTTGAAAGGTACAGTATATTATTTTTTTCACGTCTGGGGAAGGGTGTTAAGTTTGCAAATATAGCTTATAATTATATATATATAGCTTAGATGCTAACTCAGATATAAGATAAGTACACTTTAAAGTCCTCTACACAAAGGAATTATTCAATTATATGAAACAGAAGATTGCATACTACAGTGGATGGGAAATCTCCATTCAGCCTTCACTATTAGAGTACTCCCTAGTCTATACTGCAATAAAAAGCAACTGAGATACAGCTCAGATAGTAAGAGGATAGATAATAGTCATTATATTGCAAATCATAATAAAATATGAAAAGCAGTGCTTCTTGAGTAAATATCCTCAATAAACAGTTGAGACATGTGTCTTCATCAGAGTAAAGCTTGAATGAGCGGTTTAATTTTTCATTATTCATCCCCAGGTTGATATGTTCACAAGCATGTCTGAGAGCCAGTGAGACAAACTGCTATGACAAGCCTTGTGTGCTAAAGTGATGCTGGAGGCCTTACGTTCGAGTTGGTATGGGGATTTTCAGCAGGGCCTTGAATTTTAAGAGCTCTTGATGCAAAGCCTGGAAGTGCTTAAAACGACGTTTGACTTTCCACGTGAATTCCCCATGGCTCAGTTCAACAGTGTAGAGGTTGGGATTCAAGACCTGCAAAATGATGAAAGAATAATGCACTGTTCAGGAAATCTTGACTAAACACACCCACCGATGTCTATTAAGAATCCCCAACAAACTTGACAGAGTTTGAGCAAGTTTGCAAAGAAGAATGGGAGAAAATTGCACCATTGCTGTGTGTAGTGTAATTGCTGTCAAAGATGTTTCTTCCAAATATTGACTCCAGGGGTGAATACTTATAAAACTATTTCAGTTTCAGCATTCAAGTTTTAATTATAAATATTCACTTTAAAAATATTTGTTCATCATTATTAATTCATCAATGGAAAGAGGTGCGTACTTTTGCAAGGCACTTGAAATACAGCATGCTGGTTTCTGAGATTCAATTATAGCTTAAGGATCATATGAATAGTAAAATATTAGTGGCTGCAGATAATGGTAAGCTTTTAGTTATGTATTTATAGTTTGTAAATGGCTATTTCTAAAAAAAAGATCACTACAGAGCTGCAATTTCTCAAGTAAGGTTAACCAAATCTAGAGAGAATACAGTACCTGCATTTTGATGGAACATTTTATGTATAAAAGAGTAATTTACAAAGGAAAGGACTTCTGTTTATAGATATTCTGCAAACTATTACAGTACCTTCTTTCAGAAGGAATATTTTTTCTTAAATGCATCAATAAGATGTACAACTTTAAAATGAGCAGCCCTAACATAATGCATCTGTGAAGTTTCCATATATAAACATATTCTTACCTCGTCATTCCACCTCGTATTCCAGCATGGTTCCCAATCAGCCAATTTACCCCAGCCTATTTAATGCTGCTTTATACTCTCCCCTGTCCTCAGTATTAGGGTTTTTCCTGGCTAGAGCTACTTCCATTTTTGCTACGGCTTACTACTTGGCTTTTGGCTTCTTGGCCCTGGTTTGTTCTCCGACTGTCTCCTGGTTTTGGTACTTTGGTTATCGTTCTGGTTTCGACTCGGCTTCCGGCTCCGCTTCTGTTTTTTGTAGTTTTGCACCAGCTTGTTTACCTTCGGTTTTCAGACCTCAGATTGTTATATCCACTACGCCTCTGGGGATCGTCCTGGTTTTCTGCATAGGGTCCTCACTACTGTTTCCTAACACAGGTGTTTTAATGACAGCCAAAGCCCATGACCAAAATACAAGTAAGTGGTATGTCATTACCATTTTTTGTTCAATGTTGTGTCTCACAAATCTTATTTTAATAGAACCCTGTTCAGCACTTTCTTTTTTTTTTTTGGTATAAAAGTATTTTTTCTCCTTTATTTTTGACTCAAAACTAAATGAAATCTTTATATGTGATGTTCAGTTTGTGGTTGATCGGTACCTTTGATTTGAATGGTTTCATATCATTATTTGAAATAGAAAGGTTTTCTGAGAAACAGGAGGAAGATGTATAATATAAACTGCTTTGAGTTTTGATTCTTTGTCTCATTATTTTACTGTTCCTCATGCAATGTACAATAGCTTTTAAAGAGTATGCATCAATTACAGATGTATAGCAGCTGATAATATTCAACTGTTCTGTTTAGAGGAATTAACTACATAGTTTTGTAAATAACATTTATATCTGCAACAAATTCCAGGAAAATTTCAAAATCTTTTTTGTAGCAGGTGTACTGAAATTTTATTGAACAGACATCATTTAGGTAACTTCATTATGTTGACTAACATTTTTGATCAACAGGGCTGAACAACAGGAGGACTGCTGTAGAAGTCACAGGCTAGTAGCAAGTACAGCCACTGTTGGAAGCAATATAATAATTTGTACCTGGTTGCTGTCTTTTGTCCCATTCCTCTCGTAGAGTCTGGATAAGCATATGCCCATTCACTCATCTCTGAATTCTAGGTGCCACATGACATCACGGCTTATCTTACAAATGTTTTAAGAGGCTCAGGTCTGACAATACAGGCCATCCATGACAGAACTGTCACTTTCTTATTTTACAAGAAAACGCAAGCAGAATATACAACTTGTGTTATCCTGCTGGAATGTTGTCATGTCAGGATGAACTGGCAGGAGGGATAGCAAGCGTTGTACCAGGACTTAATCAATGTAGAGCTGTGCTGCTAGCTACTGTATGCTGCTATCAATCACAAATTCTTAAGGAGCTAATCTCTCCTGCCTAGACTATCACACTTGATCTTCCTCATCACCCTTTCTCTGTTGATGAGAAGCAGCTTGCATACTGCTCTGCACATCTGCGCCACACTCGGTGATACAGTATCTGTTAGGGTGGTCTACAAGAACCCTTTGAATGTAAGGCTCTGCTGCTGGTGAGTTCACCTGAGGTGACTCAGTCCAGCCTCCAACATACTATACTCATGGCAGGAGGGTGCGTTCTGTTGATAAGCAGGGCATATTTATTCTTTTAGATGTTTCTGGCTTGACTTTTACAAGGCCTCACATAAATCATGCCAAAAAACTATTCATTGATGTGCAAAATTTGTATAGTATACTGTACGTGCATAGATAGATGTATATGGTTTCATATGCTTACTATATGGATCCTGTATTAAGTGAGAAATGTATTATATACAGTAGCGTAAAAAATATTACACAATTTGAGCCATTGCAATATTTTTTTGGAAAAAATCCTTTTCACTTTGGAAAAAATAGAAAATATTCACAGACCCACCCTTGTAGTTGAAGTAAACCTTTCTACATCTGTGATCCGAACAAAGATCGGAACTTGATCGAGGAAAATTCTGCATTCCAGTGCTTTGAATGGATGAAGGCTGTATATGGTATGGAAAATAATTTGTCCTGGCTCTAAAAACACATGGAAAAAAAGGATTCTTCAGACATTTTATTGTTTGTACAGATTAATAGATTGATTTAAATACTGTATGCCTCTAGTTCTGTACCTCATCTTCAGGTTAATTATAGCTATTTCTGTGTAATGGTCTTACCATGTCACTTTAGATTAGATATTGACCAGGGTGGTTATGTACAATACCCAAACAGCAGATACTGACCAAAACATGTAACAGGTTACATTCTCTCAAGTGTGACTTTGCTAATGATCACAACCTTGGTTGTTTTGACCGGTGTATTTGTTTCCTTCGTTTATTACAACTAATATCTCTTCAGAAAATTGCGCTGCTCTGAATACCAAGAAAAAGAGGTCTTTCCGAGAAAAAAAGCAGAACCAGTAGAGACAAATTCTGTTCTGAACTTCCTTATGGCAGTACAGATTATATTGAGGTGAGGGAGCAATTCAATAGATGCAGAAAATTCTTGAATGGATATATGACCTTTGAGATACAGCAATAACCTGTCTGCTGGATTGCATTTGAAGGACAGCAGGATAGCAATTCAAGCCAACAGCTGGAGAACCACACTATTCATGTCCTTGAATGTCTTATGAGCATTGATCTGCTCTCCTACTTGGAATAAAAAGCCATGGAAAATGATTTGAATGCTTATTTCTCTTCCCCATGCAGGATGTCCCTTCCTAAGGTCAGTGCCTGTTGAGTAGTCACAGTTTTGCTCCTAAAATGTAAAACATGCAAGCATTTTGGTATCCCAATGGTATCCCTCCTCTAGCAATATTACTACAGCAAGTATTGAGGGATATACAGAATTAAACCATAAAAAGCGGGTAAACAGGAGCACTGCATCTGTTATTATCAATGCAGTATTTCAAGTGGTCCATCTAATGTAATGTTAATTGTTATGTTTATATCAGTGGTGATATTGCATTTTAATAAGCCTTAATCATGACATTTAGTAGTATACACATTGATTCACTTCACTTGTACCAGCATGGATAAGAAATTATAGGTAAAAGACTAACATGTTATTAACCTACAGTATATAAAGCTAATTATGAAATAAGTAATGTATCTTTCACTTGCACATATTGATTGTTCAAGTGTGGATTAGTGGAACATTTTTAAAAGTCTGTCACTGTTTAATAGTCATCTATGAACTATTTGCTAAAGTGCTTAATGTATCTCGTAACATTTACCAACATTTCTATAGGTGACCTCTAACATACAATGTCATTCTGAGGTTTTACATTTTTGGAAAGTCACTTTTAAAAGAGAAGAAGGTTTTTATCCTGTTTTTTAAGGATTATAAAGCACAATGTATTTACCTCAGTGTTATCTCACAAAATTGAATCCTTACCTGATGTTTTGCCATCACACTGATCAGTCTGCCAGCTTAAGTCTAGCTCATCAGTGTCATCCTGCAGGTCGTAGTGATCTAAACTCCCAGAAAATTGGCTCATAACAGACTCCATCCTCTCCAGATTAGATCCCCTTGGCTTGTCTTTCCAGGACATGATTAGTTCACATTCACTGGAACAACCATCTGTCAATACAGGGTAAAATGAAACATTCATCATTTTTTAATATGGTCATTTTTATTGATTTGGGAAAAACAATATAATTTAAAAATATTGATTTAAAAAGGGACACTGTTTTAGGGGTCAGTTATTTATGATGATAGACAACCCCCATCCGTTATTTATGATAAGGACTAGTTAGATACTCCTACCTTCTGTTATTAATAAATAACTCTTGCTCTGTGTGTTTTACTAATAGAGCATATTCTTCAAATTTTCTAAGCACTCAGCAAGTTGTGTTTCAGTAATACAGAAGTAATATACTGTTTAAAGTTTAATCCTGAGTTAAAATGCTAGTGGAAAACTTTCTAGCCACTGGAGTACCAAAGATGGCTGATAGGGAAAGATTTTAATTATTAGCCTGGGGTAAATTAGCAAAGGTGTTAAAACCCCACCATGATCTAATTAAGAATGCAATTGAAGAATAAAAACCACAAGGACTGTAACTCTCATCTACTGTACACAAACCTTTACCATTTCGTTAGCAGTTCTTAAAATCACCAGTTTCAAGAGTAGGGCATAAAACTCCAAGGTGTATCCCCATGTAGCTGCGCACTTCTTGGTGGGGTGGGCTCGAGTTGACATCCATCTTGATCACTCAACCTTCAGCACCCTGTCACATCCTACTCTTAAACCATTGGCCTGCAGTCTCTGCAACAGCCTGGTACCATCCCTTCCACTCACAGTATGTTGTATAATATGTGCTCTCTTCTTTAGCGCTAAAGACATCCATTTGTGGACTGTGGAATTCCTCATTTACTCAGGGTGTGGTGCAGCTTGCCCTCCTTTTCAACTTTAACAGAGGTGGGCGCCAGCTCTGATAAAGGTCTCCCCATTGTAGCCAGCTGCCACGGCATCTATGCAACTGGCATCACTTACTGCGGCCCCCTGGGAGCACCATGGCAGATACCAGCTGCAGAGAAAGCTGTAGCTGTCTCTCGGCACTGGCACCATTCATTCTCTTCTCTGGAGGCGTCTGTGGAGAATCCGTGCCCCAAAGGCATTCATCTGAAATAGGGCAAGCATCAGTGCTACAGGGGCTAACAGCCTTGAGATGAGAAGACCAGCGGCTTGCGAAGGCATTTAGCAGCCTCATCGCACCGAGGACCACCTCCAGGGGCTGCTTTTGTGAACTTGTGCTGCCTGTACAGGAGGGTCTGCAAGGTTGGGGAAAAGGGGCATGTGCAGGCGTTAGGATTTTGTGCTCCATTTCATTCCCCAGTGAGCTGTGGATTCTGGGAATCTTCCTAATGGCCTCAATGAGGAGTCCCAGGGCTATATCTGAACAATGGAATGGAGTCCACATGACAGCAGGTCTCTGGTTGGCTTCCTTCCTAAACTGTGACTCTTAGCTGATCAGAATTAACAGATTTTCATATTCTTTCACTGAAAAAAAGAAAGCATATAATTCTGACACTGACTTTATACAGCACGCATGTGTTAGCAGCATGTGTAAACTTATATCAAGCAGTTCCATTCAATAGGAATTCTCAAATTCCTATTTCTGGAAGGACAGAAAAAAGCCAGAGTTTGACACCATGTTCAACTCTTCAAATAGATGAAGACGACAGTGGAAGAAATACCTTTTCCATGCTTCATCAGAATTTACAGTTACATTCATATAATATCTTCAAAAAAATTATGTTGCCATATGCCCTAAGTATTCCAATTCTAAATTAAAATTCTAAAATAAAAAAAACATATTTAATGTACATGAGAGCTTATTTTATTAGCAGAAATTAAAAATATATACTGTATATGCAGAATCCCCAAAAAGTAATATAATGCAATTTAATAGCAGAGGATACTCAAAGATACCACCTTGAAGTTTAGGTAAATCAAGACATTTTTGATATTCCTAACTATGGGAGCAAGAAGAGAAAATGGCTGTTATATAGTTTCATTGTTGTCTTACTTCCAAACTGTATTTGACAAGCAAAACAGAACCCAATATAATATATAAATCTATGAGTTCTGCATAAATTTTAGTATCGATGAATTGGAAAAAAGAAATATAAATTAGTCTTCAAAAGTTCTATAATTCTGGGGGGTTTTGACACATTTTAATTTTCAAATCTTGGTTGGCACTGTTGCCAAGGTAACATCTTACACACATGCACACACTTCCACAAAGCTAATATACAGTAGGTTAAGAATTGTATGTAATCTGATAGGTTTCAAAAATAGTTCCAATAAAATCAGAGATAACAGTACAATTACTAATCACTTGAGGGTATAGTATATGGCCTTAAGGGGGAAAAAACATCTGCATGAGCCACGTTTTATGAGAAATGCCAAATGATTAAGAAGAAATAAGCTATCATAGTGCCATATCAATGGAAACATTATATTCTTTATACCCAAAATAGTAATAGATCTATAATTATTAAATTTTAGTATATGCTCAAATAAATGCCTATACACAATTGATAGATATGTTTTACAATTTGTAGTTTAGCTTTTCACTGACTGTATAATACTTATATCCATATATCCTTTATATACAGTATATATACAGCAGTTCTTTTTGCATATACTGTATCAGTTATCATATTTGAACTAACATAAGATGATGAAATATAGACACTCTGCTAGGTCCCCACAAAACATATTGTGTTTTACTGAACATTAAAGAGATTCTGGAGGATTACAGACAACAAAAAGGTTTCTGGCGCAGATTAATCACACACTGAAAAAGAAAATACAAGAGGGATCTCTAAAAGAGAAAATTGGAAAAGTGAGTAATGCTAAATAAAAAATGTTATTAGAAATTTCACATGAAGTATTATTTCATGTTATATTTCTACTTAAAAGAAGAACTTTTTGTCAATACAATTATTTGCAAAATCGGGGGAAGGGTGTTGATAAAAAATTAATTAAAAGAATTTCAATGAGCTTTAATAATGAGATTCTGTTTGGACTGAAATAGTCTTAGTTCCTGTAGGCCCTTGAATTTAATAACATCATAGTAAACATCCCAGCTAATAGCTCGCTAATTATTCCAAAAAGCCTCTTGAGTCAAAGATAATGAAACTTAATTATTGTCCTTGGTCATGTTTGAGAAGTATTCTGTTTCACTTTTTTTTGTGAGAACACATCATTAAGATGAATAAGCCACGATTTCCGTGAAAATCACAATAGTATCAGCATCACATACAGTATGTGTTCCCAGGTATACTTTTGGTGGCAGCTACTGTATGTTTGACTCACTGTACACACAAGAACATCAGGAAAGATTGTTCTTAATACACTAATGCCTTGACTGAGGTATTGGTCATAGATATACCTGAAAATCACAGAATTTTAAAATCAGTACAATGGAAATGTTTGTAAGGGCTTTAAAACTGTAACAATGCTTTTTCATGTCATATCCATGCCCATGGTATAAATATCAGTCCTGATCAGAATTTTATGGCTCAGGCCATGCATGGTGCATAATGCCATCTTATTACGTGCAGCTCCATCTTGACAGCTCCCAGTTCTGTTCTAGTATTTGTGTCACACGAATCGACATAATATGTCTGTCCAAGTAGTTCATTTTAACGAGACAAAGCTTCCTATATGTTCTAATTGTAATGTGTTGCACAGATGTCATTAAGTGTAAATAATCAACCTCTTAATTTATTCACATGTGGATAAATAAATCTCACTGAATCTCACTCCTTTTCCCCTGTTTTTTTCCCTTTATATCTGAACGAGAACAGACAAAAAAAAAGTGTCATTTTGTTTTACAGCTTATCATCTGAGCTAATTAGGAACCTACACTTTGGACAAAAGCCTTGTATCAGTGTGGTCTCACTTTGCAGTTATTAAATAAAAAAAATGAAAAATAGACTAGAATATCATACTTTCTAAACCAACCACACAGCCCTTTATTACAGATCTGGATATGAGTCATTCCAAACCCACTCGCAAGCATTCTTGACTCGTTCCAGGGTAATATGTAACAATACGCTGTTGTTTTCAACACAGTTCATAACATTTCATCATTTAGACAGTATATTATTTCAGGAAGAGGAAGATTCATTTGTCATTAAAGCCTACAGACAAAACACATGGAAAAGAACAGAAGAGCAAACAGTATGGGGGCCTATCTGCTTGTGGCACAGCCCTGTTCCCTTTTCCTACAGCACATCAAGTGTTTGTTAGTTTTTTATGGCTATAACTTGCATTTTTTTGGCTATAACTTGCATTAGAGTTTGGTCAAACTCTAATGAAGAAGGATAAGACAGGTGACTTTATTGAGGTGCCTCAACTGGCTGAGAAGAAAGGACAATACATCGTATCCACAGGGCTCTCAGAACCCCCCTTTTAAGGACGCATGAGCCAGTAAGCTGGTGAAAGATGAGGTGGAGGCAGATAAATTTAACACATTTCAGAATACGCGAGAAGCGTGATTTTTGATACTGAAGTAGGCAGTGTGGAGTGGGTGAGTTTTAAATTTGGCCCCGTAGAGACATTTCTTTGAAACTCCACAAAAAACGATTCGTGAGGGGAAAAACATCCGAGAATCAGATGCCGGGTGAATGTGTGGATTATTTGGTGGGTTAGGTTCGGCTTGGATAAAAGGCAGACTGGCCATAGGACAAGGAGGCTCATACCCCATTCAGAGAGACGTTAACCAAGGGCAGCTTCAAGGTGGAGATGGGATGCTTGAGATGAATGCAAAGGGAGGTGTTTGTTTTCAGTACTGTATGTATAGCTAATTTCTGTGATAAATATGATTAGAAACAGTTGTGTGAGATTCATTTGCAGTTGTTTTCCCTCCTGAATGTCAGTTAATAACTTCCATTAAATAATGTAATTGTGAAACATAGAGTCAGACTTCTGCACTGAAAGTTACTCATCCATTATCAAAGGAAACAAGAAACTAAGCCGAGTGGTTAAAGAAGATACCCTGGATCCTTTCAGCAAACAACCATTTGAGATCCTCTGATCAGTTAGCTGCTAACTACCAGACAGGCTAAAAGGGCCTCCTTTCATTTGAACTGTTATTTTATTATTTTCAAAGTCTTCGAATTGATCTTAGGTGTACCAGAGGAAATGTGGGGGCACCTCAAAATGAGATAAAGGAAGCCAAGTTACACTTGTTCAATCCCACGCGTCTAATTGATTCCAGAATTTTCTCTCTCCAGATCCTGAAAGATGATAGTGAATCAGCAGCTACAGAATGTGTTGCTGTCTTTGTAAAATTACATAATCACATAAGATCTCACTTAATTTCCTAGTATCAGATGAAGATGATTAATTAGAACACCCCCTCCTCTGTTTCCTTAGGATATAACATAAAAGGCAATTCTGATGTCATTTTGGGATTAACAATTTAGCAAAATTCCCTCAGCTATACACCAGGTACTGCAGTGTGGATTCAGCACAAAAGTGACTTCACATATAGAGAACAGAAAATAAGGTCTTCAACCTGTGCTGCCCAGGAACAAAGCATCATCTGATTTGGTATGTCTGAAATCATACAGTAAGAACACTGAAGATAACTATATTGTTTGTTGTTGACATGGTCCAAGTGTCCTACAACTGCTTTTGCCTACAAGGTGTTTGAACACAAGAACATAAGAAAGATAATAAACATTTAGCCCATCTAGCCCATTTGGCTGTTAGCAATAAATTGATTCCAATGATAACATCGAGATGTTTCTTTAAAGAAACCAAGATATTGGCTTCAACAACATGGCTGGGCCTACATATTCCACATTATTCCTTATTCCCACAACCCTTTAGGATTACAGTACCTCCTGTTCTTGGTTTTGAAATGCACTACATCATAGTTTCCACTTATAATCATTCAAGTTGAAGTCCTCTTGCTTGGGGTTTAAGGAAATAACCCCACAAGTAGAAACATTTTTCCATTAAATGGGCTATAGTGAAATGTTCCTTCCTAAGGCCCCGATATTAGAAGGAAGTGTGGACCAGACAGTTGGTGATGAATATACTGTACAGTATTCTGAGCATTTGTTTCAGTTTTGGAGAATTTCTAAGAATTAAAGTCGTTAAAGCAAAAATGTTTATCACAGCACTATAGATAAAATATACTTTAACTTGAGTATCATTGCCCAGACCATAGAAAAGTACAGTTACTGTACAAAGGCAAAAGTGTCATATGTTCTTAGTTACAAAGTAATAAGAAATAGCTTATGTTTCACTTTTTAAAATGAAAATCGCACAATTCTTTTAAATGAATGATAGAGAACAACTTGAGGGAGCACTTGTTTTTTTAATGCAAATCAGATACACCCACACAGAGATTTGCTAATTCTCTTGTCAATATCATCATTTTCAGTTAAATTGACTCATATGCCAATGTGTCATATAATTACTTGATTATTTAACTAACCTTGATGTGGATGTTTTCCCTTAAGGATACACAGAAGGTCACATCTAAGAAATTATGTGATAAAGTGGTTTAAAGTTATATTGTTTTGTTTTACAAAGACTTTTACTGTATGCACAATTAATCTAAAGTATTAAAGCTTTCTCTATCAATGCACTAAAAACACAAATATTAAATATCCAGCTAGTACAAAGGCAAAAGGAAAAAGCTTCATATGTTTTATGGTTGTTTAAATGCAATAATAACAATCATTTATTTTGGAGTACGACTTTCAAGATGACAGTGGAGCTTATCAGGCTTTGATTACATACAAATCTTTTGTTGGACATAAAAAAACCTGGACATAATGAAATTCATACCACAAATACTGAATATTTCATGTTTAATGTGTTACTTGAAACCTAAGAATGTTGGCTGTGATTGCAAGATCACATTTAGATTTGCCTTTTATAAATCAGGTTGTTCAGCTATTGATACTGTGAGTCGTCCAGTAGGTACAGTACCACTAAGTAGAACTTTTAAGTAAGCATTGGAGAATCTCAGACACTGTCAACATTAATAGTGTACGTTTCTCAAATATTACAGCCTGTAATATATAGTTCTGTTGAGCATTATCAACCAGATTTAACATCATATAAACCCTTTTTCACTGCTTAACAATATTTTTGAAGATGTTTAGACGAACTTGGTTGAAAGCTCGGAAATGAAGCAGAAGTAAAATGGAGCTTACCTTATCGGCTGATAAAGTTGAATAAAGCTGGCAGGGAACAGACTTCTATCACAGTCCTCTCTCCCTCTCCAGGGTAGGATTATAGTCTTTACTTTTCAGTTTCTTCACTTCCTGTTTCTGATTCGGTGCCCTCAACCTTATAGCTTATTAGTTTCTATGGTAACAATGGAAGGAGAGTGCTGAGGTCCTAATTCCACACAAAAATAAGCAATTGCAGAAGGAAAGGCTTCTTTTGAACAAATAACATCCACATCATCATAAACATCAATTTTTAGCTCTTTTTAAGCAGGAAAGGGGAATTTTTTTTTCATGTTCCCTGTGGCCCCACCACCTTTTAGAAAACTAAATACGGGGAAAGATTGTGTATGTATGGTTATTATTTGAAATCAAGAGGCTGCAGCTAATCTCTCTGATGTCAATTCTGATTAGATTCCTGGCTCCTGATCTGAATGCAGTCCACTGAGACTGGCAGAGGAATGAAGTGAATGGCATTTGTGTTGTTAAGAGGGGGTCAGACTAGTGTGCAGTTTGTGATGTGTCAGCGGTCCAAAGGGGGAAAAAAGTGTGACAATCAACAACAGGATTGCACCCTATATCATTGCATTAACCTGCTAGCATCTGCATCAGTGGCTACCTTCACATTCCACCCCTCTCAGTGGTCTCTAATGGATGTTCCCTACGACGCATTTAAAGTCCAAAAAGACACAAAAATGACTGAACAGAATCCAAACACCCACAGCTAATAACAACAGCAAAATCAAGGGAAACAAATTGATCTGTTTTTTTTTCCATCATGACTTATAACACTCCTGCAATCTTTAATACAGATGACAGTGGGAATGCTAGTAGATTTAGAAGAAAGTCTAATGTACCGGTGAACTCTTGCTCCTTTGACAGTATAGAATATAGCCCTAGAAATTAATTTACCTCCAGGCAGCAGTTACAGCTAAGACAAAGCAAACAGTAGCCAGCATTACAGTAGCACAAAGCTACAGGAGGTGAAGGTCATGGTCAATCAATGTCTTTCCATCTGCTGGGTAAGGGAATGCCTTTAAAAGGTTCATATATGTATCAGGAACAAGTAAAGTTTATTCCAGGCTGAAAACAGAAGGAAAGACACACAACGTTTCGCCTTCTACTGGTGTGCCTCGGGTGAAACTTCTTCATCCTGATACATATCCTGATATACTGTACATATACATACTGTATACAGTACAGTTTGCATACAGTAATATGTTTATGTTCCTAAATCAATATCTTTTATGAGCATGTGGAAGGCATGGTGAATCAGAGATTCTCAAAAATTACTGTACTTTGCATAATTGGAAACAAATGCATGATTTGATCAATGAAATGCTGTGGTGTTACTTTTACGAAGACGGTCAATGAAAAAAATAAAATTTTTTCGTTTACAAAGACGGTTACAAAGAATGTGGACCAGGGCAATAAGTTTACAGCTTGTCAAAGGTCATTCATTATTAATACTATTAGTAATATCTTCGGTAAAGACTTTGATGGCGACAGCTCAAACATGAAAGGTTGAGCTTTATTAGCTCCACCTTGCGGAAATTCCAGATACTACTATTTTACTTGCGGTACCATGCGGTATTATACAGTAACTTGCATTACACTGGGACAAGCGCACCGCATTATAAAGCGGTATCGCCCGCTTGTTTTGAATGGCTGCATCTCTATGTATCAGGATGACTGTCTGGACTTTTACTGTCTTTATCCACTGAGGGCTTTCCTGGGATTTCTCATTTAACCTTTAAAATCAGTTACAACTGAGCCTGGGCTAATCATCCTCCAAGATGTCACTTAGCCATTTAGCCTGTTAAGGCTTTAATAATATTTAGAAACAATAAATAAACAAAATGTGGAACTCCTAATTTAAATGTTACCACCTAGCTTCTCTTTTCTTTGTTGGAGCTTAAAGTTTGTGACATTCATAAATGATTGTTTTGTGTTTTCAAGAATTCTGACATTTAAATTTGCAAATATTTCGAGGCTCTCCCTAGCCCACAGAAACTGGGCCTTCTGTGTTCCTGTGGGCTTTTGTGAAAGGGCTGCATTTGTTTTGCTGCATAACTGTCTCAGTTTCATTTTCTAGAATCCCTGCCACACGATTCCATTAGAGTTACATAAGGATACATTAACTGCCAAAATGGAAAGCCTTTAGTAAAGAGAAAATGTGTTTCTAAAAAGACATACAGCAGCAGACATGAAAGTCCAAACACATCTTTTAGTGCTTTGTTTTTCTACATGGAACTCTGCATTAACAAATAATACATGCATACTGTAGCTAACTCTGTCTAAGCTTTGGAAATAACAGTTATTAAACAGCTACTACATACTGTAAACCTTTTCAAATTTCAGAATCCTTTGATTCACCCAATTTTTTGCATTCTCAAATTATGAAGAAGGTTATGACTAATAATCTAAGGAGTTGGGGTATCGGATTTGATAACATGGCTGGATAACTTGTTCCACACACCCACCACTCCCTGTGTAAAAAGGTCTCCTGTTCAACGTTTTGTTCACATTTTGAGTTTTTTCTGATCTGTTCCAATCTTTAATATAAAATACACTGGCCCACCACAAATTCTTCTTCACACCAGACAGAGGGACATCAATTGTTCTGCAATAGAATGTTTGTTAATTGAATATAGTACTTCAATACTCTCACTTTATTGGCAGAACGAAAACAGAAGCAGTCATTGGTCATTAAATAAGAAGGAATACAAATGGTTCCAATACAATCAGTTAGAGACGGGTTTCCTTGCAAACATTACTTTTGCAGTTAAAATATTTCAGCCCCTTTAAAATGAGTTTTTCAAAGTGAGGGAGCCTGACCAAAGTATTCAAGACCCTCAGAGCACTCACAAAGTCAACCACGCAGACTTTTTTAGTTCGGCAGCAAAACGTGAACCAGATAAACGTATAAACTATTTCAGTGTGCATTTACAACCAAGACAGTATGCACTTCTTTACCCAAAGGGCTGTGGAATATGAAACAAGCTGCCCAACAATATTGTTAAAGCCAATACCCTTGCTTTTTTGAAGAATCGTCTGGATGAGATCTTTGCACCAACCAGCTACAAATGACAGGCAAAATGGGTTGAGTTGCCTCCTCTCATTTCTTGCAGTTATAAAGTTCTTCTTCTGTTCTATTACAACAGTAAACCACTTTGCTTAAATTTATTTGCAAATAATTTCCATGCACTTTTGTATATGAGTGTTTCTCTTCAGGTACCCGTGATGTTTTTATTCAGAAGTAGTGTACTACCCAGAATAGCACACATGGAATTTGTGTCAGTAGCAGGAATGGATTTTCTTTCTGATCCAGATTATTAAAAAGCTGCTCATAACAGCATGTCATTGTTTCAGCATACTGGTGGTTATTAAAACTAACGAGCTGGGGTTTTAGACTCCAGACTTTTTTTTTGTACAATAGCTATTTCTTTACTTTTCAAGATGCTTAGCCTTTAAATATTTAAATATTTCTTCTCATTTGATTCGTTTTAATGGAAAAATATGGCTTTATCCTCTTGATCACTTAATACATGTTGACACTTGATAAATAGCCTATCATTTTTATTGCAAGGGATTTATTAAAAGTGGTATGGGTATCCCCTCAAAATATGGAAACAAAATAAATGTTACAAAATAGGGGTGGGGGGGAACCAGCCCGTTTAGTAGTTAATTGATCCAAGGATCTCATCCAACTATTTTTTGAAAGAAGCCAAAGTATGTGCTTTTCCAACATCAGTTTCCTTGTTCCATGCTCCCACACCCCTTTGTGTAAAGAAGTGCCCCCTGATTATTCATTAAGGGACAAATAATATTAATGATTTTATTAAAACCAACCTCTAGAAGGGGAGTTACACCTCCTCCTAAAGTGAGGAGTGATTTAGCTGTACATTGCTGAAGCTTTCAGCATCAGACAAAGTCAGGAAGATAATTGGACTGAAAGCCGTTCTGTGCTCAGGAGACAATGAAATATAAGCAAGAATGATATTGTTTTAAAATTTACTTTCTATTATTGTTTGATTAATGGATGATCTAATAAAAGTTCAAATATAAAAGAGACCAATATATTTCAGATTTGGAGAAAAAGTATCTCTCTGGCTCATAAAATCCATAAATGCTAAACATAAACATTTGTCCTGATTACATATATATTCAGAACATAGTCGAAGATTTGATTGCTGATCATTTTTCAGCTCTCAATCAAGATACTTAACCACTTTGTATCTTGAACACACCAGCTCTTACAAGCTAAGTAAGGCTGGGCCTGATCAGTTATGGGATGGGAGGAAAAAAATCCTGGGCACTGAGGTTTCTCCATGTGTGCCAAAATCTCCAAGCCACTGTCCCAGTAAGGTGACATTGGGCTGTAGGAACTTTGAATAAGATTTCAAACTGAGGTCCTGATTACTTGATTGTGAAAGATTGCATGACACTGTAAGATCTGTTATTGTAAGTCTTGTCTCCTGGCAATTCACTCTGGCGATGCTCCTGCCTGTGTAAGAGATCCCCCTTAAAACTGACATGAGTTCCTTTTAAAGGCACCATATAAAATATTAGTACTGTTAATAAAACTGGTGAATTATTTTCTGTTTTTCCACTGATCTCACATGTAGTGTGGCAGCTGGCATGAATGGCACTTGAGTGGGAGGTGACATTGGTTCTTTTCCATATCCAAAGCAGTCTTTGATACTTTGGGGTGAGTATAAATAAATGCAAATAGTTCTATTCTTTGTCTTATTATTTATAGTTAACTATCACAGTTCTGAACTGCACGGAAAAGGGGTTGGTCTGATGATTCTTGTGGACTTAATGAATTTTGTTTGAAAGTAGAATATGTGTAAAATAAAATTGGATGTAAAGTACAAATTATAACATTGAATTGGTTTTTAAGCGTTGGGGGGAAAAAAATAGTGTCCTCCCCGACGGGGAATCGAACCCCGGTCTCCCGCGTGACAGGCGGGGATACTTACCACTATACTATCGAGGATGTAACGAGATAATGTTTCGTTGAACAACGTCTTGTATATACTATATGTTGCTGTCTGTTCTAATTTTACTTGTAATTCGTCCGATCCCTAATGTTTGCATCCAGGAAGGCACAGCTTCTCCCTGTGAGCACACATTATTTAAATGGAAACGGAAAATGCTCGGCAGACGCCTTGTCACGTGACACGGCAGTCTTGCCACTCTGCCTCGACCCCCCCTTTTCCTGCATGTCCAGTTCTTTCAGTAAGGATCGAGCTAGTGTAGCAGTGAGTTCAAAGTAGCAGTATTTCGACTCGGACCCTTGATGTTTGCAGTTAGTGCATTTTGGTGTGCAGGGTTTGTAGGTTCTGCCTTGCGTGCCTTTGCTCATACAAACTCGACTTCACATTATCGGAGCATGCAACGCCTAATGATATTTTTATCAGACAGGCCTAGCAGGCTGTATGCAAACGTTATTAGGTTTTCCGGTTGTATTTTGTTGTGTGTAGCATAATGTAAAAATGAGACCGAGTGAAATGTTTTTTTGTCGGTTTTTGTAATTTGCAGACGTTTTGTGTGGGTCACTGACCGATAGTATTGCCTCGTCAGCGTCTCCGGGAGTAACCTGATGGAATCTGTATGTCAAGAAAGCATACAATGTAATAAAATCTGAATAAAAATGCAGAGGTATGTTTTTTGTTTATATGAGTGTGGGTGTGAGTTTTACATTTATTGTAATTCTTCTGTAGAGAGATATATTGTACTACATTTTTTTTCATTCGACAAAAATGTTTTGCTTACGTTTGTGCTTGTACAGTAACTTCAGATGTGGAATATCCCGGTACAATGTATACGATGTACAGTTAAATAATATTTATTATCGTATACATACCAGCCTGTTTTAGATAGATTCTCAAAATAAACCATCTGTCCTTGTAGATTGTACAGTATGTCTTGGAAGGTGTGACATTAATGAATAAAATGACCATTATTTGGGCTTTAGATTAGAAGCCACAAGCTGTATTTAAAGCCTTTTTAATTTGTGCCGTAGGTTATAAGTGGCCATGCTGTGGCACCGGTCACGATGGTATTATCCGAACTGCCCTGGGAGCCCCAGCTCGAACTGCCGAACCTACCGCCTTTTCAGGCCAGGATTGTGGTTGGGCTGGTAGCTGTTATTTGTTTTGCCAATAGTTATGATGGCGACTTTGTCTTCGATGATTCGGAAGCTATCATCAATAACAAGGTAACGTTATAGTCCTGGTTCTATTAAATTATTATACAGAATGTGTAAATCCCTGCAATCTTTAAGAATACTTTTGTTCAGAAATTACAATAAACAGTTTTTTGTAGTAGATACCTGTCAATTGAAATCCCTGATATTTATTTACAGGCTACATTCAGGTCACTGCCATGTTTATTTTCCATTATTTAGCGTGCACAGTAATAATCCCATTTTGGCATGCAGTTTTCCATTTTTATTTCTATTTAAAAATTGCTTGGTTAGAATTTTGGTCTGTTTTTGTGACTTTCAGCTGTATTTGTTTTTATACTTTAGAGGACTCCCTATTTCCGTTACCATTTTCTATCGACGCATGGTTGTTAGGCTTTTGCATGCTCTCTATATATGTTAACATGCATTTTCACCCGGTGCTACAGTTTTCTCCCACCTCTCAAAGTCAGGTTTACTAGGTTAATTAATATTTTAGATCGTCCTTATGCACTTGTGAGTGTGTGTTCCCTGTGATGGCCTGGTGTGCTGTCCATAGAATAATCTCGCCTTGCACCCAGTGCTTCTGGGATTGCTTACACGTTGACATGACCCTTGTGAGGAGAAAGCTTAATGAAAACAGACGGATGGAATTGCTTTATAACTTCTTAAAACCTGAAAATGCTGTTTCTTTAATCCTAATTACAACCCGCCCGTTTGATGTCATCAAAGCATGACTGCAAGTGATTTAACACTTGTTTGTTTAAATTTTTAGGACCTGAAACCAGAAACTCCCCTGAGTAATATTTGGGGAAATGATTTTTGGGGAAGTAACCTAAGCAGTAATGCCAGCCACAAGTCCTACCGGCCACTCACCGTACTTACCTTTAGGTAATTGTATAATTCTATGCTTTTTTTTCGGATTGATTTTTCCTGCTCAAACCAAAGTGATTACAGTTATTGCTGGTGTATTGCTGGGAATTGGGATATGAGGTTAAAGTGTAAATAAATAGTAAAAAATAAGTAAAAGGAAATACAAGTTTGTAGAGAGGGAATTATGCAGAGCACACATACAGTATGACTGGTGTGCCAAAGCTTTGTGGTGCCACATTTTTTTACTTAATGAGTAGTGTTCCCACACGTTGTATACATGAGATAAGGAATTTGCACACATATGCTCAGTGAGGCTCGTGTCCAGGTCATGTCCATGGCCAGGTATTGTGGACTAAGCTTAACTGTGGATTGGTTTGCTGCCCAGTAGTGTTTGATATTCTACAGAGGGGCTGGTATGTCTGCCAGATAGGAGGAGTGTCTCCAGTGTGGACTGTCTTTGTGTGTCCTCGTGGCCGGCTGTAGATGGAACGAGCCTTAAGCTGTAGGAAGGTTTCGCTTCCATTATGTATGTGTTGTGGTTATTTATTGATATTGTCTATCAACTGTGCAGTCAAAACACTAAGCTAGCACTGTGATGGGGAGTTGGAGAGATGAGCATTATTTGCAGCTCTGGGCAGCTAAGCAGGGAAATACATTCTTTGTCTGGTGATTCCTGTTTTGTAATTACTGTATGTCTTTCCTGGATGTTTTGTATGAATTTTTTGTCTTGTTTGTTACATCTTCACATTCCTAAGTGCAAATAAAATTAGTAGTTTGCTTAAGTTCCATTTCTGGACTTTTAGGTACAGGTACAGTGCACAATATGCTTCTGTGTTACAGTAGGAAAAGTAGGAAAAGTGATTAAGGAAGAACATGACACATTCCTTACAGAGTTTCTGGGTAACTGCTGTGCTGAGTTTCAGAATAGTGCTGCAAGTATTTCTCAGAGTTCTTTCACGGGAAAACTTTTTGCAACCTACATTTACAACTTGCTCTTAAATCTTGTCCCATTTGTTTCAATTCTTTTGGGATCATGATATCTGAAGTCATCTTGGAGTTTTTGTTGTTGTGTCCTGCGTGCTTTTGCTTTGTTGCTTTCTTCGGCCCTGCTCTCTTAATCCTGTGTCTCCCCCCTGTTCTTTCATGTTGCCAGACTATTCATATTGCATTCATATCTGAGGAGGTGGTACAAACCTTTGTACGGCGAAATTCAAAACCCTATTTGTAATTCTTGTCTGGCTCCCTTGATGATTATAATCTTCATTGATGTTTTTCCTCCTAGTGCGTTACTCTGTGAATAACCCTCTTCCTTTATCGTTTTTTTTTTCTCCAGATTTAACTGCCTCTTAGCTGGCGGCTTGTACCCTGTTGGCTTTCATGTGCTGAACATTGCCCTTCACGGTGTTATCTCTGTATTAATGATTGATGTGTTTGCAATATTGATTGGTGGCCTGGCTTATGATGGAAAAGGGAAAAGACTTAACCAGGCTCCAAAGGCATCATTTCTGGCTGCGTTGCTCTTTGCTGTGCATCCAGTTCACACAGAAAGTGTAAGTAGAACCCAGAATTCACTTGGCAGGATATCCTTCACCTGTAAACAACACTTTTTTTTTTTAATAGTCATTAATGAAGTACCTTTCACATGTGCTGACTGCAGAGATTATGCTTGAAACATACTTTAAAGGCAGGTGGGGTATGAAGCAAATCTCAGCTGATGGGCATTGCAAAATAAACACCTTGTAATGAGGGCCATGCTGCAGACTTATTAGTTTTAGACTGCTTGTTTAGACGGGTAGAATTTCCATCGAGAGGCTGTGAACTCTTGCTGTTGTTTTTTAAGTGTGATGTTTTAAATTCTGTCAAATTAATCATTTATAGGCAGCATCTGTTATACTATTGCTTGTCAGCCGACACTGTATCAAGTTGCAGTGAAATAGTGTTACCACAAAAGTAAAGGGATATTGATTTGAAGTTGTCTGCTGACCATTTTGTTTAATCATATGCTGATCAATAAACTCTCATGGTTTAGTGGAAAGGTCTGAATCCAATATGTTTTGTATTATTAGGTGCATCTGCAAAAATAATTCATTCTTTTTCTTTTGTTTTACTTTCATTGTTTTGTTCAAGCAGAGTTTTTTTTTTAGGTCTAAGAAAAACAATGTGTAACGATGAAAGTGCACTCATATTGTTCAGCTGACTGACTTCCAATTTATATAAGCTTAGCTGTAGGTTTTTGATAGGTCAGGAACCTGAAGAAGAAGAGAGGTTGCTCTCTGGTGGCACAGGGCTCGACCTTAGAAAGTGGTCAGCCACTGCAGCTGAGTGGAGGCCCTGTGTTCCCGGCCTTGCATGTCAGTGTACGTTGTTTCTTGTTGAAGGTTGCTGGGATAGTTGGAAGAGCTGACCTCTTGTGCGCACTCTTCTTTCAACTCTCCTTCCTCAGCTACTGCAGAGCATTTCAGAAAGGTAATAGATATCTTCAGTGTTTACTGTGTAGATTTGATTTGGCATGTAAATCATGCAGCAACAACAATAATGTTAATTGGTAAAATACATAGATTGGAATGTTTAAAATGTGTGCTTTTAGACATTATTTAAAAATGCTTTTAACTAGTGTGATCTATTAGTACAAGCTGTTGGTTGATTGTATTCTAATAGTGAAAAGTGTTTAATTGAAATGGTGTAATGGAAATACATTTCCAATTAAATAAAATACCATTTGGCCTAATGTGGATAATTTGTATTGTGGTGAATGGAACTGTCCTTTCTTGACCAGTAACAGACCTCTGGGAAGTGTTTCGTTTTCAGGTTTAATCAGAATCACAGATTATGCGTGCTTTATGATTTGTGTTCACTGCAACGTTTTAAGACCTCTGTATTAAAATATTTGTCTGTTGTAGTGTCCATTTTGTCTTTCTGTTATGAGTAGGCTAGCGGGCCATTTGTGTGAGAAATTTCCATAGTGTGCTTTATGTTCAACATATGTATTCTGTATACAGACCTTTAGTCATGTTCTGTATATATACAGTATATATAAATATATATAGTTGTTTGTCTGAAAGATGAGAACACGAGTGGGTTTCCAGGCAAGTATTGATTATTATATAAATCATTATTTATTCTTTTTATGTTTTTTGCCATACTGTAGGTTATAAAGAAGACAAGTTTTCAGTATCATGGACAGTTGTAAGCCTTTCACTGTGTGCAGTGGCCATGCTTTGCAAAGAACAGGGCATCACTGTTTTGGTTTGTATTCAAATGATTCAATTCTTTAGGTTTCTTTTGATTCGTCTGCAGTTTTCATTGTTTTATATTGTGTAAAAAAAGACTTTTAAAATGTAATGTGTCACAATACTATTAAGTGAATTGTTTTTCCAGAGCATCCAAGACCATTTATCAGTCTTTATCTTTATGTACCCAGGGAGTCTGAATAGCTCTTTGTCACCATCCTACTGTATATTACATTCAGTCCATTTTTATCTCATTTTTCTGTCATGACATTAAAGACACAGCAGCTTCTGACTGCTATGCTGTTTCTTCTCCTGCTGATCTGTAATGTGTGCAGCAACCATTTGAGAACTGACGCATTTTATTTTCCTGTAATCTGTTTCTGTTTTAATGTTGCAAAGAAAGTTGTTTTTCTTCGGCATATATTTGTCAGTTTTTTAAAAGAAATGTCAAAATAATGCTTAATGTTATTGTATGTTATATTAAATATAAATATTTGTATGGAGCAGTGCTCAGGATTCTGGCCTCATAACTGGAAGGTTGTGAGTTCAAATCCCAGGTAAGACACAGCTGTTGTTCCCTTGAGAAAAGCATGTCACCCAAATTGCTCCACTAAAATATCCAGCTGTAAAAATGGGTGCAAATGTACAGCAGTTGCTTTGGTTAAAGTGTCTGCCAAATCAATTAGTTATAACAATACAATAAGATATTGATACAAAACCAAGCATGAAAATTCAGTCGAAAACAGATGTTTTTGTTTGTGTGTTGTTCTCTCTCCTTTAGGGCGTGAATGCAGCTTTCGATGTTCTCATGATCTGCAATGTAGATATCTATGAATTGAGCCACAGGCTTCTGTACAAAGGAAAGTCTGTGGAGGTAATTATTTTCACATTCTATAATACTGTATATTGATATTATAAAGATTGCAAATCTATGAAACCATAAAAAGGGCACAGTTAACATAACATTGAAAAACTATCAAATTATTCAGAGATGCAAATAATTTCACAAACTCTTCTTGTTACACTTACGCAACTGTTCACAAACTGCGAGTGGCTATGTGAGTTTTTTTTTAACATTAGCTGATTTCATTTGGAGTTTTATGTTTGAAAACCATCCCTATCCTGAGGTTATTTAATAAATTATTTTTGGACCTTGATTAGTCTTCTCCTTGAGATTTTCTGTTTGAGAAGCTGTGGAAAAACACTTTATTTAAAAAAAAAATATATATAGGTATTTTTTGTCAGCCATAGTTCTGGTCCATCTTTCGGATGAGACGTTAAATGAGGTCCTGACTCTCAGTGGTCATTAAAGATCCACGGGCATGTCTCGATAAGAGTAGGGAGTTATCCCGGTGCCCGTGCCAAATTTTCCCCCTTGGCCTTTACCATGGCCTGCAAATTGTCCCCATGTATGACTGGCTTGCACTTGTCCTGCGATGGACTGGCGTCCCATCCAGAGTGCACCCTGCCTTGCGCTCGTTGCTTGCCAGGTAGGCTCCGGCTTCCCGCAACACCGTATGGTATAAAGTAGTTTGGCGAATGACATGACATATTTCTGGTTGCTTGGAACATATTACATGTGTTTTATACTTAAGCTTTTTTTTTTTCAGATTCATGCATTGTTCAAAAGGGGCTTCCTAACAAGATTGGGCCTGCTCTCACTGGGGGGAGCTATCCTTTTGTATGCACGGTGGAGGATCATGGGAACCGGCCCACCAGCTTTCACTGAAGTAGACAACCCAGCTTCCTTTGCAGAAAATCTATTTATACGAGTGAGTGATGGAATACAACCTAAATAGAATTCTACTAGTTATTGCATTATTAAATTTGTCAGGGAGGAGGCAAAAATATTTAAAGTTCCATGTGATGTAGATTTCAGATTATGTATTTGGATTATATCTGATCAAGGTATTTACAAATGATGTCTTTGTGGTATAATAGCTGCAAAATTCAGTACAGTCTCTATAAGACCTCCACAACACTGACTTGTTATTTATTTTTACCTGCGTTTAGGATTGACTTGTTTTGGCAAGTTCAAGTACACCTTGAAGTAATTCAGTGGCTCAGTTATTGGTGTTTGCTGATCAGGTGTTCTCTGATTTCTGTGTTATTTTGACTTTATTCAGTGTTTAGCTGGATCAGTGAGTTAAATTTAGAGGTTCAATAAATGTATTGAATTCACAAAATTCAAAGACTAAAAAATGTATTATAAATAATTCTAAATGTAGTTGTTCCTATTTAATTATCAAAATCTGCTTCAAAATTCTTGTATCTGTATCATCACCAAGGCTTTATTATTGTATATTTGATAAGTTAGCTGTACTCCAACAGGGAGTTTATCAAATGGATATGAAATGCACTCAACAATATTGAAAATAGAATTAGAGTGATGGCAAACCCTTATTTGACTCCTGTCTGGACTTCAAAGGGCTCTGTAACCCATTAGTGAGGTTGGCTGCATGTATATTATTGTGAAGCAGGCAGAGGATGCTGATTCTGGTTTTCTAAGTGCCTCACAATTCACAAGTCAAATGCCTTTGTCAAGTCCAGAACGCCAAGTATATAGGTTGGTGTTGATCCAGGCATTTTTCCAGTAATTGACAGCCCATGAGTAAATTACATCTGTCTTTTCTTCAGAGGGTCAGAACCACATAGAGATTTGAGGAGAACTCATATTCCTCTTGCTGAAGAACAATTCAGTAGAATGATCTTGCCCACAATGGACAGCAAAACTTTCCCTTCATATCTCCATAGTTGGATTTCCCTTCTTTCTTTAAGATTTTTCTTGCCACAATCCTTGATATAATTTGGCATTTCCTCTTCATTCTAGATTTGTATGATGAGAGCATGTAGGTGTAGCGTTAGTTCCAGCCAACCCTGTTTCCAGAGATAATTCCATCACCACCTGCTGCTTTGTTGTTCTTCATTTGTGCGATGACTTTCATCTCCTCGCTGAGTACTGGTAGAATTCCAAGCTCAACTCAGATTTGGTGGTATGGGATTGAATTGAATATACTGTTCAGTACTGTCCACTGACAGTGGGTTCTTGAGTAAATAAATCTTTAGAATGCTCCTTCCAAATGCCTGCCTCCCTTTCCATCATCAGTTCTCTTCCTTCTCTTATCTTCTCTTCCTTCCTCTCTGGCTATTCAGGCCATATATAGAAGTCCTTGTGGCAGTGAATAAACCACAGATATCATGCATGTCTACAAAATGTAGAATTCCTTTTGCTTTTCTGTCTTTCACCTGTTCTTTATATCTCAAGTACTCCTGTGAAATTCTGCCGTTGCTTTTTAGTGGGCCTGCTTCTTCTGCTTGGATTATGGGTTGTCGGGCCATGCACAGAAAGCCCTATGTTCTAGTCCTTATTTCTCATGAATTCCTTTTGGGTTGTATTTTTTAATGCTTTGATGTTGATTTTCCATGCATACGATTCTTTCTGTAGCTAATTGTTGGTAGCCAGTTTAATAGGCATAACTCATCAGCAAAGATGTGATCGGTTTAGCAGCAGTGAGCTCTCGTCATTGCTGTAGTGATGTGGACATCTTTGTTATTCCGGGCACGGATAATGACAGAGTAAATGCAGTGTCGGTGTTTGGACACGCGGTGTTGCCAAGATGTTTGTGTGTAAACTGTGTTGGTGATGAAGTCTCCCTTCCAGGCACACAGGAACATCTGGAATGCCATTGGAGCTCACATTTACATCCCTTGCCTTGCATATGGTTTCATTCCAGAAACTGGAATCTCTTCCATCTCTGATATTGAAGGCCCCTTTTCTATACCCCAAAAGGGGTGAGCAGAGAAATGCACTTCTGCTTCAACCCATGTGCTTGTAACCTCCACCTGCGTACCAAGTCATGACTAGGAGCGTCCAGAAATCACTCTCTTACTTCCATCACTGGTCACCAGAGCACTTAGAAATTGTGCTGGGGATGGAAGATGCCTGTGTGCAATATCTATTATTGTCAAGAGACTGTAGCTTTACTAGACTGGGGATTGAGATATTCTGGTTGGCACGTCGTCTTTAGTTTGTTGTGCTGTGGAGGACTTGGGTGTCAGAGCACTGTTTGCTGAGGTTGTAGGGTGCAGGAATTTTAACCTAAGGCCGTCAGGGAAGTTGCTCCAAAAGTGAAGGTATTCATTCTTCTGACCTCTCATCCCTCATTGATCATGTCCAGTGGCAAGGCCAAGGATGAGGGGTTAGAACCTGGTTTTAATGGCTCTTATGACTCATGTCTACCTCTACCTGTATCATAATATACCTTGTAAGTGTAATTAGTGTTCATGGCAGTTCCATAGTGTTCTACCACACTCATTAATTCTTTTTATTTGTTTGCATTGTGAAACATTATCTAGAAGATAGTGTTTAAGAATATAAAAATATATTCTGTGCAAAATATGTTTTGATTACATATTCATAATCTTTTTACAATAATGCACAGTGGTTCTTTTAATCTCTTCTTTTTTAGTTTAAATTCAGTAATTAGTTCCAATAAGCACTCCCTGCTCCGTACAAGCAAAGAGAAATGGAGACAACTGTGAATCCATTTTAAATCTATGAACAAGAGGGAGGTTGTAGGAATAAAAAGCAGCATTTGATTTTTAGTGGAAAATAATCATTTACAATACTCTGTAGGATAGTCTGCGGTTGTAAATATTTATGTTTTGCACCCTAATTACTTTTCCCGAAAATGCAAAAAATCTGGAATATAATGAATGTTTTTGTGAATCCCATTAATTTTCCTCATCGAGTTACCTCTAATGAATTTCAAAGCTACAGGATTTAATTGGTTAACCCACATCATTTGAAATTCTGTATCGATTTCTGGAAGTAATTCTTTTAACCTTTGCTGCGATCAAAACCTCATTTTCTTTTTATCTGAAAATTGAACAGTGGCTCAGAGTAGGTATTTTGTCAAAGAAGGCTTTAGGCTGTTATTTAAAATGAGATAGTTTGCTTTAAGACTGCACTTCTCTGTTCATTTACTCTTGTTTCCTTTGATTGGCAGACTGTGAACTATAATTACTACTACTCTCTGAATGCATGGCTGCTGCTGTGTCCCTGGTGGCTGTGTTTTGATTGGTCAATGGGCTGTGTACCACTTATTAGATCAGTCAGTGACTGGAGAATAATCTCGCTGGTCAGTCTGTGGATCTGCTTGATGGGTTTGATAAGTCAAGCCTTGTGTTCTGAGGACAGCAGTAAGAGAAGGTAAGGGAACTTGTCTCCATGGCAAAGCCTCTTGCCAGTTGAATAATGTCATTGAGAGCAATACATTTTCATCAACATTAGATTTATCAACTTAATACATTTTTCAAGATTTATTTTATCCTGCACCACCACAATGAAGAACCCTTTTACACCTCACTGTGAATGTTTTTTCAGGAAAACGCTAACTGTGCTCTGACTAGTTTATACATTTTAGAAATGCTGATTAACCCTTGAATCAAACTGCACAAGAGGAGGCCATTTCCCTCATCTAGTTAGTTTGGATTTTAGTCCTCATATTGGAATAAACTATTCTTACATGCATTTTCTTCATTCGGGTGTATTTTATTTACAACATCTCACATTTTGTATTGACATTTAGATATGAATTTGCACATCCCTTCAGTATGTGAATATATGAGGTATACAATGTACAGTATGCATGTTTCCCCCATCTTTTCTCTCAGGACGCTGACATTTGGACTCGTACTGCTGGTGATCCCCTTTCTTCCAGCCAGCAATCTGTTCTTCCGTGTGGGTTTCGTGATAGCAGAGAGAGTCCTCTACCTGTCCTGTGCCGGATACTGTCTTATTGTAACATACGCAATTGGCTCTTTATGCAGCCGTTGCAAGAACTACAAGGTACAGAAAGTGTGAGGGATAGTATTTCTTTTTATTCTTCTTTTTCATTAAATGTAAATGTGTGTTGCTTTTTCATTCGGATCCTCATCACCCTTCTTGGCATTGTCTTTGCAGAAACTCATTCGCGCTTTGCTGTTGGTACTCCTGTGTGTGAATGTTCTCCGCTGTGCTACCCGGAGTAGCCAGTGGAGGTCAGAAGAGAGCCTTTTCACCAGTGCCCTGTCAGTCTGCCCCCTCAATGCTAAAGTGAGTACACCTTAATCTGTTTACCATAGAATAGTTTTGTACAGTGCCTTACAAATGTATTTGGACTCTTGCACAGTTTTCACTTTTGGTTGCTTTTACACTTGAAGTCATAACACCTTTGAAGTAGCAATTATTATTTGTGTCACAGAACTTTCTCCACAGTTTCAAAGGACAAAAGAAGAAGACGTAAATAGATACCTCATAGAAAAATGCTAAAAGTCATGAATGCTTGAATTTTTAGAATTGTTACTGTGGCAGACCTACATTCATTACATTAATTTTCTTGATAATACCAGCAATATTATGGCTGAGAGCATTTAGTTATGAATAAAAACCTTTTTTTCTCATGTTTAGCAGTTTTATAAATGTATTGTATAGTATTTCACTAAGGTCCTCAGATGTTTAAGTTTTGATATAAAGGGACTTTTTACCATTGAAATTTGGCTTTGATATTTTAAATTTTGCTCCACCCAATGTGGAATGAGCTATAGTTAATCGGTTTATTGCTCCACCTGCCTGGACTGCACAGGAAGAGTGCCCTCTTCTAGCACACCCACCTGTCATAGCCTTAGTCACTTGAGCCACACAGGGCACACAGAGTGGCACAACCCACTGCAAGCCTGCTGGTACCTGGAAGTTCAATAAGGAAACCCTTGCCAGTTACAAATTAATTATTAAAGTATTTGACTGACGCTTTGTCTGCAAAACAAAAGGTATCTAGGGGAAGTACGTTGCTCAGGGATACAACAGCAGTGTCCCAGCTGAGATTTCAACTCGCAACCTTCAAATTGCAACACCAGAACCAACTCCTGCTGCCCCAGTTGAAACCTATCTGACCCTTGTGGTACTTGGCTAGTTGTGTTCCTCTGTCTGGGCAGTGAGCCATCATTAGTTGATGACGTTTGGCTCATAACCTTGCCAAGGCTTGAAACAAAGCTATAGAGCTCCACCTGCTTTCCAAGTAAACGTCTTCCCTGGTTGAGCCATTCAGGAACCTCTTGAAACTGCAGATATTAACTGAAGTATCTAACCTATACTGAAGGTTTATATGTTATTCTTCTAGATTCCACTGATTTTTATTTGTTAATGGGTCTATAATGTAGGTAAATGTTTTATTTTTTTACTTGCAGTATTTTGATTTAATCATTTAAGTTTCAGGAACATCAATAGGTATTTTTCCACCTATTGAAGAATTGAGCAATCTATTAATGAAATTACAAAATTCCAGTTTAGATGAAGCAATGACAGAAGTCAGAAAGCACTGACAATGACAGTTAACATAACAGACGTTCCTTACCAGTAATGTGGTGTGCTTTTCTAGGTTCATTACAATGTTGGCAAAAACCTTGCAGACAGGGGAAATCAGACAGCTGCAATCAAATACTACAGAGAAGCTGTAAGGTACACTTCATGTAATATTCAAATGTCTCCACTTGCTTTGCTATAAAAATCTATATGTTGAGGTGGGGGTTAGAACATTTTTCCTTAAAGTATGCTAAGATATACTAGTAGTAACATGTTTTAATTCGTAATGAAGACAAGGGTTCTCTGGAAGGAATTAACAACTTGTTTAATTGTTGTGAATATCTCTGTTCCTTTTAGCAAATGATTAAAATAAACACTAATGTTTCTGTTTCACAGGTTAACCACATGTTAACAGACGTTAAGCTTTAACCAGCTTCTGAAGTAGTTTTATTTTGTAGATCTTAGTATTTTAGTGGTTTCCCTTTAATACTCACAGTATGAAGCTCAGATTTTTCAGTTGTAATTGGCACTGTATTTGGTTTAAGTAAAAATATTTTACCTGTCTCTTCAGAGAGCTGCAGTGTTTAGTTTTCTATGTAGTAGATCTTTTGAATACCTCCTGTCTATGGAATTGCTGAAGAACCTCAAACAAGCAACCTACTTTTTATCAGGACATTCAACAGTCTAATCTTAAATCAGAGAATACAAGTCTTTAGTGTGTCTCATGTTACCTAATTGTTAATGAAAGTAATTGATGGCACTGTACAGTACATTACAGTTTTGAGAAAATAGCTTTCTTTCTAGGAGAATGCTATTGATCTGTTATAAAACATGTTAGAAAACACATACGTTTGCTATAGTGTACAGGCCTGGTTTTCTGAGACATCATGGGAGTTAAAGCACATTTATTTATTTTTTAAATCAAAGAAATACTCCCATATTCTTAAATATTGAATAAATAACAGGAGTTATTGCTTCACATTTTTAGGAAACACTTGTAATTTCTACAGATAAAATTCCATTAGCTGCTGGCTACCAATGAGCTAGCTGGGCTTCTTTTCATTTGTAACCTTTCTCATGTTCTTATAAAGTATGGCAAAAGAGAAAAAGACTATCTTTCTGTTTATTCAAAAGTAAATGTTTTTGTCAAAGGAAATTAGATTGTTTAGAGTTTTGTAAGATTACAATATTATAAATAATAAAAGCCCATTGCTTTTTATTATTTATATGCTTCTTCACGGTCAGATTATATATACACATGGTCTTCAATTTCATTGTTGTGTAGCTGATACTCAGATCTATGTTAAAACCTTTTCCCCCAATGACCTGCTGCTACTGTTGCTTATCACTTGTCTGTGTGACATCTAGCTCTGGTTGAAATCAAATTATTTGAAGCTAAATAGTGACAAAACTTATTTTACTGGTGGGAAACAAATGTCATCTGGAAAAACTCAAGGGTTTCACAGTAATGGTGGAGGGCTTCCCCATGTATGCATCAGCCATAGTCTGCAATCTGGAAGGCGTTTCTTGAAAAGAGTAGGGGTGTAACCCCTGCATCCTGGCCAAATTTCCCATTGGCCCTTACCAATCATGGCCTCCTAATAATCCCCATCTATGAATTGGCTTCATTACTCTGCTCTCCTCCCCACTGAGAGCTGATGTGTGGTGAGCGTTCTGGCGCACTATGGCTGCCGTTGCATCATCCAGGTGGGGCTGCACATTGGTGGTGGTGGAGGGGAGTCCTCATTACCTGTAAAGTGCTTTGAGTGGAGTGTCCAGAAAAGCACTATATAAGTGTAAGCAATTATTAATATTATTATTATTATTTAGTCATACATAATCCTCTTCTGTCTCATAGCTTCATGTGAAAAATGTGATGAAGACCTACTTTTTTCACCTCAGAAATATCGGCTACTTTTGGCCATTCCTGTCAATGGACCTGTACAATGCTGAGTGTTTGATTCATGCATTCATAACAACAAGGCTTTATTTCTGCAACTTCTTACTCTAGCACTCTCCTCAGTAAGTTACAATACATTTTTGTCCAAAACTCTGCAGCTAGACGTAACACACACCAGACAGCATATTATGCCAACTCTTACATCTCTAGATTGTCTGTAAAGTCACATATTCTATATAAGATCTTGTTACTGACTAATATGGCTCTTAATCTGACTCCATCATACATCTCTGAACTCCTTCCCATCTGCTTTTCAGTTGAGGCCGGTCCTTCGATTACTGTACCTAAGACTAAATACCAGACTATTGACCATGCCTTTTTCGTTACGTCTCCAGTGGTAGAAGAGAGAGTAGAGGAGCTTATTACCATATGTACACGTACATTGGAATTTGTGTTGTTGCCGATCTCTCATGACATGCACAGTGCAGCAGACGACCCAGTATGACAGACAACACCACAATGTGTAACGGTACATTACAAAGTGGTCCATAATCATTTTATAACAACCAGTAACAATAAATACGCTGTACAAAACAGTAAATATATGGTAGTAAAAAAACATGGAAGTCCTTGCAAAAAGTGTGCAGTCTAGAGGTGCAATATGTTCTGAGGCTGTGCAATAAGCTGTTAAGGATGCGCACTAGGGTAGAAGCTGTTGTTAAGCTTAGTTGTCCGGCTTTTATGGTCCAATACTGCTTGTCAGACCGCAGGGGGAGAACAGTTGTTACAGAATGCTCTTCCTGTGACTCTTTGAGAGGCAGATTCTTTTTCTCTTTTTTTATTGGATTTTTTTTTCCTCTTTATGTCTTCATTCCTATATACAGTGCCCTTGGGTTTGGAAAGGCACTTTAAAAATTCATTCTTCTTATTATGAAAGGTTTTGTTCCAGAAAGCATCGTAGATTCATTTCTCAGCCCGTGACTGTTAACTATTTTGCAGCCTTTTTTGTTTTTCCTACTTACCCTTTTCTCCGTACAGGTTAAATCCAAAGTATGTCCATGCCATGAACAACCTGGGAAACATATTAAAAGAAAGAAACGAGTTGCAGGAAGCAGAAGAGCTGCTCTCGAGAGCTGTGCAAATCCAGTAGGTGGAAAAAATAATAATTTGGATGCTGAATTTGAAAAAAGTAAAACGTATTCAATATACTGTACTCTTCACAATAGAGCAAAGGCTTTTCCTAGTATTAAAAGTGGTTGACAGAGTAGTGTGGTGTTGAACACTGTAGCTTTGCAGCTCTGACAGGTACTGAGTTTGAGTGTCGTCTGTAGCACCTTGTGTATGGAATTTTGTCTGGTCTACTGTTTTTGTGTAGGTTTTCTCTCATATTCTAGACATACTGACTGTTAATTGGTGTCTGTTATTTGTCCTTGTGTGTGTGTCCTATGATGGACTGGAAATCTTGTCCACTCTGTAATTCAGCCTTATGTTATGTACTGCCAGAACAGGCTTCAGGGTGCTCACATCCTTAGCAGGAATAAGCTTTTTTTAGATAATTGGTGGATAGATCTAAGAGTTTTGAAATATGTCTTTTAGTATATTTACTTCACACATCAGCTCATTAATTTGAGTTCAGCAAATGGTGAAGCTTTTTTTTAATGACCTATGCTTTTATTTTTCCAAAGGCCTGATTTTGCTGCTGCTTGGATGAATCTGGGCATTGTACAGAACAGTTTAAAAAAGTTTGAGAATGCAGAAAATAGCTACTGGAATGCAATTAAATTCAGAAAGAAATACCCAGATTGCTACTACAACCTTGGAAGATTAGTAAGTACCTAATCTAAAAAAATGACAAGCAGAAAAGTAAATTAACAACATAACTTACTTTATATTAAATCTATTTTCACAGAGTGCTGACACTCTGCAGTTACAAGCTTTTAAAATAGTTGAATGGTTTGAATTTCCAGTTGGGGTGTCTTCACCTGTAGTAGAACTATGAGTCTTTTGCATCTGCTTCAGGCTATACAAATATTTTGTGCTTCGCATTTTGCTGCAATTCTGTCACACTTTCTCTTTTTTTTCTTCTGTTCTTGAATACTTATGACTGTGTCTTCATTAAAAAAATCTTTGATACAACCCAGCCTTGATGTTGAAGCTGAAACACTGGCTCCTTCAAAAAACAGATGGATGAAATCCCAAGATCAATAAGCCAGTGAAAACTAGGCTTATCTTTCTTGTATTCTTACTGTGTACCAGACCTTGACCAATTTGCCTGTAGTATTATATGTGTTTGTGACCACTGAATTATAATGTGTGTTAGTATTTGTAAAGCAGCGTGATATCCTCTTGTCTTCTCATTGGGTATTATATTCCTTTAGTACGCTGACTTGAATCGCCATGTTGATGCCCTGAATGCTTGGAGAAATGCAACCATGCTGAAATCGGATCATAGTCTGGCGTGGAACAATATGGTGATCCTTCTTGATAATACAGGTACTTCTGTACTGTGTGCACCTAGACCACTTTTGGAAAAACAAGCTGGATTAATTTGGTGTGGTAGCACATAAGAAATCTTCAAATATTTATTAATGTCCACTTTCTAGCCTGATGTTGTAAGATCTCAAAGCAAAGCTTGGCCTGGTCAGCAACTACAAAATGGGTTAGAAGGGCTGAATACTGCTTTTAGAATCACTCTTTGTGTATTATTTTGGTGGGTTTGTTTTGAGTGAGTTGTCAGAATTTGTGTTTCAGCTTTTTAGCAAGTTCTAGTTACTAGATTTTTTAAATCTCTTTTTGTCTTCAGCATTTTGAAATTGATTTTAAACTTGCAGTGAACTGATCTTTTCTGACTAAAACTTCATTCTTAGTCTCAGCTCCAGAATGCTGCTAATGAAAGCTTGTTTTCTTTTTACCACTGCCAAAAACTTGAGCTTGTTGGATTGAAACTTAAAATGCTTTGCAACAGTAGAAAGCTGTCAGTGATGTCAACGGCCTCCTGATGGCCGTATGTTTTCCTAAACAAAGTGAATCAGATAAACTGTGCATTTTAAAGCTATGTACTCCTTCATTGAACTGATTGATTGATTTTTTGACAAGCTGGGTAGAGTTCAATTTCCATGTAACTTTAATGAGTGAAAGTGGCTCATTAGTAAAATCTTTCTACCAGCTTTGAAAATTCAGGCCCACGGGGAGGAAAGTGAGGAATATGTGGAAGATGTTTAAATCGGGAGACCGGAGTCTAATTTGCTCAGAGCCAAGTTTACCTGCCACCCTCAGCTGTAGGTCTGAGGTGTGAAGTTGTGGCTCCAGATGCAGAGCACTGGGCACAGTCTGCCACATGGGTCCCTTCTGTGTAATTAGTGAAGCCTTTTCACCAATTAACCTTTTTCTCCAATTAGTAAGCTTGCACAGACAGTAGGCCGCATATCCGTTCACATCTGTTTTACCCAGAAACATAGTATCACAAATCCGAGGTGCAACAGCTGATTTTTTTGCTTTACTTACAGCATGTGCAGAGAGAAATGTCCTCTCTCATCTTACTTATCATTTATTTCACGATAAGCCAATGTGGTCTTTCAAAGTAAGATTAAACGTGTTTAATATTTATATGAATTATCTGTGTGAAAAGAAATTATCTTTATAGTAGCTCCTGGTGGATGTCTCTAACATGATGTAAGCTTCTGAGATTATTAGACTGTAGAGGCAGGAATCAGCAATGCCTGAAATTTATGTATTAAAAGCTTTGTGTGTTGTTTTTAAAAGCAATATTCCCCGCCGTGTGGAGAATGGCTTGATTCTGACGCAGCAGTGTTTGTTCTTTATAAAACATTACCAGAGTAGGTCCATTCTCCCTGGAGTGACTTAGCACGGTCCAAGTTTCATGATCAAATCTTGGCACTGGTAGTTGTTTTTCTGCCTGGATTTTCACCCTTACGTGTGATTGTGTTCCAGACACCTCCCTGAGTGAAGGATAGGAAAACGGGATAAATGATTTATCCCACAATAAATAAGAAAAGGTACATGAGTCATGCAAAAAGCCTCTTTAAAAACAAACAAGTTGATTGCCCTGCAGATTAAAGACCATGTGAGGTGTTCCAACATAGCTACTGCTTTGGCCAAGTGGAGATTTGACATTAGAATCAATAAATCACTAGCCCTTGCGTTGATTAAGAAAGTAAACCGTTCTTCCATGTGCGGGAAAATAAGTCTGAATCTCGGCCTATGTACAGTACAACAGATGAGGGATGAAGACCCATGTAGGAATGTTTACAAACAAGAGGAAGGTATTTTGCCTTTCAGCCCACTGACCTTCAAAATCAGCTCCAGTAAAACAGAGTCCTAGTGGATAATGCATTGATAATGCAAGGAATGTTTTTTGGCCTTATAAGATAGAAAATGACTTTTGGCGTTTGGATTTCACATTTGAATAGGGTTTCTTCAGTTCATTTTTCAAGTTGTTACATTTCAGAATAAGTCGTTTTATTTATAGTTATTTTTTGTTTTTTAGATTCAGACTAAAAAAGACTCTTAATCCCTGGTAATATGAGCTTTATAATTAGATATTTATTTTATCCATACATACATTCCTTAAATACCATATTCTAAGTGATGTATTTTGTACATTGGAAATGCTCAAATGTCTGAGCAGAAATCACAAGCTTTTCTTTAATGCCAAGATAAATGCCTGAAGCGTTTATCAAACAGTTTGATTTCTTACCTTTTTTTCTCTTCTTCTTAAGGAAATCTAGCTCAAGCTGAGATGATTGGCAAAGAAGCCTTAAAACTACTTCCTAATGATCACACTATTATGTTTTCCTTGGCTAATGTTCTGGGGAAACTGCAGAAATATAAGGTACAGTAGGAATTGCTTTTAGTATGTTTAATTCTCTTTAATTATTTTATTCATAGGTCATACCATTTTGTTTTAATTTTTGAGCTCTGATCTCTCAGTGTTGGACTAATCTTTTCATTTAACACCTGCAGCATTGTATGTAAGCTGAGACTTCTTAAAGATACAACTCATATGTGGAATTTGCAATTAGTATAAAACTGCATTTTATGTTATGAATTGTGGGGTAAATAGGTGAAGTTAATTAAATAGGTGAAATTAAGAACCTGTTAATATTTTAATCCCATTAAGAAATATGTCTTAAATCAATTTATGTCATAGTAATTTTTTTATGCTAGATGTTATTCTCATCTCCTGTTGTGTGAAGTGTGTGATTGATGAATTTAGAACTAAAAATAATATGTTAAAGAAAATATATTCAGTATTTTGAAATGAAGGTTTTGTGTTCCAACTGACATGCAAGGATATTTTAGAGCTGTTTTTTCAGGAGCTGATTTTTTACTTTACAGGATTTAAAATGAAAATATCTTTTACAGTGCAGTAGTTTATGGCATTGAAAACCTCACATGTTTCCATAGTTCACATTTCTACATTTCCTTAGTGGGATTAGTATCAGTGTCAACTGAAGCTATTTTGATTGAAAAGAGACAGATGAACAAACTTAGTCTAGCACGGTAGCCTTATTTCCAAATAGTATGGTATGTGCACTAGTAGCAGTTGCAGGATTACATTTGTGATTTGCAATAAAATAATTTATGTAACTTTTTTTAAACACAGGAGTCTGAAAGTCTGTTTCTTTCTGCACTGAAAACCAACCCTGGTGCTGCCAGTTACCATGGTAATCTAGGTATGTGCTTGCTTAACACGATTAAGATTTCTGTCTGATTTTTACTTGTCAGTATTGACTGTGTCTTGTAAAGCCTACAAACTGCCTTCCACAAGACTCTTTAAAATTGAGGATGATAATGAACTCTTCAATGCAGAAAATATCTATTTTGTTGACTAAGATACTGAGTGCGTTTTTGAAGGTGACAAAAGACAGATACTGTCTTAACGCAGATGTCACAATACCTGAATCTTGCTTGAAAATGAATATTGATTTAGAAGCCAAATCATTCTTTGGAAACATCTACATTACCTTGAAAGTAACCAACTGAAAGTTGAGTTATGGTGTTACTTTTCCCACAGCTGTTTCGCTATAAAAGGCAAACAGTGCAAAATCTGGTATTGTTCTCCATGTAAGAGTTTGATATTGAATTGCTGTCAAATATGTTGTCTCTTCTGCTGTTACAGCTGTCCTTTACCATCGCTGGGGGAAACTTGACATGGCCAAGAAACACTATGAGCTCTCTTTAAAACTTGACCCTAATGCTCCAGGGACAAAGGAGAACTACAACATGTTAAGACGGAAACTGGAGCAACTACATAAAAAGGGATCGGCTTGATAAAACTTCAAGGACACTATTGATGCATGCTGCAGACATTTGATTTAATCTTTATACTGTCCGTGTCTACTTTTCGGTAACACCTAAAATTGTTCATTTTGATTTTTCTCACCATTGTCAGTACTGTACAAATGGCAATAAACACAAATTTCCATTTCATGTCCACTGGTCTCACTGGGATCTGCTTTAGCAATAAAGTGATCGTGTTATTGCTCAAATATTCATCTGTTTTATATTGGAAAGCGGTGTGGTCTCTATTTTGCTCTGTAATACAGGCCAATGTTTGTGTTGGAACAAAGGGGGGCTGGCTATTAATATTAAACCATCTTTGGTGAGATCTTCTCAAAATACTGGAATATGTGATCGTTTGCATCACTTAATTTCAATATCCCACTTTTTTTCTGCTAGAATCTGAAGTTTGTAATCGGATGGACCTTCTTTTGTATGATACCAAACTTGAATAATTGTTCTAAGTTTTTTTATGTTTAACTTTGATTGTTGCTACTTATTTAATTGTAATATTTTATTTCTAATTTAATGGTAATTTATAAAATGCAAAAAAATCAATGAGTATTCCTGAATGATTATGTAGGTTTTCTGTTTCTCACTGTAATAAATAAACCATGGTTCTAAAAATATCAGATCTACTTACTCTTACTTTATAATCTCAATGACATTGTATTGTTTATCGTTGTAGGTTTAAATAGTTTATAAATACGGTTGGGAGCCCTCCTCTTCGGTAAGGTTTACGTTGACGCGTTTTCAATAAAAGGTTGTTTGTCCAAACAGAGTTCCCGTAGTCACAGTAATGCACGTTGAGGAACCATAGAAAGCACATTTCAAGTTCCTGCGGAAAAAAGTAAGGTAATTGTTCATTACTAAAATGCTTACTATAAGTAACGATATATAACTGAATAGGATGTCAAAACTAACTTTGTAAATTTAGACAGTTTTCTGTAGCAAAAGCTTCAACGCAGCCACAGAAACATTGAGTAGATGATTAAATTGCAAGCCTTTATGGTCAAAGATCACGGTCAAGTTTGTATTGAAACCATGAATAAGGAAATATCTGAAATGTTTTTTTTCTCTTATGAAGTATATACAATGCATGAACTCTGAAGTACAGAAATTCCTGTGTTCACATATAGTTGTCAATATAATATATAATATGGGATTGCCATTAGAACAAGTTACTGGGAGCTGTGATTTTCAGATGTTATAAATGATCGCACAGTATATGTTATGTAACCGTGAAGAATGGAGTTATTGTAACAGTCGTCTCTTGCTTTTCAATGTGCCTTTTGAATGTTTTCCGTAATGAAAGAATTCTTAATTGCTCTTCAGCCTTAAAGTTCAGCCATCTTTCTTAAACTTTGGCTTCCATACTAATATTTCTTTTTAAGTAGTAATAACGATAATTTATAATTCCTCTGCACTAGCAAAATTGATCAGTACACTGGACAGTAGATCAGGTAGAGATGTGTGGAATTGCTTCACCAGCTAAATTAAGTGGGGGCTATTAGGATTACACAATCCCAGAGTGAAATTTAGCCCGGGCAGTGGGGTTAACATCCTCTAACCATTTAAAAAGTGCTATAGGATCTTGAAAGACCAAGTATTCCAGACCTCGGTTTAATTCCTCATCTGAAGGATGACACCTCCCTCTGTATAGCGCATCAGATTATTGTACTGGAGCACTGGTTTAGAAATTCTGTTTCAGGTGGATAAAGCACCATCTACAAGTCCACCAGCACCACATTTTGGGGGGTCTCCATTCAAGTACTGATCAGGCCCAGCCCTGCTTCTTAGATCTGATAAAATCAGGATACAGGGTCATAACACCGTTTCCTAGGCCACATCGAAAAAAGATGAGTATATTAAGTAGTGGTGCATTGAAGCATTAAACTGATATTTTCTTGTGTAATTTTCTTGATGTATTCTGAACATCAAATGAACTTGACATTCGCTGCTTTGTGACTATTGAAAAACACAAAATCTTCTAATTAGTAATAGAGTTGATTGGTCAAAGGGGTTGAGGCAGTTTGACATATTGAATGCCACATTTGGTAGAAATCAAGCAAAGAACCAATACACCCCACTTAACCAGAGAACAGCCCCTTTGTGCTATCAGTGTGTTGGAGGCTGATGTGTTCATCTCTATCTGCGGTGATCTGGCCATAATCTGGGAGACATGAGCTATAATTCAAGTGGCACAGTGGTAAGATTTACTGCCTTGTAGTGCTGGGGCCCTGGGTTCAGTTCTTGACCAGGGGTACTACCTGGATGGAATTTGTATGTTCTCCCTGTGTTTTTCTGGGGGGTTCCCTCAGGTTGACCTAGTTTCCCTCCACAGTCTAAAGACATATTGGTAGGTTAATTGACTTTTGGGAAAATTGCCCTGTGGTGATCTTGCCCAGAGTGTACCAAGCCTTGTACCCCCTGCTTGCCAGTGTAGGCTCAAGCTCTCCTGCAACCCTTAATTGGAAGAAGCAATTAGAAAAGGGATGGATGGAGTTATGATGCCTTACCAAGGTCAACAGAGATGTCCAAGAATAATCCTCAATCAAGGATTCTCTATTTACTGTAGAACTTAATTTGTAATGATTGAGGGGATCCTCATCGCACAGTGCTAGTTTCACATGATAGTATTGAAGCAGGACAAGACATCCTCCTGCTCCTGATGTAGATGTAATGATTTCTTTGAAGATGAAAATTTAACAGTTACACAGTAGACACTTTACTTGCCAGACTTGAGCACTGGAGATTTGCTGAATGGACTCGCGTGATGTGAAAGAAAAATGCTTGATCAGGCTATAAGAGAGGAACAGATCAGAGTCCCAAAAGACAACAGCTGCAGCCCGATGAAAGCATGCATTGCAGAGGTACCGGCAGTTTCAGCAGCAGTACAGGTAGCAGATCTGAAACAATCTCTCGGATGGACCAGTCTGATGTGTCGATCCTGCTCTGGTGTGGTCACTTGAGGGCGACCGGATCTTGGACGGTCATCTGTCCTGCTGGTCTGCTGAAACCTTCTCTGCAGTCAGGACACAGAGGAGTGGCTTACTCCATAGTGTCTGGCAACGCTGGCACATGACATGCCTGCCTGCAGCTGCCAATGGCACTCTCCCTTGCTTCCGGTGACATCCGAGGCATTGTGGAATGCACAGAAAACTGACTAAGTGTAGCGTTTTTCTTACAGTAACCTAAATTTTGAATTAAGGCCTATTTAAAGGTGACCTGATCAGGCATTGTTTCATCTGGACCTCGTTGGGTAAAAGTGCACCTCACAAGCTTTCTCGTGATTGGCAAGTTGCAATGCCTCACTGCAGAAGCTGTATTACTCGTCAGAGGGCTTAAAACAACTGGACAACTTTTTGTGAAAGCACATAAGCTATAACTATAGTATTCTCATTCAAGAAAATGTTGCGTTTCTTTTTTCAATCAGTATATTTATAATTCATTTAGGAGGATCTGTAGAATTTTGTTTTCACTTTGACATTCTAGAGTGTTTTCTGCTTGCTGATCAATGGCAAAAACCCCATACTGTATAAATACATTGAGATTCTATGCTGCAATGGTAAAATATGAAAAAGTCCAAGGCGAGTGAATACTTTTGATAGCCACAGTACTTTATATGATAATATTTTAATTCAAGGTTTTATTCAAGCAGATGGCTAAAATGCTTGGAGTTCCTGAGCAAGATGTTCTAAAAAGCCTTCTCAGTCACCATCTTGGATACCTCATTTGCAAGATACGCTAGTGAATATTGCCAGGCAGATGGAATACTGGACATGTGGAAGGTACGCACCAGCACTCGCTGTCCTTTCATGTGTTTTTACAGCTGCTTCAGCTCTAATATTATTAATTTGTGTTCTGATGCAATTAGGCGCACTGTTATTGCTGGCATCTCTTTGAATTTTTTTTTTTCCAATTAGCTTTTGTAGTTGACCTTTCAGGTTAATTAGAAAAAGAAAGACACATTAAGCTATTAACTTATTGAAGTCATTAACTTATTTAAATTTATTTTTCTGTCTTGACAAATAGATATTGTTACACCGTATGTCTGTGAAAGTTTTGTCTGTATTGGCAAATGACAAAAGCAGGCACCATGTTGGAGACATGCCTCAGGAGTGGATATCTTAGATAGCAGACCCTTGTTAGTGGCTAGTATAACAATGTTTGTTTTTACAAATGAATATTTCACAGTTTCTGAGTGAAGGGTTGTTGAGTGCGGATCATGGCCTTTCATTTCAAAGGGCCCTTCATTCCAGAGGAGCCTCTGTAGTTAATGTAAGAAAGGTGTTTGGCCAGAAAGTTTTCTGAAGTGTTCACCAAGGAGAGGAAGGGTCACTCCAAGCAGGAAGCCCTTGTCTGTGGTAGAAAAGAAAACAGCAAGCAACAGAATGAAGGCATCAAAGAGCTGTAGGATACAGTCCCTGGAGTCATCTCTTGTACACTGGCTCTTCTTGAAAGTTACCACTGAGTGAGGAGTGACCCCGGGACAAACTTCAGTCAACCAGTCTGCTCTCAGGTTTAAAGTTCAGTGCGTTTTTATTTTTTCACCTGCTTCCTACAGCTATCAGGAAACTTTTGAAGAATTGGCCTGTAACTGTATCTGTCAGAAAGGTCCAGAATTGTTTACACTTACAGTACAATACATTCTTGAGCAAAGCAAGGAAATTGCCAGCATTTTTTCTATCGCCGATTGTTAAGAAGCAGTTTAATGCAGTTCGTACAAATAAGTCTAAGCCTGTGCATGACAGATTTCTTCTAGTGATATTCTGAAGTTAAAACCGTAAGCATAAAGTGACTTGGAATGAATTGTAGATAGCAACATTTTCTGTTTTGGCTGGAATGACATGGAGTTTATCCAAACAACAAGACTACTGTAAGTTACCTGGAAACTTGCAGTTGCATGGCTATTGGCAGCCTCAATGAATTAATAGTTTTCAGCAATTCAAATAGACTAATCCATGTTTTTTATTATAATGTAGAAACTTAATGTGTATTTTTGCGACAGCAAGGTAACAACCCACTAAAGCTTTATTTCCAGTTAGGCCCAATAGTAGTTGTTAGTGTTGCATCTTACAGCACTAGTGGAGCATAATGTGAAACACAGTAATTGTGTACTTCTTCCGTAATTAAACCTTGAATTAATTCTTTACATTGTTTTTTTTTTACTGTTTATTATTTAATGGCTGCTTATGTCCTGTGCCTTTTGTGTAGTTAGCTTTACTTACTGTGAGGTGGTAATGGTTTCTAAAATAGGAAGACCTTAATGTACATAAAAATGCATAATTTTGAATTTGTAGTCAGGTCAGAGGAAAATTTTAAAGACTGCATTCAAGTTGGATGTGTTTCTTTGATAATGAAACTATTTCATTTAGTGAACAGAAATACTGCAGTAGAGTATACACACATAAACCTTTATGGCAGTTTTTATCTACAATATTGGAATAACAGAATTCATAACAAATCTTTTATTATGAAATAATTGCACAGGGATTTTTCTTTTGTAAATTGGAAACATTACATTTTATGTACGAATAATGTGCGTATTACATACTTGGAGCGAAGTGTTGCGGTATGCACACTGTCACCACTAGGTGGCTAAGTAAGACAGTATGTGGGATTTTCTGGGACTACTTTTTCAAAGTAGAAACTGCTTTGAACTAGTCTGTTGTAGTTCATGAACGAGAAGTAAGACATACTGTATGTACTGGGACTCCAAATAAGCTTTAACTAGAACAAAGCTGTCAGTAAGAATATTTGTTTATCAGTAAAAATGTTTATGTTACTGCAGGTGCACTGACATTTTATTGAACAAACACCATAAATGAATTCATTATGGTGATTAACATTTGTCATCAAAAGGGGGGTCTGCTGTGAATGCCACAGGCTAAAAGCATTGAAGTTACAAATTTGGAGCAGCTATATGAGTATATCTGTAATGCAGGTTGCATATGAGATCTTTGTGGGGATTTTGTTCCATTCTTTTCACAGAGAATGTCCCTGTTCACTGGTATCTGAGCCCTAGATGATGCACTTTGTCCCCATCAATAATCAATTTAGGCCCAGGCCTGGTGGGGAGGGCTTTTCATCCTATAGGAAAACCACTGTTACACAAGCCGGTTGAGGATAGGTGCTGTCCTGTGTCAGGATTAACCCCTCAAGGGTAATGAGCGACCTCCCAGGACTTGATTAACGTATGGCCGTGCAGTCAGGTGGACATCACTCCATACAGGTGGAGTCCTGTAGAGAATACATACTTCTGACGAGGTGGCTGGTCTTGGACCTCCTCATCTGTTGATCTGTTGTGCACAACAATTAGCTGTCGGTCAGCTCGTCGGGGCCAAGCTCACTGACATCAGTGAGGGTGATCTTCAGACAGCCTTGATTTCTTTAAGGAGGGCTTGGCTCCTCTGTTTTCAGATCCACCTGAAGTGGTTTAGAATGGCCTCCAAAAGACCAGTAGTACAAAGGTGGTGTTCTCATTGTAAGCAGGAGATATTGTTATATCGCATGCATATACTGTGTTGCCAGCAGACCCTGCAACTCACAACTGGCAACCCACTGAAGCTCAGCAGGTGTGAACCTGGTCAGTACCTGGATGGAGACCTCCTGGGAAAAACTAAGGTTGTTGCTGGAAGAGGTGTTAGTGAGGCCAGCAGGGGGTGTTTAATGTGGCTCCTAATGCCCCAGTATAGTGACAGGGACACTACACTGTAGTAGTGTGGTGAGCGTTCTGGCGCAGTATGGCCGCTGCCACATCATCCAGGTGGATGCTGCACAGTGGTAGAGGGGAGTCCCCATTACCTGTAAAGCACTTTAAGTGTCCAGAAAAGCGCTGTATAAGTGTAAGGAATTATTATTATTGTTCCTTATTAGTTTTTATTTTGCTTAATGTTCAGCATGATAAATCACCTCATCACCCAGTCATCTCTCATTAATAAGTGCATATGAAACTGCCCAAGTTAACTAAGTGTATGACTCACTAAATGACACCATAATCATTTTATTTTCCAAAATCTGATTATTTTTTAAAACATACATGCATACATAGTTGTTCCTTTTCAAGAGCAGTATATACTGTATATAACCGCTATAGTGTACAAAATACTCGTTTACATTTTATTGTGCAAAAAAAGTTTAAAGAATAATACAATCCAATTTTTAATTGCATGAGACAGAGTATTACCCAAGCCATCAAAGTTCCACATTCTTTCACCTAATGGTAAGACTTTCGAGTCTTTTGCTTGAGGTGGTTATAATCTCCGCGAGTAGGATGTGTTTATTTTAGTCTCAGATCGTTTTTTTAAAATGTTTCAGGCTTTTTCTTTCCAGACTAACAGCTTAGCTTTACCTCCACTGAAAATGATCACGTAGTCAGGGTAAAGAGTATAGACTTGTTCTCCAGATGTTTGGTTGTAAAAGAACTGTGGAACCCGATTTAAATAGACTGCCACATTATCTTCTAAATAGCATGGTAGCATGAATGATATTGCACCGATTTAGAAATATAAAATATAAACGCAGAGTTTTGTGATGCTTCACTTGGACTGTTCATTACTTCAGATCTTTGTACGGTAAGGTTACAGGTGAGAGACGACTATTTGTCCTAACATGTTCATCTGGTTTTTAGTCATGCAAGAAGATTTCTTGCATGACTTGGCAGTTAGCCTCATACACCCATATCTCTTTGTACAGTATATTTTGTATCCTGTTAGTTTTCAATGGATTGTTTGTGTTGGTTTTAAAGAAAACATGTACAGTAGTTAAAAAAGCCTTCTCAGTTCTTCCCAAAGTCCTTTTTCTTCCAGACTAAACATATTTAGTTGTTATTCTTTTTAGTGCTACAAAAAGTTGCAGCGAGCACGCTGAACAATAAACAATATTCTAGTACATTACACATCTGTATTATTACCTTCCTTTACTTTGATTCATTTTTGTACACTGTATATGTTATCTTTAATCAGTTTTCTCCAAAAACTGGACATATTTTCTAAACAGTCTAATGATGCAACATAGTAGTTTATTATTGTCTACTTTGTATATTAGTAATCAGTTACTCTTGTGTCATATGGATCACATCAAAATCAAACTTTAACAGGTCCAGTAACTGTAAGACTATATGCCACTTGATGGCAGGCATCTGTCTTTAGCAGACATTTACTCTTTAAACTGGCATTTGAGTACAATAGGGTTTGAAATTTGTTATTAACAAGCAGGTTAAAGTTTCATTTGAAAACAGGGCCCATGTAGTGTATGAAAACAGGAATCACAACTGGTAATTCCTTCCTGAAGACAATAGTCTTTTTAATTTTTTCCCCTTTCATCATACACGGAAGTCAGTTTTTTCTTGCAGGATTATTGCAGTTTTTTTTAATTTTGACAGGAAGTGAAACAGCAGATGGATTTGATGACAATTGTAATTAATCTATTTTTGCTCATTTTATGTTGTTTTTTGTTTTTTTACCCCAAATGGGCAGGAGCGTGTTCTATATACTGGCTTGGTTTTCAAAAGCATTCAATCATCATGTCAGGTATGACAGGCAGCTCTAAGTATTCTGTGTAGTCTACAACACAGAGTTGAACACTAGTTTCAGTTTTATGTGTCATATATTTACTTATGAGAGCCTTTTTTGACCCACACTGTGTTCAACAGACATTAAATGAAAAACAGACCAATCAGAACACATGACAGTTGCCCAGATGCCAAAAGGCTGAAGTAGCATCTGCAAGTCCAGTTCTTTTTGTCAGATAGTGTTGCCAAATGAAAGACATGGCAGCCCTCCTACATGGCCCCATGTTGTGAAGATAGCATTTCACCATTGAAATGGATAAGGATGCACCTCCTTCAGTCCTGACATGGATCAGCCTCTACTGACTCCCAGCTGGGCATCTTTTCCCTGGGGCCCAGTCTATCTGGACAGACTGTGATTTTATCAAATGTGAACTGCACATAAAAAAAGTGAATAGGGTGGCTTGCTCAATGGAAAACATGTGCGTTCAACATGTTGAATAATCCAGTGTAACTGACTGGTATGGCAACCTTAGAATGTTATTGATACTACAGAGATACAAGTGTTAAACAACATTGTTATTCACCGACTCCTAAAAAAGAAGTTGTATTGTCTGTGTTGGCTTTGAAGAGTAGAATGAAAAGGACTACACTTAGATTTTCTGTTTAATTAAACATTTTACTGTTGTCCATGTTGTTTAGTAGTTGTCCTCAATTTAAAAAAATGGTCAGGTATTGTATTGAAGACCATTCTGGGCGGTGAATTCCTCATACTCGTATCTAATTAACAACCTTCCATCTTTGAAACAGCTGTAGCAGAACCAGTGTGTCTACAATCATTCAGAAATTATCCTTCTTTCTTCTATACTTTCCACACTCACAGGCTGCATGGGCTGCATGGCTTGTTCCAGAACTGCTTCAACACTTGGTTTTATAACACTTCCATCAGTTCTCATCAATGTCTAGGAACTGGTAGTTTTTCTAGTCTGTCAGTCTAAGACACTTCTTTAAACCCAGGTGTGTATCTGGTTGCTCTTCTGTGGACTAGTTCAGAGGGCAGCAATATCTTTTTTTAGGAACAGGTAAAGGTTCAATCCATTATAAAATGTAAGAAAAAGAATGTTTTGGTTGTGGAGTCTTCTTCAGGTGGAATAAAAAAGTGCGTGTGGAGCATTAAACTGGGGACACACAACAAAGTCACTCCACTGCATTTTAGCACAGTTGTTATAATGTCCCATTTCCTAAAATCCTCATTGGCAATCCCTACACCCCCTCAAGAGTGAATTATAATCCAAGCAGCTAAACAAAAACGATATCCTCTTGTCTTTCAGATTTACTCGGCAATTGATCCCATTTGCTAGTGTCACTACTTGACATCTGAAAAATAGAGGGTATTTGGCAGCGAGTTAGGATTTCTCCAATCTGTTTGATGCACAGAAATGTGAGGGGGTACTGAACCACTTTTTTGACCATATTAACTTTGACAGGCAGCTACTTGGTTGTGAACAATTTTATTCACAATTCATTGCACTGCAGAGTAGTGAACACAAGAGCTGTAATCCCCTAATGTGAATTAATTGCATGTTTCAGTCGCTAACTTTGGCCTTGTTCGTCAGTTCGTCTGTCTGCTGGTTTTTATTTTGACCACTTTTTTTTTTAATTTAGGAAAGAATTCTAGGCCACATATTTTTTCTGAAAACAGAATGGCAAGAATAAGAACAGCAGTTCTCATTTCCATCCTTCTGGTAAGGCTAATGAGTGTTTGCACAGTGGTATATATGATGTAGGAAGCAAGCTACATGGGAAGGTTGAGTAGCTTTATAGATCTCAGTAGGCACTAATGTTAAGCTCTTTTACATCCAACGATAAAAACAGGAATAAATTAAGAGGCCCAAAAATAAATTGTGCTAAACAAAAATATTTTTACTACTAAATGTTTGTGTTCTGCCTAGACTGATGAAAAAGTGTAGCTAACAGGCAGAGAAAAGACAGTCCATTCTTTAATTTAATGTTTTTTTTATAACGATCAATAATGTGGATGCATGCACTAAAAAAACAACCCTTTTTGTTTTCCACAGCTTCCCTTGATGGCCAGAGTACAAATGACTCAGATCTTCGTGTATGGGACTCTTAAAAAAGGCCAGCCAAACTACTTTGAGATGGTGGACAAAAACAATGGCAAAGCAGAATACTGTGGCAAAGCACAAACGGTGGAGAAGTACCCCTTAGTGATTGCAGGCAAATACAACATCCCATTCCTCCTCAACGTGCCAGGCAGCGGGCAGCAGGTTAGAGGCGAGATCTACTACGTGGATAAGCAGATGCTGCAGTTCTTGGACAAATTTGAGGACTGTCCTCGCATGTACCAGCGCACTCCTATGAAGCTCTGGGTAGAGGAGTGGAAAGTTGGAAGTAATCTGTCGGAAGTAACGCCAACTGTTGGGAGCATCATCGAAGCCTTTGCCTACAGCACCACTACTTACCAGCCTGAGTGGCTAAACCTCACTTGCTTTGACAGTTATGATGCCTATGGTGATCATGGGCTGATTTACACTGAACGTAAAAAGAGATGAAGGGTACTGCAGTCCCAATTTCTCAGATCAGTTATTAAATCTAGGTAACAAAATGAATTCATTGATTGTATAAAAATTACAATTAATTAAGCACAAAATCGTGAACTCTGTGAAAGTACAGTAAATCGCCATGTTGTCACAAACTCGCATTTGGGTTCCGACAAATTGCGATGTGACTCGGCCCTTCCTCCCCGCTAGTCTCCATAATGACTAATGTAATGTGGTGAACAAATAAAAGCAGGTTGTGCAGCAGACATTTCAACTCAGAAATTTCCCAACGTGATCTGCATGCAGAGTTAACAAGTAGTAGTTTTCGACAAAACCATGTTGAAATTGGAAGAAATATTTCTATTATAAGAGATGTATTCCCAGTTCTGCTCGTTTACAATGTCGTAGGGCCACTCACATCACTGGAGGTTTTGGTGCCGTGTTCTGAATCGCAGAAAATGATACTGCGAATACCTGGAAATTGTGATGTAAATTGAAGGTTTACAAGTTACTCTGTACATGTTACGTTTATTGTGGTTTGAAATGCACTCATCAGTGCTGATTTTTTCTAACCCCAAAATATGAAAATAGCATTGCAGTTCCCCTTTAAACCACCTTAAGGCAGGGAGCAGGTTTATTTTAAATACCAGGACACTATTTTCACTGCAGGTTTAACTTGAAAATTATTGGCTATAAAAAGAAGCATGCATAGGATTTTTTAGACTAAGGAGTGTCTTAAGTTTCCTGAAAAAAAAGTAGAATGGATTAGAATTCTATGAAATGAGAATTATAATATATTAATTATATATTATATAGTATATATATAAATTAATATATATATTTTCCTTATAATCTATATCTTGATATAAAGGGACAATACTGCACAAATCTTTGTACCAGTGATTCTTTATTTGGATGGAAACAAGTGTTATTCAAATGGAGTCACTCGGCACCTGTGATTACTGTAGTTTGGGACAATCAGAAAACTGTTGTCAATGGGAGGAGGTAGTTAGAATGAAAGATTGCTGCTTGTATTACTCTATCAAATCACTTACAAAGCATTTTAAAAAACAACATTGTAAGGCTTTAAAAAAAATCTTCTGAAAGAACAATAAAAGACTTAGCTTTGATCTTAAATGGCACTTGAATCTATTGATTTCATCCAGTGGGAAATTAGTTAGAGATTTCGATTTGTAACAGTACTGTACATATTCTAACAGTAAAGTTCAGAGGAAGAGGAATAATAATTCACAATCAGCATTTTTTTCAGTAATAAATTACTGTCTGTATAAAAAATTGCCAGAAGGGAATGTTTGAACTATGGTGTTGATAGCTTGCTGATATTTCTTCTTTCCAAACCTGAAAGGCTTTGTCCCAGACGATTGAAAAATCCTAAAGAAGGGATGTCTTTACTCCAACTCTACAAGGAGATCGCCTTCACCAACAGTTTCCCCAGGCTTGCAGTGGACACTCTTAACCTGTGATACCAGCGATAAAGCAAAATATGAAAAAAACATTTTAGAATATTGCTGCAATATGCAGTTCTGAATACATTAACAGCCTTTTAAAATTTAAAATGGCCTAAATCTTTTTCCATATCTATTTATCAGGAATGATTGCACAGAGAACGTGACCTAAAAGTCTTTTTAGTTATATACAGTTTTCAGTTTTCTTCTGTGGAAAAAATGAAAATTCTAGATATTATTAATCCAATACATTTAGATTAAATATGCAATTTATAGGCAGTGGTGAAATATCAACTTATATTTACCTTGGCTGTTTTGGCAGCAGTCATGCTATTCTGCATTTTCATTGCTTCAATCACGCAGATTTCTTGTCCTTCTGCCACCTATGAACAAGCAATCAAATGGATAGAAATTATTAATGACATTTATGACAATATTTCTCTGTAATTTTAAACTTGAACATTCTATTAAGAAATTAATTGTACCTATGGGAGATGACCATATGCACCTGTGGGTTTAACAGGGTTTTATGAATTACAGCAAGTGTACTCTTCCAGTCTTAAAAGGCATTGTGACTAGACTGCAAGATTGGTTTTAAGTGCCAACAACAGATCCATGCAATGGCACACCTTGTACGTCATTTGAAGACCTAATTTCTCTGGGTGGTGGAGGGGACACAATTCTTGGTCATCACCGAAAAATTGAGCCACATTAATTTTCATATATCCCCAAGGAGGTCAGATTTATTTTCGTCGTAAAATTTGAAAACCAACTCCTGAAAGTTGTTAAACAGATGCAATTACATTTATCAGTGCACTGTTACAGTATATCATCCAACCCACTTTATTTTTCAGTTTTATTTTCATAAAACTACACAAACCCCACTTTCTGGATTCACCACCACAGTCTGAATTTTTGTCTTCTGGTGGATTCTTTACCGGATCCTATCTGGCCAATAGATGTAGGAGTCTTCTGGAAAACATTTAATGATTCTGACAGGATGTCTTCGGTGTAAGTCTTATAAAACGGTCACAAGCCCTTTAAGTCTCTTTGGTAAAACTAATCGGCTGTGATGTGCTGCTCCACTCTGAATCTAATTGATGTAAATTTTGCAGATTTAAAATCAGTATCTTTCATCCAGCTTGCTGCATCCTCTCCTTTGACATGGGGTCAGGGTTCACATTCGCATCTGATTATCAAACTGGCACTCATTAGGCAGCAGCTTGCCTGACACCAGAATGAGTTAGCTTGAAGGAAGCCCGTTTAATCCATACATTTTGGCATTATAAGAAGGCTTGCCTGTCACACAGTATTTTGCCACAATTTCTAGACTTTCAGATATCTCCAGCCCATGATTAATTGTTTCTGATGGGAAATAAAAATCCAGAGAGGCCAGCTGCTTGCCCTGGTATACTGAATTACTATAATGGATATTGGCTGCCAATTTTTTTTCCCCGTTTTACTGGCAAGTGTTTGAAATACAATTAAATCAAGTTATAAATTATATGGAAATCTCTCAAGCTCCATTTTCTCTGAGACTGAGTCCGTTCCCCTGAGAATTTTTTTTCCTAACTTTTTGAAGGATGCATGAGACACAAGACTAATACATTCAGAATTCCCCTTTGCATATCATTAAAAGATTTATTTTTTCCACCTCACGAAGGGATTGTTTTGTTACTGCTGAGACAAAATCTACAAGAATCAGTAGGAGGAATCAAAAGTACACTGCTGCAACCCAAATTAGCTGAGCAAATATGTATCAAATCGAAGATCCCATGCAACAGCTGACTTCGTACGAGATCGGCTTTACACTGCCCTATTGTTAAATAACGAAATTTACTTTTGCCTTCTGAGAGACAGAAAATAATTTTCAGCAGGGACCCTTAGAGGTGTTTTGCAAAACAAAATGAAGCCACTAAAATCTTATTGAAAGTAACGTGCATTGAAACGGAAATTTATTAACTGGCGCCAGTCAACGTGTGCATTATTCATTTCTGGTGAGCATGAAAAATTATTTAAAGAGGTCTGAAATTGCAGATGCAAAGCCTGACTGCACAGTGCCCAACTTCTCAATTTCATCCTTTAGAGAAGGCGAATACAGGGTGATACAGTTACTGGACAAGGTTTACAGTAACAGCTGTGGTCTTCCCAGATGGGGGTGGCTACTTCATTGGGTTGTGGTCTGCTTGGAACAGATGGAAAAATACATCAGAGCTCCCCGAGCTTGTACTGCTACAGATATAAAACAAAAAGCCAAAATCGTAAGCAGCTCTAGTGTTTATTTTCAAGGGGGTTTTGGTGCTGGCTATATTTGTGGTTATTAGGATCTCTACCTAGAAATGGCTGCTTCGAAAGAAACAACCTCAGTCTTTTTTTTTTCCTCCTTTGTTTCTCTCAGTTTTCCCCCCATCCTTCCCTCAGTACCCACTCCACAACTGTGAAGGCTTTATAGGAAACAGTGCCAGTGGCATATGGCTTTCCACAGTGCTAAACATTCATACAAAAGACAGGTTCATCAGTCATTAGAGTAGCCGGATGAAAAAAAAAAAATCAGGGCCTGATGGATGGTATTTAGAGCTTACCTGCTGCTAGTACATTACCAAAGAAACACAGGTTCTGAAGCCCACATGACATTAGAAACTGCAGACCGTGAAATACAGCCCTTGCGAGCACACATCATGTACGCCAGGTTATACCAAATAATAAATAAGCTATTTAAACCCTCTTCAAGGAACCCTGGGTCAGGCCTGCACAGGCCAATTAATGCACAGCATCTGCTGTATAGAGGCAACACATGAAGAACTTCCGAATGATTTAGGCAATTAAAGGCAAACCGTTTCCTGCTTCTTCAAATGTCTCATTGCTAGAGTAAGCACCAAATCGGTCTGTAGATTAGAACAAATTAAGTCATTCTTTGGGGATCCTTATTTCTATGGCAAACTCTTTTCTTTGTTCTTTCTTTGGCCCACGGTATGTTTTTTCTGCCAAATTTAACAGAAGGCTCTGAGGGTTACAGGGGTCCACCCCAGTATCTCGTTCTGTCGTAGTGGAACTACCCAAGAAGCAGGATCACTCTGAACCCTGCTGACTGCTACGCAGAGTGAAAATCCTTTAATTAGGCTATTTTGCACCCTGCCTCTCTTCCATCACGTTTGGTAGGAAAATAAAACAAAAGCTCTTACATACTTGAGGACAAAATTATTTTCCATATTTGTTCCCTTTAAAATTGTGCAAAATCAGCCTCAATTATTTTCGGTCAATGTAACCAAAGCATTTCCGAGCAGTAGAGTTGGCCTGTTGTTGCTTTTCATCCTCATTTGTGTTACTATGTCAAAGTGCTTAAGGAAATGAAGATCAGACAAGAAATTCAGCTAGAATAGTAATACAGAATGCAGTATTAAAACATGGTGGCTCTGAGTGTCATTGGTATTCAGCAGACTGATAATAACTGATTGAAGAAAGGCATACCTTCTTTTAAACTACAAAACAAAAACCATGTTTGTCTCAAATACAACCAGCGAGCAAAATTCAGAGCGTAAGATTATTCCAGAGCTATTCTGGCCTTAAATGTAAAAATAATTGACTAATAAAATGACTTCTGACAACTTTATTCAGCAAGCACTAGTGAATGAACAAATTCCTGCTCAAAATAATTTTGGTAAAACCTGAGTTTTAATGTTAAAAAGCAAATACACTGAATACATTCCTGTAATTCTTCATGGTGCCTGTAGAGGCAGTGTTGTCCACAAATTCTTCATGGCATAATTGTTACATGGAATTTGTATTGATCAAAAAACACCCAATGCTCCACTGTTCATTAAATTATTTTTTGGGCTATATATTAGTGATCTTTACATCTTGAAAAATAATCTTGATTATTTTAATTGTCTATCTTTTACGGCAAACTTTGTATGAACAAGCAATAATGAAATTATAATGATTGAACATTAATGATTATAATTTACAGTAATTTGGTACTTTTATTATTTTCATTAAAGAACAGCATGTGCATATCTCTTCTGGTTTTTAAGCATTCTTTATTACAGCTCTTGACCTGTGGGACTGTGCCAGGGCAGGAGACAGGACTGAGAAGGCTTTTTTGTTGACAGCCCCTTACAACAGGCCACTATGGTGCAGAACTGATACTGTATCACAGAACATTTCTCACTCCAGTTCTCAAGCACCCAGAGGTCTCTGTTCTGCACCTACCAGAAGACAGGTGCCAACCAGAGGGGCATGTCCAGTCTGCAAAAAGCATACAACACTGTCCCATTGATTGCCGTGCTGTGTGTTTGGACTGGGTGGAGTGGTGTCCAGGGCACAGTACCAAGGGTTGTGCCCCTGACAACACACCTAAAGCTGAGACCCTTGCTGGATCAGCTGTGGTAGTGAATCAATGCCCACTACCAGTTTAAATATGAAACCCTCAAAAAACAAAATTGCTAAATAACACCTTTAAATCTTTACAAAAAATGCCCAAGTTTGTTTCCCATAAAAAGAACCTGTCACAAACTAAATAACTGAAGAAGCAAAAAAACAGGCTGGCAAATGCATTAAAAAAAGCACATCACACTCAGCAAAGGAATGGTTTTCTTGAAATAGGTAAAGAATCTGGGCACTTCAGGAGCTGCATTTATTAAATCAGATTTCACATTTTAAAAAGATTTCTCTTTAATCAAAACGAGCCATTCTTAATATTTTGATTTTTTTTTATTTCGTGCTTTGATTCACAATGGAATCAGAGCACATGGCTGTAAATACCATAGGTATACGGCATGCTTTCATTTTGGGTGTTGGGAGTTTGCAAGGCGAATGCAGTGATTTTATTTACACATATTCAAATCAATCAAAAAAATCGCAAGAAAATCGCAGAAGCCTTAAAGGAAATTTGCTGACAGAAAGCTTCAGAAGCATCACAAATACATCCAAACCTAAAGAAATAAGACATAAAGCTGACTGTCCCTCTAAGAAGGAAACTGGCACTGACCACACTCCAATGTAAACCAGAAATGTCTCCCTTTGGTGCAAACATTCATATTTATAAAATGTAACACTTCATTGCATGAAGAAAACACAAGTGCCTTTTATTCTCCTGGGGAGAATAAAAGGGCGAACACTTTTCTGGGTAGCATCTCCTACTATTCTTATTTTGAATTTTCTAACTAAAAAGCCTCTTCATGAGTAACAATAGCAGAAAAAGTATGTGTTGAAGAGACGAGAGGGTGGACTACTTATATCCCGAATTGTGATTCCTCTGTAGTTAAAGTTCAATTGGACCTTCCAGTCACTGTTCACCCACAATATAGTCACATTTTCAGGTGATAAAGATGTTCTAAGCCTAATAAAACTGCATTCATGTGAGCAAATATAATCAGTATCTTCA